TAAAGTACCCTGACATCTCATGTGCACAAAAACACAAGCCGGCGCTTAATTCGTATAACCAAGGTCAGGCCAAAAAAGGGACACGACAGAAAACTGGTTCCAACCCTCGTATTCTACCATGTTCACGCCCCCGCTCATAGAACATGGTTGCTATCGCGCTAATGCAAGGCACAGAAGTCAGGCCCGCCCCACTCAACCCCCCTTGCTCGGGCACGACGAAAAAAGAAAGAAGATTGCCATGCCAAATCCAAGCGCATGGCAACAAATTAAATGGAAAAAAAGGGTATGACGACACGTGCATAAACTGTCTTTGTCTGTCAAATCAAAAAAATCTGTCAATTAACTGAATCAGACGATGTAATGCGGCTCTGGAAGTCCGTTTCGCAGAAACAAACAGCAGATAGTTCCATCCCAACCAAACACGCAGTTTACACAAATACCCCCCCCTCTAGCATGTGAAATCGTGGCTGGCTCATTTCCTTACTTGGGGGGTCCCAAAAAAACCCAAAAAACAGGACCAACTAGCTCCCTTAGTCCAGACATGCGGGGAAACTCTATAGTAAAAGGGAACCGACACCGCCACCTTCCCCTGTTCACGTGCCCGTCTGTTATCGGAGAATGTGTTCCTGAGTAAACCAAAAACATACATATGGAGACGTTTCTATTTGCGGGTATTCGCGAATCGGGAAAAACCGGGTTTTGCACACGGGAGTCCGTATTCCAAAAAAATACACACGTGAGGTATTGGGGGGGGGGGGGGGGGAATAAGATTTTCCCTTTACTTTCGGATTCGCATTTCGCCTCGTTTTTTTAAGGAGCAAACGAAAACAGACACGAGATGCGAGATGGCGAGATTGGAAGAGCGAGAAGTGCCGAGAAAGAAGGCAAAAAAAAGTTCATGAGTCGAGGAAGGAAGGAAGGAAGGAATGGAACATCGTGAGTAAGGGTACGTACATGGAAAAATGCCAAGGCCATGACGAACTAAAGGTTATATGTCGGTCGGTCAATTTCCCACATTATGCAGCCAACACCAAGGCCACAAAAAAAAACAAGAAGTGGTGAGGTGAGCGAACCAATCAACCAACCAACCAACCAAAACCGGGGAGGGGTTAAACTTCAAAGGTATATCAACATTTGCACATCACCATCAGCATCGCGTCTCCACCCCGAAATCCTCCGGGGATTTAATATTAGCAAGATCGTAAGAAGAAGAGAAAAAAAGAAAAGGGGAAAAAGGAAGAAAAAAAGGTTTCTCGGCAACCATGCGATTGCACACTTTCGGGTGTAGCACTACCCGCAGTCCAGAAGACGCGACTATAGTTCAGAACGCAAGTAGGATACGCATCCTCTGGGCCTCATGGTGCGACGTGCTACTCGCATATTGTAATGTCTCCAGTAGCAGCAGTGGCAGCGAAGAGCAGCAGACATGGTATTTGCGATACCACGGCACAGGGCTAAGCCGAGCGCAACAAGACTATCTGCATGCGGCCAGGCAAGACGATGCGTTTGCAAAAGCGCTCGGAGAGAAAGAAGAAGAAGAAGGGTGTACGGTGGTTTTTTTCGGAAGTACCATGCATCACGGACTACAAGGGTACATAGTCAGTTTTGGCGGTGAAAGCGGCGGGGGTCAGGAGGTTGTCTTGTTCACTACTACTGGTGCTGCGGAAGAAGAAGGAGAAGATGACGAGATGCAAAGTCAAAATGAAGGATTACATGACGTACACAGGTACTTCATACCGAGCAAACCCGACACTCTAAGAATCACCAACATCGCGATCCAAAGCGACGAGACACTGTTACTGAGTCTGAAGTCGGGCATCGCAAACAACACCTGCTACTTAGCAACAATCCCCGACATGGCGGAGCTGCGCGTCTGGCTTGCCGCCGGAGCGTTTACGCTGGCGGCGGCGGCGGCGGCGTCGTCGGCGGTACCTGTGAAACGCGCGCCGTATGACTCGCACGGGGCGCCGCAAGTAGTTAGCAACGCGACGACGACCAGCGTCTTGGGCTCCTCCGGCGGAGCTGTGTGGACATCAAGCAGCGGCGCGAGATATCAAGCTTGTGTGGGCCGGCCCTTTTCCCTTGACGGCGTGTTAGAGTTCCGTGCCATACCGTACCTTGAGCAGACGTGCGTCGAGCGTGTGGCGTCTGGGGGGTACATGAGTGCGGCGCTGAGTGCAGAGGGTGAGCTGTTTGTGTGGGGTCAGGCGTGTCCGGGTTCAACGGGCGACATGGACGTGCTGAATGGGAATGCGGATGGGCATGTGCCGAGTACGGGAATTGGGGCTGAGGAGGATGCCGATGAGTTTGTAAAGTGTCTCGAGGTAAGGATTAATGGCAAAGAAGCTCGTGTGTATCAAGTGGCAATTGGCCATGGACATATTTTGATAGCAGCAGAGTGTGGAAATGGTTCACCGGCCAAGGAAAGGGTAGTGTTTGGCGCCGGAGATAACAGTATGGGACAGCTTGGACTAGAAGAGCGGAGGTTTTATAGTGCGTTCCACGAAGTTCAAAGTCTGCGGGGTAAGTGCGTTGCTCAGTTGTATGCAGCGGGGTGGTCAAGCTTCGTTGTAACAGTCCAAAAGTAACCAAGAAAAATCTATGCTTTAGGTATAGTGGTCATGTGTTCATGTTGGGCATTTCAAATTGAAAAGCTTCTCGACGATACTAGGCTTTCAAGCGACAAGGGCCAGCCACATCCATGAGGCGCATCACCAAGACTATGCATAGGGTAGGTGAAACACCACGTTGGTTCTTTCTCAACCTGGCATGTTGAGACTAGCGGCCCGCTCCACCCGCGATGGGAGTCTGTGGGTGGTTGCAGGAGAGAGGCAGCGATATTTCCAACAGCCGTGTTTGTAGCCAGCGTAGTCGAACTAATACTGCTCTGGTCTTATCTGAGCAACGTTGCTGGTTTGAGGATCGTCAGGAGCGTGCAAGCTCTGTGCGTCTCCCAAGACAAACTGCGATCTGCGTCGTTAACATGGGGGAGCCTGGATGAGACCGCCAAAGGCAATGCGTGCTACTGAGATATAAACTACAAGTGTGGCCATCGGAAACAGTGGCTTAGATCGACCAGTATTGCATACTTGTATTGCACAGGATGGCAATAGACCAGCGTACAGGTGACGAAAGTAAGCACTGGAATGACTGTCAACAGACAGGTGTGTGTCGCTTGATGAATCAACAACAGCTTTCATTTTGGTGCAGACCGGAATGACTTTAGCGAATTCTGCAGGCGAGAGGCTTTGCTTAGTGTGGTGTCTGATAATGGAAAGAGTGCGCCAGTGGACGAGACTGACTAGCAGTGCTAGATAGAGTTAGTCCAGGCGGATGTCTGACATGTGGAGCGACATGCAAAAACGTAGTGTAGTAGTATGAGCATGGCCACCGGAATGTACTGAAAAAAAAACTGCTCACGTGGGGTCAGAATACGAGAGAACGAGCTATACGAGAGCAAGAGTCTAAGTAAAGGGTATTGTTGATAGTCCATGACAGAAGCCGTACGCAGTAAGCGCCTCGTACGACGAAAGGGCGGATAAGGCCGAAAGACAAAAAAGGCCGACAATGAATGTGTGTCAGTTGGCATTGATGGCTCAGGGACGGGGCGATGCGCAGAGGGAAGGGTGGTGGTGCCCGCGTTGGTGCTCGTGCTTATGGTTGTGTCTTTGCCGAATGGGGTCGCCGTGCACATGACAGGAGGCCGAAATTGCAAAAGCCAAGGTGGTGAGGTGTCAGAATAGGTGGTGTCTGGATGAATGAAGAGGGAGCCGGGCCGGAAAGGGGAAGTGTGGTGGAGTGCATGTTCGTACTTTAGTCGCAAAGGCCATTGGCAGGTGGATGTGATGGCGTTGGAAGAGGAGGTGAAACGGGCGAGAGACATGTTGAGGGCAGCAGCCATCGGACAGAGGAGAGGCAATCTGAGCCATTGAGAGTAGGTGGAACAGCCCGATCGTGATAGGAGGGCGTTGGGGGGTGGGATGGGTTTCTTGTGGCAAGAGGAACAAAGTTTGGGTTGGTGATGCACATGGCCCGACAGGCAGGGTGGCTGCATTGATGCCTATTGCTATTCATGATGATGTCAAGCGGGAGAAGAAAAACAACGTGGGCGTGGTGTTGATGTTTCTGTGACCAAAGCTGTCGCAAGGCCCGTGACTCAACCGAATGCACAGGGGAGGCCGTGGGAGGGTGAATAATAGTTGCTTACTTAGTAGCGCAGGGGCCGTTTGCAGGGACATGGGGGGATGCTAGCTAGGCGACAGAGTGGAGTGGCAACCATGTGTAGTGTAGATTTGGATATGGGCAACTAGCAAGTCGCACGTTGGGATGGAGCGTGGATGCTGCAGTATGGCCATGTTTCAGGCGGTTGGGAGTTCATTGGAGAGGTTGCGGCGGAGACAGCTCCGGCCCGTTGGGGAGTGTTTCCATGTGTAGGCGGAGAGGGTGTGGGTGTGTGGGTATGGGAATGGAATTGTGGCGGCGAGGCGGCGAGGCGGCGAGGCGGCGAGGCGGCACTTGGGCTTGGGTTTGCCGGGAAGGCAGGCAGGCAGGCACCCACCATTCGGCCATGCGCCTCGTTTCTCTCCACCATGCCCGACTGCATCGCGGGTCTCGCGCTGCAAAAATGCGGTGCTCAGCCTCTGCGCCCCTTGGCGCCGCCCTCGGTCGGGCCGAATTCGGTTCCTTGTCCTTTTTTCCTCCCACGGTCATTACAAGTTCATGAGGGCATGGCTGGCCTAGTGGCGCCCGTGCTAGCTGCATGCCGGTGGGCAACGACGAGCCGCGCAGCAGTACCTTGCAGGTTGCATGCCCGCACCGCACTTGGACTGGCTGCAGCATGCCAAAACAAAAAAAGAGAGACCCTTTTGCGGAGGGGAAATGGGATGGGATGGCGCGACTCATTGCCGTGCGCGCCCTATCGCCATATCGCCCGATTGTGTTGCGTGGACGGCGCTGATCGATGTGTCCCCCAAACGCTAGCTCGGCGGGCAGCCCGCCAGTCAGAGAGGCAGAGGGCATCGGTAGCAGGGCTGATCAGGCTGCAGGCCGGTGAGAAACACTTGGTCGAAGGCAAAAAGCAAGGGTGTCGTCGATCTCCTTGATCGCCTTACACAAAGCACGCGGATTGCTGGTGCTGGCGCAGTGGGTAGTGGAGACCAGACGGCTGCCGTGTGTAGTGAGTAGAGAGTGAGTGTGCTTGGATTACGTACTTACGTGGTACACGGTAGTAGCAGTCCTGTACCGCTGGTGCTGCACATCCAACCTCCTCTCATGGCCAGGCGTTGCTGCTACGCGTACAGTGTGTGACCAGACGAGAATGGGCTGCTGGTGCCAGTTGCCATGACGTTGGGTGAGGGCGCATGACAAGGCCATGAACCATGTCGACCCGGATTGGCCATTAGGCACGAAACGCCAGCGGGATCCGGCAGTAGGGTTATACGCCATCCAGGGGTACACGATAGTTCGTCCTTCTTTTCTGTCCTGGCCGGGGCCGTGCGACACGAAACCCATGCTCGCTCTTCCAAGTCAGTAAACGTCATGTGGCCATGCCAACTCTTCTGCGTTCCGTCGTCGGCTTGAGTGCCGTCCAGGCTGCGACGAGCTAACGCCCTCTGGACAGTCAAAGGCGACGGCAACCACTCATATCCTCCTCTCCCCGTCTGCGCCCAATGAGCCACGCCCGTTTTTCCCGCTTCTCAAGTACACTTGCTATCTCTGCAGTATCGCTTGCTTCTTTTTTCTCAAACCATACTTACCTCCCTGGCTTCCGACATCCACCCACCCACCCATCCATCCATCCATCCATACTTACTGCACAACCTCCCCCTCCCTCCCTCCCTCTCGCTTCTTTTGTGCTTCACCTCGCCTGGCCCGCACCTACTCACCCTCTCACCATCAGCCTACTACATACACATATACCACTCGTTCCACGGCTGCTACGGCCATGCACTAAGATCATCACCCGCTCATTCCGCCATCATACATCATTACTTACTATTCCCCTCCCCCCACATGCACAGCACTATGGAATCCCGCCAGTCGTCGCCTGTTGCTCGCTCCGCCAGCCCCCGCTACAGCATGCAGCGACAAAGAAGCAACTCATTCCCCATCATCGACGCCCTTGGATGCACAACACCAGAGGCCCAACTCATCCTGGCCGAGAGCAGAGCTGCTGTCCGGAAACGCCGAGCCCGTCGCAACCAGTCGCTCGACGAGGAAGGCAGCCGACCCTTTGACCCCAGAGACCACATCAAGTTTCTGCAAGAACTCGCCGCCATCCCCACTCCTCAAGAACAACCCACTCCCTTTGGATCTAGCAGACACGCGCCCTCGCACTCACGCATTCCTTCAGACGCTACCGACCGAAGCACTTCAACCATCGTCCCACGTGACGATGGCGGACCTGTCCGGAACATTTCTCCCACGCTAGGCGACTATTCCGCCACCTTGGCCGAATTCATCAAGAACCAGCTCAAATCCATACCCACCTACCAGCCCGGCCCGGATTCTTCATTGCCTTTGTCGCCTCGCTCGTGTCCGGATCTGTCCTTTGCCACACAGTCGTCTCGCTCGTCGTCATGCCCATCGGTACGCCGCCCAGTCGAGAAACCACGCATAATCGAGATCCCCCCGATTCGAGCACCGGTCAAGAGCCAGTTCTCGGCATGGAGCTCGACTGACGAAGACACGGACGACGAGTCGCATGCCCTTACTGAATACGCTCTTTCGCTCGAGGACAGTCTTTCCAAGACGAGCAGCCATACGCCTTCAGTACTAGGCTACTACCAAACATCCGATTCCGGCAATGGTTCGTCATTTCTATTTTCGTCGACCCCGCTAGAGGACCAGTCTGAGGCTGATGCCGCCAAGGCATTTAAGTTTCCCTATCAGTCAGCACAACCTAGTTCCCCATCCGGCCAACCGGATTACGACCACTACCCGTCATCGTGTTCCCCTCATCCTCAGCTGACATCCTTGTCGGCTACATCGGCACCGTCGTTTACCTCGTCGTCCGTCTCACTGTCATACTTTGACTGCAAGCGACCATCAGCCATCACGCCACAAATGAAAGAGCGGGTCATTGCGGCTGTGACGCCTCCCCACCTACGCACCAAGAGGCTGAGTGCCATGTCGCCTTGGGATGGAAGTACACTCGGCAGTTCGCACGACGTTTACGTCGAGTCACAACAGCGTGTCACTGTCGACGGCATGTCGTTTGACATGCTGCGAGACTTTAATGCCTCAACCCGGCTTACGCCTTGCTAAGCATTTCCTTTGTCCGTTTCCTGCATCTTCTTTGTTTCTTAGCGTGTGCGTTTGGGGGTAGGCATTTTTCGTGTACACTAACCAGGATTTTTCCAGTCAGCTGGTCTGGCTTCAGCTTATGGGCGCCTTTTCTGCCTGCTTCTCACTTGTCGTTTTTTTCTTCTCCATACACGAAGTATCGTTTTGTAATTGTGGGTTTGGCGTTGAAGCTAGCCATCACATAGGCTTTCTTTTTTTTCCCTCCTTTCTTTTGTCATAGTTGGCTTTTGCTCCATTCTCGGTTCAGCGCTTACCTTGTTCCATGGATTGGCGTTATGGAACATTCGGTGTATGACGAATATACACGACCCGCACAACGCATTGCATTTCAAGTGTGGAGGAAGGACTTGAGGAATTTGTACATGGTCAGGTCGATAACACAAAGGACGAAGTTGCAGATTGCAAGACAGAGTTAGTCGGTGGTGAGCACAATGGCTGGGAGAGGTGGAGAAAACCGTATATTTTAGGCACACAATGCAACCATTTTGCCCACCAAGCTTTTTTAGCATCCCGAGCACCTGGGTCAACACATTGCGATGAACCATGAGGCACAGCAGGCCACCCGCACAATCCAGCGAGTCGCATCTCGACCGCCTGCAAGGTCCCGCTCATGCAGACGCGCCGATCTGAGGCCGGGGGTTGGGGGCACGGCTGGCGATCGGTCAAGTGGGGAGCGATGGCTTGTTTGATTGGTCTGTTGCCAAACGGCTACTTGGTCACTGGGGAACTCCAGCCGCGCCGCTAGAACATCCATCAACTCTCCATTGCTTCTTTGTCACAGCCGGCAGCAGCCATTGTCCAAGTCTGGTCGGCCTTTATTGCTTTTGTCTTCTTCTCCTGGCTCGCTTGCGCCCTTGTGCCCATCCTTGACCCCACGTTGCGCTCCTATCCCTTCTGGAGAGTTGAAACACACCACCCACCATAATTATCATCTACACGTCTGCGATCGCCATCACTCGTCCTCTCCGTCTTTACTGAACGGTGCGACTAGAAAAGAAAACCAGCAGCACAGCGATCCCATACCAGCGCCGCATGGCCGACTCGGACCCGGGGCTCTGGGCTCAAATCCTTGGAAAGGCTGCCTACGAGTTCTCGCTGATGCAGCCAATGCTACCCACCTACATCCACCTGATCGTCTCAGCCCTTTTCCCAATATACGCCGGCGCACACGCCTCCCTCACACGCCCGTCGACCGCTGCGAAACCCGCTAAGAAAAAAAAGAGGTCTAATACAAGCGATGACGACATGGAGGACGACGATGAGGACGACGACGACGACGACGAAGACGAGCAGCGCATTATGGAAGGCTTATCGCCCACGGACGCCCTGCTTATGCCTCTCTTTGCAGGGACCGCCCTGGCTTCGCTATACTTTCTTCTCAAGTGGATGAAGGACCCCGCCCTGCTCAACAAAATCCTCAATGCCTACTTTGCCGTCTTCGGCGTCTTCTCCGTCTCACGATTGGTCACCGACCTCCTTGACGTTGGTCACACCATACTATACCCGCGCCGACATGTCGTTGGTCGAGCGCTATATCACGTTGACGGCGAGGCGGTCAAGGCGGTTCCGGTAGCTGGTGATGTACAGGGCAAGCAGCCGCTCGCCACGCCTCTACCAGGTTTCCTTTCTAAGATCCCACTGTCTGAAGGGGCAAGGAATCTATTCTGGGCTGATCGAGCTATGCCAGGCAACAAATGGACGTTGAAACTCTACATACATCGCGTCTTCGCCGGCAAGTTCAAGATGGGGCCTCATGGCATGGTCGGCGTTTTGACTGGCCTCACAACTGTAGCTTACTTCAACTTGGTTGACAAGCCATGGTATTTGACAAATTTACTGGGCTTTGGGTTTTCATACGGTGCCTTGCAGCTCATGTCGCCCACGACATTTGCCACGGGTAGTCTGATTTTAGGCGCACTCTTCTTCTACGACATTTACTTTGTCTTTTTTACGTAAGGCACCTTTTTTTTATTGTATTCCAAACGTGGCTAACACATACTTTAGGCCCATGATGGTGACTGTGGCAAAGTCACTCGACGTGCCAATCAAACTCGTGTTCCCACGACCGGCCGCAGCCGACGATCCCACCTCAGTCCCCTCACACGCCATGCTTGGTCTAGGTGATGTCGTCTTGCCCGGCATTATGATTGGTCTTGCCTTGCGTTTTGATCTGTATCTCTTCTACCTCCGTCGCCAGACGCGCAGACCCGCTGTTGCAGGAGAAGGCCAAGAAATTGTTGAGAAGCCAAAATACTACTCGCTAACCGGCCGCTGGACCGACTACTTCTGGACGCATTCCCTTACAGGCCGGCCACTCTGGGCTGATGCCAAGACGATTGCCGAAACAGAGGCTCCTTTTACATTCCCAAAGACATACTTTAATGCTGGCTTAGTTGGCTATATCCTGGGCTTATTGGCTACCCTCAGCGTCATGATGATCTGGAATCATGCACAACCCGCGCTGCTTTATTTGGTCCCTGGCGTGCTCGGCAGCGTCTGGCTTACCGCTCTCGTCCGCGGTGAAATTAACCTAATGTGGAACTATACCGAGGAGATTGAGGACGAAGAGCAGGAAAAAGAGCCGGCAGAGGCTAGTAATGCTTCTGATCCCAAGAATGAATCAAGCAATGGACAGGCATCGCAAAAGAAGCGGACTTCGAACCGGAAATCAGACAAAGAAGTCTTCTCCTTGTCCATTGAGGCCCCATGGCAACTCAAGAAGCCAAACGAGGACCATGGCGATAGCGAGAAACCAAAGGCTACTAGCGAAAAAAATATTTCGCAGAGCATCGATACCGAAAAACATAATTGGGTAGCGTCGACCACTACGGCTGTCGAGCGCGTAGATGCTGAGCCCGCGGGCAAGCGTCTCCGCGTGAAGTAATTGAAATGAAAAGATGACGTCAAATCCTGGTCCCCTTCTTTACCCTTTTCTTCAGGGGTTCTTTATGAAGTCGGACATTGGCATCGTGTGAACGTCATGATTGGCTGGTTTGACGCATAGAGCGTGCATAGCGAAATGGCGTTTTTTTGTGTCGAGTCTCTAATGAGGTCTTGGGGCTGGAAATGAATGAAATGAATGCATGCATGGAGTGCACATATGCGGTTTCAATGGTCTCGTGTAAAATGAAACTCTGAGTAATGCCAATGTTCAGACGACCTGTTCTCATCTTAGCCTGGCGACTTGCCACTTTTCCAACTTGTCACAGCCCGTGTATGCTATACCGCCCAGCGCCAAGATCTCCACAATCGACGATACAAGTACCACAGTATTCTCGCATGGGAAAGTCGCAATTGCGCTAGTGTCGAACCGGATTGTAACACAAAGCGAGCCCCCCGCCCCGCTAGTACTACATACGTATACAGGCACCACCACCCTCATTTAAACCTATTAAACGCAAGATTTGCCTCGCCACCACCATCCGCCATCCCCGATCACTTCTACCATCCCGCCATTTCCAACCTAATGAAAAAAAACGTGCCGCACCTTGCAAATCCCCCATTACCATTTTTCAGCTCCCCAGCCTCATCCCCCCCCCCCACATTCACAAACTAAACTATGCTCAGCGGTGTGATAGCTGTATTTCCTTCTTTTTTTTGTATGCAAGCCACTAGGGACTAAAGAAATGGTAGCGCGGATGCGGGGCAGTAAAAGTCATGAGGCTCCGCGGAGGAGAATATGACCGGATTTTGTCGGTTATTGAGGGGTGTGATGGTGGGGATTCAGGGGGGGGGGTGAAAATGGTGGTGATGAGTGGTGATTGTGGTTATTGCGGTGGATGGGGAACGCGCGGCCTGGAGGGGTGGGGGGTGTGACGGTGGTGCTGGTGCTGGTGCTGGGAGTCGGTGGAGAGGGGCTGAATCGTGATTTGGGGGGAGATGGCGGGTAGAGAGGAGGAGGCGGAGGGGAGGCGGATGAAGGGTGTTGGGAATGGGATGGTAGTTCTGGGTTGTTGGTGGGTAGAGTTTGTGGAAGTTTACTGGGGGAGAGTAGTGTTGTCAGAGTTGCGGGTTTGTATGAATAGGCATGCTTTAAAGGTTGATTTGATATTATATTCCCTCGTATTGATATGTGCTACTAATTCCATTTTGCCTTGTTATTCTATCAGTGTTGAGTAGTTATATCATTCTTGCGTCCGGTCATGAGCATCAGCTAGAATATACCCACAAAAGCTGTTGAGCCTCCATCAGTTCTGACGTCCGAGATGCGCTGGTTGACCTTTCCTACTACGCTTGCTGGCATTCCTACAAGTGCGCTGGAATTGGCTGAAGTGATGATGTTTTTGATATCCTGGCCACTCCGTTTGGATTGTACCTGCGAGAAGACTACTCCGCAAGACACTTGATCGGCCTCGAGTAACCGTGACTGCTTTTCGACTTCCTGGATAGCTAATATTCGACCAGCACCCCCATCTTCCTCGTCCTCAGGCTCCTCTTCTAGCTCGCGCTTCCTCCTCTGGGTTTCTTCCTGCTGATATTTGGTGAGGTCGATGTGCTCCTTGATTTTTGTCTCGATAGCCTGCAATTGGTTCTGCATACTTTCACGGTCGGCTTCAGACGTTTTCTCGGATCGTAGCTGAACCATACTGTTGCGGAATTAGTATGCGGTTTCTGGAGTGAGACTGAGGCTTCTTTACAGCTGCGTGCTTGTAACAGCAAAATGCACAGTGTTCTCGCACCACTGTAGCTGTGTGCGAAACGTACGGATCTTTTCCTTGTTCCAAACACCGACAGAAAAGCGGTCTCGAAGAGAGAGTCTTGTCGCACTCGAATGCTTCGTCCACTTTGTCAAATCCTCCCGGAACTTTTTGCAGGCATCACCGCAGCTGTTAACAGCTTCGGCGACACCGGCTTTACAGAGGTCCTCCTTAACGGCGACCGAAGTAGCTTCATTGGGGATGCTGAGTTGTTCGAGCGCAGCTAATGGACGCTCTATGTTGTCTAGGCTAGAGGCGATGTCTGCGACTACGTCTTGAGCCTCAGAGAGACTCTCGATAAGGCTGCGCAGTTCCACAATACTAGTCGTGGCGACATTAGTGATACCAATGGCGCCGGCTGTGAGGCTGAAAGGATCCATTGTGGTCAGTACTGCAAAGATCCCGTGTTAATGTAGTGATAATCGTTAAAGATGGCTCAACAAATGTATATGAAGGAGGAAGGCTCATCCTTCCGCATGCCTGTAGCCCAGATCCTTTATGAGGATCATTGGTCTCGCTTGTGTATTAGAGGCCTCCTCATTAACGCTGAGTTGGCAATGCTTACAACCTGCATGTTGGGGGCGCGAAACAGCAAAGCTTATAGGCTCCTCGATGAGGCTGAGCCTGCTACCCATCACCCCATATCTTCGCCGCAATGCCTTGTTCGTTGTTGGACCCGAACCCTAGTTCTTCGCATCTCACAAAGAAAGTACGGAATACGCACAATACTGTGTCTGGCAACATCTTGAAAGGTTTACTTGATGCCGCGGATAGCTTAGCTGGATGGCTGAAGACCGGATTCGCAATCAACACATTAGTGGGGTCTCCACTCAGAACGGCTCGCAAGCTTTCGTAGGTTCGGCGCAAAATGTGTATTTTGCTGACCACAAATCTTCCCAAGGTACAGGCAAGTTACTGTCTCATAATTTCTCAATGCTGATAAGTTGATCTTGCAGAATTGTTGGAGAAAGCTGCTGTTCAGTGTCGCGACGCTCTCTTTGTAACTGATCCCTATGTCGACCGCGAGAGTTTGATCACTGCCAAAGGTGCTAGAGTCCCAGGCACATGCGAGTGGATTAGAAATGATGTGAACTACCGTGTCTGGCTGAACGGCGGTGGTCCGGGTGGTTGCGATAGCACCAGCGAGAGACGCCTGTTGTGGATCTCAGGTGGGCCCGGCAAGGGCAAGACTATGCTCTCTATCTTCCTTACTGAGGAGCTGAAGAAGCATGCAGCACAACAAGAAAACACTGATCTCATATTCTTTTTCTGCAGTGCGCAGAACGAAAAACATAGCACAGCTTTGGCTGTCCTACGTGGGTTACTGCATCAAATTCTTACCAAACGCCCGCAGTTATCTAAGCATGCGCTGCGCCATTTTGAGCCGCCCGAACGGAAACAGCAAACCTTAGCATCTCTGGAAGCACTATGGATCATCTTTGTCGAAGTAATCACAGATGTTGAGTTTGGAACGATGTTCTGCGTACTCGACGGGTTCGATGAGTGCGAGGAGAGCACACGGAAAGTACTACTATCGCGACTTGTTACCCTGCTGAATGGACATAACTACTCGAACCAAAACGCATTCAAACTCGCGATCATCAGTCGGGATATGCATGGTCTCAAAGGCTGCCTGAGGGTGAGGCTAGACCCCGACAACGACGAAAGAGTGAGCAGCGATATCGAACTGTTTATATCTGCACGGATGAATGATCTTTCAGAGATTGAAGGCTTCAACGAAAAAATGCATGAAGATGTGCAGAAAGAGCTATTAGATCGCGCCGAGGGTACCTTTCTCTGGGTAGGCTTCGCGATACACGAATTGTCGCAAAAACGTACCTGCAGTGAGGTCTTAAGGGCACTTCGAGGCCTCCCGAGGGGCTTACCTGCAATCTACGGTCATATGCTGCTTCGGATACCAGAGGAACAAAGAGAAATAAGTCGTAAGATCTTACGTTGGGTAACCCTGGCTATACACCCTCTATCGCTGCAGGAGCTGGCTGCTGCGGTAGGCATCCAATCCTCATTCCCAACTCAAATCACTGAAGAGCAGGCGACCCGTGATGCTATATTCTACTGCAAACCATTGCTACAGGAACAAAAAGCAAGGAACTTGGATGACGATCGTCCTAAGCCCCAGGACTATCATGTGCAACCCGACATACGACGAAGAAATTCATTCCAGGGTCAAGAACAAAAAGAGATCAGTTTTGTTCACCAGTCAGCACGAGACTATATGTTGCGAAAAGAGAAAGATGACAACAAAATTCTAGAGGAGTTTCGCATTGAGTCGAAGAGCGCAAATTTGGAACTAACGAAGACCTGTCTCGAGTGTATTATTCAGAGACACTTACAGAAGAGGTCTTCTGATCTACTTACTGGTTTTCGGTTGCGAGATTCCCATCTGTGGCGCTATGCAGTGCTTCACTGGCCTGATCATGCAAAGAGTTGTTCAGCACAAGATGTCGCACTACTCGATACTCTCCAGAAATTTCTCTATGGCTATCCATCCATCCGGGATCATTGGTGGATGGAATATAATGATACCAAGATGCTCCTTCTGGCAGAAAGGATGCCACTATTGCATATGACTTGTTATCTGGGGATTGTGCCACTAGTAGAAGCGGAACTAGGACAGAAAGATGGGCACTCAGGACTCTTGGAGCGTATAAATGCAGAAGATTGGAAAAGAAATACGCCTCTGTTTCTGGCAATCCATGCACGGAACCGAGAAGTAGTGCAGATGTTGACTGATAAGGGCGCTAGAATCAACATCCGTAACGGGGATGACGATACGCCGTTACATGTAGCAGCTCGAGTAGGAGATATAGAGACCTTTCGCCTGTTACTTGAGAAAGGGGCGGCTGTAAACGTAAGAGGTAGTCATGGGAAAACGCCATTGCACGATGCTGCTTACGTAGGGGATGGACGAGTAGTAAGGCTGCTATTAGATGCAGGGGCGGACATAGCGGCAACGACTTCTGAGGACGAGACACCACTGCACTATGCAGCTCTAGCAGGAAATGTAGCAGCAATGAGACTTCTGTCCGATGCAGAAGCGGAGATAGAAGCGGAATCTTTCAGAGGATACATGCCACTGTACAAGCAATCTCACACAGGGTATGAAGTGGTAGTGAGGCTGCTATTAGCTGGAGGGGCGGACATGGCAGCAAAGACCACTAGGGGAGAAATGCCAATGCACTACGCAGCTCTCGCAGGGAGAGAGGAAATATTACAGCTGCTGTTAGATGCAGGGGCGGATATAGCAGCAACAACCGTTTGGGGAGAGAAGCCACTGCACTATGCAGCTGTGGGAGGAAACAAGGAAATATTGCGGTTGCTGTTAGATGCAGGGGCAGAAATAGACGCAAAGAATTGCAATGGAGGTACAGTGCTGCGCATTGCAACTTCAGCAAGCGACCACGACTTGATTGAGCTACTATTGGACAAAGGGGCAGATGCAAAGGCGATAGGTGCGGGTGGCTGGATGACATTGTACATTCCAGTTGATGGATACGCAGGATGAGGTGCTCTTTCAGCTTCTGTTCGAGAGAGGGGTGGATGCCACAGGAATAGAAAGGCTTCGGCACTGGGCAGCTGTGAGATGGGATCTTGATGCAGCACAGCTGCTCATGAGTCTGATGTGTGGTCCCTAAAAGACTGAACACTCAGACAGGGTCGGGCGTTTTGTGGAGAATAGATGGGGGAATAGATTATAGCGACAGCGCGGCGTAGTAGTATTGTTCGTTGGAACTTGGTAGTTATGTGATATTCAATTTCGCGCCGGCGCCCAGGGGAGGGTCGTTGCGCCGCACTCGTACACTCTCATTAAAGAAATCTAAAGATGGGAAATAGTGGTCAAAGCAAATACCAAGGGTTCCCGGGGTGCTTTCACTTGATCAAGTTACCTAATTCAAGTATTTGAGCAAGCAACAACCTATTTGAAAACAATATATATGTTTGCTAGCTATCTGTGGTAAAGAGACAGATGGTGAGTGAACGTAGATATCGAAACTTGCTGTTTAGATGTAGGTATGCACGTAGTGTTATTCTGAGGCTGTCGTCATGTTGTGTTTGGACTTCGATGAATAGGGCAAGTACGACGGAGAAACTAGTCAACTCTCACACTCGATCATGGTTTCTAAACTTTCCTTCTAAACTTTCTGATAGCTTTTTTAGTGGAAATTACTCAAGGTTCTACGAAAGCTGATGATCGCATGATTCGATTTTATCAGCCTTGTGTGTTCAGCCTCGCACCCCGCACCGGGTACGTGGGCTGCGCCTCCTGCCCCCGCTGTTATATTCAGCCTGCTCCAATAACTACACCATTCTTTGTCGCATCCACCTCAGTGAAACTTTCATCATAGCTCACTAGAGATTTGTACGAAGTATTTATAAGAGATCTACGTAACATCAACATAATCCACACCCTGTACGAACGAGTTGGCCTTCCTTTGTCAATATCCTCAGCCTACTCCGAAGCTCTACGTGTTCCTCCTATCGTCCGCGCACACAAACGTTTTTTCAAACATGCGGCTCTTGCAAATTGAAAGCAATGGGAACCTTGTACTGAAGCATTTCGATACGGGTCATGAGATCCCTCCCTATGCGATCCTTTCACACACGTGGGGAAGAAGAGAGGCACTTTACGATGATCTTGGGAAATTCAAAGTTGTACAGGACATCAGTGGAAAACTTGGGGCAATTTGGCAAAAAGTGCGCTTTTGCGCAGAGCAAGCCAAACGGGATGATCTGGACTACTTTTGGCTGGACACTTGCTGCATCGACAGGCCAAACGACCTGGAGGTAGAAGAGGCAGTCAACTCTGCGTACAAGTGGTACAAAAATTCCAAAAGATACTACGTGCTCCTCTCAGACTTCAAAATTAACTCCTTGGAAGGCGACGGAAAATTAGCTTTTAGGAAGAGCAAGTGGTTCACTCGAAGCGGGACAATTGTAGAGCTTCTAGCTCCCTCTTCTATAGGGTTTTTCTCTATAGCTGGGACTCGATTAGGAGACAAGGAGTCTCTTAAAAGAATCATACACGAAATCACACGAATACCGCTAAAGGCCTTGTCGAAAAGCGACTTGTCAAACTTCAGCGTTAATGAACGTCTCGCTTGGGGCACAAGATCGCTACACAACGATTGAGGAGGATCGTGCATACTGTTTACTCGGCTTGTTCGACTGTCACATGCCACTAATTTATGGTGAAGGGAGAGATCGTGCATTGAAACGACTGATGCGGGAGATAATGGGAGAAACGTCTGAAAAAATCCGCCGCTGGCTTTCGCCGCCTGATCCTTCTACAAACTATCACAAAGAACGCAAGAAGCAAGCGCCTGAAACGAGCGTTTGGTTGCTAGAGGGCTCAGAATTCAAGCAATGGAAATCAAGTGTAGATAGGTCACCAATGTGGTTGCAAGGACGGCCAGGACACGCGAAAGCTTCTCCGAGTTCGGGTTTCGAGGAATGGAAGTCGAGTGTACTCCCATCACCATTGTGGCTGCAAGAATCACCAGGATTCAGGAAAACCATTATGAGCTCTACTATCATCGAGTATCTTCAGCAGCATTATCAAGAATATATAGACAGGGTGACGATATACTTCTACTTTGATCCTAATGATGAACGAAAACAGAGTCTAGAGCACATGCTCCGTTCGTTGCTCTACCAGCTTCTGCAACATTCGGCTACAATACCGAAGGGCATTGAGGCTTTATTCTTATCACACCAAAGCGGAGAAAAACAACCATCGATACATGCGCTTATAGAAGCGATAAGAAAGGCTGTGCAGGATTTTAGCCAAGTTTACATCGTTCTCGATGCTCTCCACGAGTGTGCGAACCTTCCAGAACTGCTACTGAACTTTGTTCAAGCAGTGGCTAGGTGGAATGCTCCTAATCTGCGTCTGGTTATGAGTAGCCGTCGAGAAATCGACATCTGGCTATTTTTGCGTGGGTATCCGTCTCTGCAAGGGGATCGCAAACTCCTCCATGGAGAACCTACATTTATGGAAGTGAAGCAACGCGTTCAGCATAGGCTGTCATACGACAACGAATCGGGAAGACGGGATCAGAATGCTGATCTCAGGAAAAAGATGGAGCATGCATTGGCTCTTGGGGACGAAGGGATGTGAGTTCATTCAAACAACTTAGCCGTTGCTAAGCTACTTCTAACATCTAAATAGCCTTCTATTGAAGAAATTAGCCCCTGATGTACGTGTATTTAATGACGCACAACAGATGCTGCAGGAGCCAACCTTCCTTGACCTTCAATTACCGTTTCAGATATATGACTTCATCCTTTCTTCTGTACGGAAAGAAGATTCGAGACTCATAGTACGAACATTCCAGTGGCTCACATTTTCGGAGCGACCGCTGTCTGTCGAGGAGATAGCTGAAGCTATCGTGATTGACAAAGCATCTAACACCAGAAGACGAATAGAAGACCTGCTAAAGTTGTTGGGGACCTACCCAAGTCTTTTCACGATCACATCCAGGAAAGAAAAAGGAGGTGAACCCCCGTCTCAGAGAACTGTTTTTCTATCACATCATATCATTTGGGAGTATCTTGTTTCAGGAATGACTATACAGGGACCGAGAGCTCCATATCATATGCGAGAGGACGAGTGTCATGGAATAATTGCAAAAGGGTGTTTGGAATACCTGATGCAATTTCAACAGCCACTTTCAAAAGATGTTCTCAGGTCATCTGCTCTCGCAAGATACGCAGCAGAGTTCTGGAGCGGCCATCTTCGAAAGGCACTAGATATCAGAAACGAAGTGAGTCAATTAGCCGTCAGGCTATTATCGAGGAAAAATCCTGCATATTTCAACTGGATTCGCCTATATGACCCTCACCATCCTCAAGACAAGCCAAACTTGGAGCGAGACGTAAAGAGTATGGTGGGACCCCTTCATTATGCAGCACTCCTAGGTCTGGCTCAAGTTACAAAACTACTTCTCAATGAACAAAGCGAAATTATCGCTCCTAGCGGATACCATGACATTCCACTCCATGCAGCTGCAACTGAGGGCCATCTGGAGGTAGTCAAAATACTGCTTGACGTAGGTGCCGATTGCAATACTCAAGATCAATTCCTTCAGAATTTAATACAGACGGCCATAGAAGCAGGGAACAACCATATTGCAACCTATATTCGGAACTTCACTCGCAACATTAGCAGACGTCAACTCGAACCGAGTGACTCTGGTTATGCCTCCCAAAGGCAACTGGACAGTTTGCATTCTCAGTCGGTACCTGATCTGGAATTCCAGAAGGCGTTGCCCCCCAAGGACAACCTTGCCATCCAAGTGCCAAATTCTTCCAGGGGAGAAATATACCTAGATGATATTCGATCCATAGACTCTGATCTTGAAAGTATTGGATCGAAAATTTCAACAGGCAGATCAACAACAGAGCTCTTTGCCGTCAAGTATCTTGCGTTATTCTTCGCACAACGAGAAGAACTCCGTTCATTACACGAGACAGCACTCCAGAAGATTGAAGGAAAAAAGTTCACAGAAAACTATAGAAGAATTCTCAAGTCATACTATCGCAGGCTCCAAGAGGAGGCATCAAACGATACCGAACAAGTGGTCACTAGAACTCTTCGATCGAGGAGAAACAGAGAGAGCATAGCGGTGGGGATTGCAGATGAGTTCAGAATCGAAGAGGAAGAGGTGGTCTCTTTCAACCATCTGCTGTTGCAACGGGCCGAAAGAGAGCATCTTGAAGACTGGTTGAAAAGAACGCAGGATCTGGATTACGAACAAGCATCTGAGGCCTTTCAAGAGCATATTGCCGATGATTGTCAATCACAGAACAGTGATAGCGACAACGATCTCTGTTCAGATCCTGAATCTGATGCTAGTAATGACTTTTCAAACATCCGCCAAGCCGAAAGATTTCTGCATCAAGGATCAGCGTTTCGCAATCTAGTATTGGATATCAGACTCTTTATGCTACCATATCGTCTGCGCCAGATAATTGAGACAACGCCAAAGAATTCATTGGCCCTGATCTCACACAGTGACATTGGTCGGGTCAACAACGCAAAATCTCATCTGGAAACATATACTGAGTATCTTTGGGATTGGTGGCCATTGGCACCGCGAATTCCTAAACTGGCCACCGGGGAACAACATCTTCAGTGGAAGGTATGTCATCCAAATTTTACTAGAAATATTACGCACTAATTTGACTCCGACAGCTCGGCAGGAGGAAGCTATACGTGAGAGTTCTTCAGGAGCATGCTGAGGCTGTAAGGGAGATTTTGAAAATAGCCGCCGATCATCCACTCAAGTGTCATTGCTGTACGGCAAAACCGCCAAGAGCATCCTGCATGGTGCTGAGAAGCATCTTCAGACCAGTATTGGGCTTGTTAGAACATAATAAGCAAAGAAGCGCCTCATCCGGAAGCTCCTCTTCCAAGGCAGCTATGGCTTACACGCCAACATCCAACAATACGTCAGGAGCCTCATCTTCTAATATATCGTCTAAAGCGGGAGGTTCGAACGCATCTGGTGTTTCAACGAACAAGAATGGCAATGCCGGATCCAACAACACTACGCAGACACAAAGATGTGGCCCAACGGCCCCCTCGCCAACGACACAGCCAGCACCCACACGAATCATTTTTGGAGTCCAAGGTCTAAGAAAATCTCTTGAAATCGAACAAATCGAAATTTGCAGCCAGATGAATGACCAAATCTTCTTCCTAGAACTCAAAAAGCGCTATAAGAAACATCGTCTAATGGTTTCAAGATGGCTTTCACCTTTTCAGTTTCACCACTGCGATTTCGTCAGAGTGAGGCGCTCTCTTCTTATTCTATTCTTACATTCTAAAAGGCCACATAACTAACTTTTCCCAATCAAGTTCCGAAAAATCAGCGTTGATCGAGTCTTCTTCTCTTGCGAGGGGCTCCCAGAAGACATAGTGGTTGCCAATGAGTACGAATACGATCCGAAACCGCCGCTGGGAAAGATACCACTCATAGAACCTGACGTGTTCGCCGCATGTCTAGATTCTTGCGACGACGGCTGCAAATGGTCAGTCCTTGGACCATGGCTACACGACTGCTTTCAGCTGCAGCCCGACAAGGAAAGAATAACCTGCATACCGAAAAAGAAGAAGGAGTTTGCTGTGAAATCCAAGTACGATGCGGAGAATCTTGTGTGGGGTATCCAGCCCGGGTATGCTGTGTCTCTTGTCATGATTCTCATTTACGCTCTCGTTCCGTTGTTGTCAGCTTTCGGCTTCTGGATATATTGGTTGGCACACCATCCAGGGGACTGGCAAAATGCTTCAGTCCCGATGGTAACTGCAGTGACCCTTGAGACACTTCTTTTGTCACTGCTGGTGCTCAGTTCGAGGTCGCATTTGCGCGATGAACGGCGTTGATACACTACTGCACTTTGTTAATAAAAACATGTAATGTATTTGAGATTTCAACGACAAAACCGGATAGTGCGTCTTGAAAAATCATTACTGTTTCCATGAACTTGAATGTCCTCCACGAGAAAATAACTTGACATCACATGATACCAATAAGATGGAACCTTTGGTATTAAAACAGCTCCGCAACTTGGAAATATCCTGCATAAAACCCTCACAGTACGTATGACAACTAAGAAAAACTCATGTAAATCTCGAACAAAAGGAATACATCAAACACCTACTGCTAAGATAAAAAACGAGGCAAGTGAAGTAAATGTTGAAAACAAAACCCCTGTTCGCAGCACTACTATATCTTTATCAAATCATCAATCATCAGACCTTTAACCGCACCAACCCCATTTCCAGGCTCTCATTTCTATCCCTAGCTACCATTGACTCCTTATCGAGCATATTTCCAGACACGTGACATGCAATTCACATCACCACGCAAATATCTTTATGTGAAAACTAAAACAACAAACACACATAAGAGTAAACGTAGATGTTACAATATTCTTGATTCATGATACGCATCTCGGATTTTTCTCTATTTTTACATTTCTTTTCCTCGTTGAACCTTCATCTTCATGACGACTCTAGTTCTTGGGCTTGTAGTCGGAAGGGTTGATCATGAGCTCTGGTCGGACATACTTGTCAAAGTCGGCTTCGCTGATGACTTCGAGCTTGAGGGCGGCCTCCTTGAGGGTGAGGTTGTTCTTGTGGGCGTACTTGGCAGTCTTGCTAGCGGCGTCGTAGCCAATGACGGGGTTGAGGCAGGTAACCAGCATCAGACTGAATTTGAGTTAGTACGATGGTGAATGAAGATAAAAAATGGCGCTTGACTTACCTCTCGTTCATGATGGAGCTGATGCGCTTCTCGTCAGCCTCGAGACCAGCAACGAGGTTCTTCTCGAAACTCCTCATGCCGTCAGCGAGAAGGCGCGAGCTGTGCAGCAGGTTGCGGATCATGACGGGCTTGAAGACGTTGAGCTCAAAGTTACCCTGGGATCCGGCAAAGGTTGTGGCAACCTGGTTACCAAAGACCTGAGCGCAAACCATGGTTAGGGACTCGCACTGTGTGGGGTTGACCTTTCCGGGCATAATGGAGGATCCGGGCTCGTTCTCGGGAAGCTTGAGCTCGCCCAGACCGCAACGGGGACCGGAGCCGAGGAAACGGATGTCTTGGGCGATCTTGAAAAGTGAGGTAGCCAGGGTGTTTAGCTGGCCGTGGGCCTCAACAATGGCGTCGTGGGCAGCGAGAGCCTCGAACTTGTTGGGTGCAGTGACAAAGTCCTTGCCAGTCATCTTGCTGACCTCTGAGGCAATATCCTCGGCGAATCCCTTGAATGTGTTGATACCGGTGCCAACAGCGGTTCCTCCCTGGGCGAGCATCTTGAGGCGGGGTAGAGATGACTTTATGCGCTCAATGCCAAAATCGAGCTGTTGTACGTAACCAGAGAACTCCTGGCCCAGAGTCAGAGGAGTGGCATCTTGCAAATGTGTCCTTCCGATCTTGATGAGGGTTTCCCACTGGTCGGACTTCTTCTTGAGCGCGTCTCGCAGGCTGGTGAGGGCGGGAAGGAGCGACTCCTCGAAGTCAAGAACAGCGGCAATGTGCATGACCGTGGGGAAGGTGTCGTTGGATGAGGCAGACATGTTGACGTGGTCGTTGGGGTGGACAGGCTTCTTGGTGCCCATTGTGCCGCCGAGGATCTCAATGGCGCGGTTGGAGATGACTTCGTTGGCGTTCATGTTGGACTGGGTACCCGAGCCGGTCTGCCAGACGACGAGGGGGAAGTGGTCAATGAGCTTGAGCGAGGCCACCTCTTCGGCAGCTTGTTGGATGGCCTTTCCAAGCTTGGGATCTGTGGTAGGGTTAGCAATGCAGTGCAGGCTCGGGCTCGTTCAACGGGACGTACCCAGCCCAAACTTCATGTTGACCGTGGCAGCAGCGCCCTTGAGAATACCAAAGGCCCGCACAATGGGCGGGGGCATGCGGTCCTGGGGCTGGTTGATGCGGAAGTTCTCGAGGGAGCGCTCCGTCTGGGCGCCCCAGTACTTGTCGGCGGGGACCTGGATCTCGCCAAAGGCATCGCTCTCTGTTCGGGTGTTGGCCATGGCGGCGGTGGTGGCAGTGAATTGGCGGCGCTGGAAGGCAGTCTGAGGCTTGGAGAGCGAGGCTCTGGTGGTGGAGAGCGGGCGCGTAATGCGGGCACAGCTGAAGGAGGGGCTGCTGGCCTTCGCATGTGCCAGTGATCGCAGGGCGCCGGCCTCGGCAGCACGGAGCTTGGTCGCGCTTCGGAACATGGTCGCAGCTGGTGGTGGTAGGGGATGGGGGGGGCCAATTGGCGGGGGAGGATGGAGATGGATGCTGTGAGGATGCGCAATGGACGCTGGAGGCCAGCCAGAAGACGACGGAGAGACAATTGCTCGAGACAACAAGAGGCAGAGCGAGACAAAAACACCGGCCAGCGCTCGAAGAAGCTCTGGCCTCCGCCCGCTTCGGATGGGAGCGCGGGACTCGCCTCCGATCTGTCCCGCGGTCGGGCGGGTCACGTGACGCATCACCCGCCAAGATGCAGGCGGAAATGTGCGATGGCGAGGGCGGCACGGCGACACGGTGAGGCGAGACGATATGGTGCAAGGATTTTTGATACCTCGACCGTGACCGCGACCGCGACCGCTGCAGAGCCCTCTCCCCGTCGCTTCTCTTGCCTTTCCAGTTCCACTTCTTGGGCCCCAAACTCGGCGCCAACATTCTCACCATCGTCATTAGCCCGAGCCCGCCGTGCGCATGCAACTCGACGTCTTGGACTCGTCTTCCGGCTCAGCCACCAATTTCACTCGTTGTCTCTCTGTCGCCGTCGCCAAAATGCACAGGCAAAGACAGCCGGCCTGGCCAGCCGCCGCTGCTCGCTCGAGGTAACGATTCGCGCCCGCTGCCGGCTGCTGTGCCATACATAACACGACAATTTAGCTGCCCACATGCCCTCTGCTTGCTTGCTGCTTGCTTCCTTCGGCCACCCTAGTGGAAAGTCTGCATAGTCACCGATCAAACTTCGGCATGATCGGGCACACCCTGTTGCGTGAAACCCTTCGCGCCCATGGTCCTTTTTCCGCTGAACCTCCGTACGCCGTGCCGTGCTGCGTTCCGCTCCAATGTTTTTTGAGGCTTATTGGGGGGGGCAATAGCCATCCATGCTGCCCTCCTCTCCGGACCATGTTAGAGCCGCATAGGCAAACGCACGAGTACAACAAGCAACTAGGTCGCACCGTGACGCCCCGGCTGCCTGAGCCCTGCGCCCTGCGCCTTCCGGCCTCCGACCACTGGCCATGATTAGATTAATGCAGGCGAGTCAAGTCGAGGGCACCTGATCCGTCTCCACCGTTGTTGCAATCCATGCTGGCTGCTCGCTATTGAGCGTGCCAACGTGACAGCGAGCTAATGACCCCTCACCTTCATTCATTCACAGCCTGGTTTCCACCTTGGACAAACGATCCTGCCCGACTCTGTCGCTCCTCTAGCTGTTGCCCTCTCGCACCCTTCCACTCGGTCCTCGACCCTGCTTCACCTTTGCCCCCATTCACTTTCGTGCACCATCGGTACCACCAAAGGCCGCACGCACTTGCTAAGCCGCAGATAAGGCTTCCATGACGCTGTTCGACCCTTCTGCCCTATACTCTTCTACGCAACAACTACCAGAACCGGGAGCGAGAAACCATTTCCACCTCTTCTACACCTGTTCCAACATCCTCTCTACTAATCCTCCCAACATTTGTCCTGCTCACTTGGCAACCTCCCCGCTCTCCACCCGCTGACGCCGCTTCACCTTCAACTTTTACACAAGGACAACACCCCTTCTCTCCTCCAAACAAAGCTCGTATGGCTGAACCTGACTACGGTGCCGCTTCCTGGGCTCATGTGACGACTGGTCCCAGACATCAGGGTGCAGAGTTGGCTGCCCCACTTCTCTCTGCACATGCTCCATTCCAACAACAACTCCCGCCTCTGTACGGAGGCGTATATCTGCCCATGAGCGACCATCAAACACCCCAAAGCCGCAACGTACCAGATGGATCAGCCGGCAATCCGCTCCATGACCGCTCTCCGTATCCACCTGCTGGAATCCGCTACCCATATTACCAGCCGCATATGTTCCCGTATCAATTCACGGGTCATCCACGACCGCCACCTTCTTTCTGGAATGGAGTTGACCATGTGCATCCCGATCAGTTGTTTTCTAACCCTAGTAACACGATGCAAGGCCATTTACCTGGCCAAACAATAGGAATACCACATCAGAATAACCCATTAGCACCGGCTCTGAATGCAGGAATTCCGCCATTTATTCGACGTCGCAATGAGCACAGGATGGCAGTCGAGGCAATGTCACGGAATTCCCATGCGGGGGGCATGCGAACCCCTCACCAAGGTCATCGGGATTCAGCGCATCCGGAAGTGCGGCTGCAGAGCACTAGATCACAGCCCCACGAACACCGTCAGCCGAATGATCCAATGTCTCCTGGATCAGGGCACCGCCCGTGGGCATCGCCTGGAGGCCATGGTCGCCGTTCAGACCGCAGCATCTCTCCGCGAACATCAAATCGCCGGAGTTTTGAGAGGTATTCGGTTGACCTCTCACCTTCGAGCACGTCATCTGACGCAGAAGAGGCGGCTGCCAGAGCGCCACCCCCGAATCGCTTGAGGACCCGAACAAGAGACGTGCGTCCACGATTCACGGGCTACCGCCCACATATTGATCCCAACATTGCCACTCCAAGACAGATCCAGGAACTCAAAGATGGTCTTCCGCGGCGCCTGCCAAGCGAGCTTCCCGACGATGCATCCAAATGTTGTGACATTTGCCAAAAGGACTACTCAGCCTCGCATGTTCTGCCTACAGAAGAGGAGGAGATTGCGGTAGTCTTGTCCTGTGGACACACATTCGGAGAATTCTGTATTTTTCAATGGGTGAGTCTTGAAAGGTGTAAAAGTGACGATGGTTGCTGAGTCCAAACTAGCTTGATACGTGCAAAACCCACAAAAACAAAGTAACTTGCCCAATGTGTCGGAAGCAGCTGATCGAGGCACCACGATATCTCCAAAGCATGATGCACGCCTTTCCTCGCAATGGGCAAGCATTTGTTGACCTATTGGCTCGTGAGCAACTTCTTGCTAACGGAATACCGCGTGAGTTCCACAACTTGTAAAAGGATGCTGAGCAGACACAACATGTGGAGTTAGATGACAACAAGGGACGAGTCATGTGGTGTGATAGCATTAGCATATGTTGCTTCCATGTTATCGCGTTGCCAGGGCGGATAGATGTGTGGAACTATGATATCATTCTTTGGCGTGGATTGCCTGTTTGGGGCCCATGTACGGCGTTTCTGCGGGCGGGGTATGGTGTTTCTCCGGGCAGGTCGACTTACTGCAAGGTTTGAATTCTGGATATGCGAGGCATAGTTCTTGAAGGGATCTGTACATAATATACGATGAGAAATAAAGACGGCGACAGCACACTTGATACACTACTAAAAATGGCAATCTTGACCCATGACGGCGATCGGAAAAGGCGGTTCCACATGCCAGGGAGCCTGGATTTCATCGTTGCCCGGAGCAGACTTAGCCCAAAACACGCACCCCACCATCAACACGAAGCTGAGCGCCAGCCGCCTGCATTTGTTTTGTCGCAGGCTCTGCAAGGTACCGACGCCTGGTGTATACATACATATACGTAGGCGATTGTTTGCGCATACACTGCAGATTCGACGCTGGCCTGCTCCTTCTTGTTCTCCGTCGTTGCGACGACCGCCCCACCTGCGCAACTGCAACCACCCCCTTCTCCGTCGCTATCGGGTACTAGACGAGCATGCAAGACAACGACAACGTCAACAACAGAGACGCAGACGGTTTCCAGCTACCCGCCCCTCCGCCGCTACTTCACACCCGTGGCAAGAGTATGGACCGTCCAGGCACGCCGGCCGAGGCCTTCATCAGCCCGCAGCAGACACCTCAGGGCAGCCCAAGTAAACACCACCAGCCGCCCGGCGCATTTGATCTGCCCCATGTCTTCGAGAATGCCATGAGGCTACTTCCCACCATTGGTTCTCCAAGAGCGAAGCCGACATCGCCAACATCGCCCAACAAGTTGAAATTGGGCAGCGGCGGCGAGGATGGGGACTATGCGGGGCCAGACTCGACTACTGTCGCATCGGGCTCTCCAACGCGCAGGTCCAACCAAGAGAACGCACCCCCCGGTGGACGCTCTGCTATACAAAAGGACAACGGTCACATGACACACGCAGCACAGTCGCGGCAGGAACCTTACCGGACGCGCGAGGCAGAGCAGTCAACACGGTACTTGAACGGTCCACAGCGCCTCTCTGCCGAAGATCTGGAGAAGGCGAGGAAGCCAGCAGTAAAGCGTCTCGCAAACGTCACTCAACTATGTAGGCCTGTTATCCTCTCAAATCGCAACAGCACTAACCAGCCGTGCAGACTTTCTCGACTACTACTACGACCTGCTCACCTACGTACATACCCGCCAAAACCGTCTCTCCCAGTTCAAGGCGCAGAACCCTCTTCCACCTGAGACGCCCGAAGAAGAGTATAACAGTGCTCTTACACAGTATCTCGGTCGCGAACGTGCCAACCTCCGCAAGCGACGCACTCGATTGAGGCAAGGCGACTTCCAGATTCTCACCCAAGTTGGCCAAGGTGGTTATGGACAGGTGTACTTGGCTCAGAAGAAGGACACCCGTGAAGTCTGTGCCCTCAAAGTCATGAGTAAGAAGCTGTTGTTCAAGCTGGATGAGGTCCGCCATGTTCTGACGGAGCGCGACATTTTGACCACTGCTAAGAGCGAGTGGTTGGTACGATTACTCTATGCATTCCAGGACGACAAGAGCATTTATCTTGCCATGGTGAGTTACGGCGTTGAAGAAGTATGATCATGAGCTAATGATAGCAAAGGAATATGTTCCTGGAGGCGACTTTCGTACCCTGCTTAACAACACGGGCGTTCTGCACAACCGACATGCGCGCTTCTACATTGCTGAGATGTTCACATGTATCGACTCGCTGCACCAGCTGGGCTACATTCACCGAGACTTGAAGCCTGAGAACTTTTTGATTGATAGCACTGGACACGTCAAACTGACCGACTTTGGTCTTGCTGCAGGTATTCTTGCCCCCTCCAAGATCGAATCGATGCGTATCAAGCTCGAGTCTGTGAGCGATGTCGTCTCGCCATTTGGTCGGCCTATAGAAGAGCGTTCTGCGGCGCAGAGGAGAGACAACTATCGCTCGCTTCGCGAGAGAGACGTCAACTACGCAAAGAGTATTGTAGGCAGTCCCGACTACATGGCGCCTGAAGTACTCAAGGGTGAGGAGTATGATTTCACTGTTGACTACTGGAGCCTGGGGTGCATGCTCTTTGAAGCATTGGCCGGATACCCGCCCTTTGCTGGCGCTACGGTTGATGAGACGTGGCAGAACTTGAAGCAGTGGAAGAAGGTATTGCGAAAGCCCGTGTACGAAGACCCCTCATACTTCCTGTCCAAGCGCACTTGGGACCTCATCGTTCGTCTCGTAGCGTCCAAGTCATCTCGATTCCGCAACATATCCGAGATCCACGCGCATCAGTATTTTGCTGAAGTAGACTGGGCGAAGTTGAGAGAGCAAAAGGCACCATTCGTACCAGAGTTGGACAGCGAGACCGACGCCGGATATTTTGACGACTTTGGCAACGAAGCCGACATGGCCAAGTACAAGGAGGTGCACGAGAAGCAGGCTGCTTTAGAAGCAATGCAGGACCGCAATGTTCAAATGGGCAAGGGTCTCTTCGTCGGATGTGAGTATTGATACAAACACAGGCTGTATCGTCTTGCTAACATAGTTCTAGTCACCTTCCGCCACAAGAAGCAAGCCGAAGAAAACGGCAAGCCATCAACCCCCCGGAAACCACTTCCCATGGTCGACGAGAATTTTGATACCATTTTCTAGAGGCATTGTCCTCGTTTACCACGCCGTGGCACTGGTTGCGACGGCGCTTTTGTGCGTTTAGTGGGGTATGAGTATCTTTTGAAGCACCTGGCACTTGTCAATCTGCGACGAGCAACGAGGTGAATGCATATAAGGAAGGCTTTCATGACTTGGCCATGACAGCATGGAGTAGTTTAGATTCGGCGTTTCGTGCGAGCCATGCGTATTTATCTTGGCAGGCAATTGTGCGGCATGCATTCGAAGGATCGTGTATTAGTAGTCAATGAATGCACGAGTACTGTGACTGTTTGTACTGTTCGTATTGTTTGCATCCGGGTTGCTACGCCGTTTGGTTGCACAGCTATTACTCGACGAACACGCTCTCACGTGATAGCGTCTCGCGGTTCAACGCATGGACGCGAGACGCTACGCTAAGCGGCAATCCCCGTTCATCCATCATTCCCCTCTCTAGAGACAGTGCACTGGACAATCAACCCCCACCAATACGCATACGCCGCGACGATGCCCGGTCTAGTCCGAAGAGGGCGGAAACGTCCATCACTGGCCGTCAGCGAGCAAGTCGATGAGCAGTCCGACGACGACTCCGCCACGTCGAGCAGCAAACGCGCCCGCCATGACCGGGACGCGTCGGACAGTCCTTCGCTCGGCACGTACACGCAAAACGATGATGCAGACGGAACAAGCGCATACATTCAAGATGACTTCCAGCCAGGCTCTCTTGTCAGGGTAAAACTGAAGAACTTTGTTACATACACGGCTGCCGAATTTCATCTGGGGCCCAGTTTGAACATGGTCATTGGTCCAAACGGGACAGGAAAGAGTACACTTGTGTGCGCAATATGCCTGGGTCTTGGATGGGGCAGCGAACATCTGGGAAGAGCCAAGGATTTGGGTGCTTTTGTCAAACATGGTGCTAGCGAAGCCATTGTCGAAATCGAGCTTGCAACAGGCCCAGGCAATGGTCCGAATCGCATCGTCCAACGCACCATTCGCAAAGAGGACAACAAGTCTGTATTTTTTCTCGATGGCAAGCGTGTTTCCCAAGGCGCTGTAACAACCATGGCCAAACAATTTTCTATACAGATTGATAACCTTTGTCAATTCTTGCCTCAAGATCGTGTCGTCGAGTTTGCCAAAATGACCGATGTCGACCGCCTACGAGAGACTCAGCGTGCAGCGGCGCCCCCACACATGGTTGAGTGGCATGACGAACTCAAGGCCCTGCGTATTGAAGAACGAAATGTCCAGACAAAAGAAACCAACGAGCGCAGTCATTTGGAAAAGTTGGAAAAACAGCAAAATGCAACCAGAGAAGATGTCGAACGATTCCATCAACGCGAGGGCTTGTTGCGCAAATCGAAATGTCTGAAGAAGGTCAGGCCTATGATTGAGATCAAGCTGCTCAAAAATGACATATTGAAAATGAAGGAAGACCGGAGGTTAGCCATGATGGAGCTGGATCAGATCAAGGAAGACATGGAACCAGCGCGTATAGCCTTGTCAGAAGTGGAAACATATCGTAATCAGATCGAGCAAGCTGTGAAGCTCCGCAAGAACCGTGTCGACTTGATTAAGACACAAGCCGACAAGCTCGTGAAAGACATCGATACGGAAAAGGCCAAGGCCAGCGACTCCACGGAGTTGATCAAGGTCGAGCTGAGAGCCAAAAAATCGCGTGAGCAGGATATTGTCCGTATTACGGCTGATATCAACAGGTTAGAACAAAAACGACAGAATACGGCTGTGGAATACGATGCTGCGTCTTTTGAAAGTCGCAAGGCAGAAGTTCGAGGTCAAATTTCCACCATCAGCAACAGCGTAATGGACAAGCAAAATTCGGTGTCGGGTCTACGCGAACGCGCGCGTGCAATTGCAGACGAGAACGCAAAGCTGAACACACAGCGAGAGCAATTGAACACCCAAAGCGGCAAACAGGCAAGCCTTCTACAGAGGCTCTCTCCCGATACTGCAAAAGCTTGGAAATGGATTCAGGAAAACAAGCACACTCTGAATTTTAAGGGTGAAGTCATTGGTCCGCCAATCCTGGAATGCTCCATTCCAGATACCAGATATGCTCAAGCTCTAGAAGGCCAACTGAGGAAAGGCGATGTCATTGCAATTACTTGTACTCATAGCGATGACCAGCAGTTACTGTCGAACCTCCTCATTAGAAAGGTAGCCAATGGGGGCCAAGGACTGCACGATGTCCATCTTCGGACATCACCCAAGTCCCTCGATTCGTACAAGCCTCCCGTCATGAAAGAGGATTTGGAACAATTTGGCTTTCAAGGCTACATGCTCGACTTCATTCAAGGACCCGTTGCTGTTTTGGCTATGCTTTGCGACAACAACCGCCTGCATCAGATAGCTTATTCTCCGACCCCAATATCAGATGAGCAGCACGCTGCTGTATCAAACAGCCCTATCCGCACCTGGGTCAGTGGCACAGAGACCTTTCGCATCGTCACGCGCAGAGAGTACAACGCTTCCTCAACATCCGTCACAAAACTTAGGCCTGCCCAATGGTTTACAGATCAACCAACTAACACAGAAGAGGTTCGGGCAATTGAGTCGAGGATAACAGAACTGGTGCAAGAGAAAGAAGAGATCCAGGAAAATTACGCCAATGTGACGACCGAAATGAAGAGCCTAAAACAAGAACTCGAGGAACTCAAGCAGGCGAGGGTATTGACTTTTCTACAATGTATCAATATTCATTTCTGACATCGCACCAGGAAACGATACAAGCAGAGCAAGACGCTACGAAGAAAGCTCTAGCCGAGTGGCGGGCTATTCCTGATAAGATCGGTAGGTTTGCCTTTGTAAATCAATAGGGTTGTCTGCTGATGCCCCATAGCTTCCAAGCAGGCCCAATTGGACGATCACAAGCAGCAAAATGCAGAGACGAATGAGCGCATCCGTGAAATCAAAACACAGGCTCGTGAGATATCATTACGCGTAGCGGCACTAGCTCTAGATTATGCTGTACGTAGTAACTGTCTTGCTCATCATATTTTACTGACGGTCATGCAGAAAGCTGTGACGCATATGCGTACATTTCATGAATCGCTCATTGAAGCCGAGATTCGGTTCATAGAAGCCAAGTCAGAACTCAATGCATTGAGAAACGAAAACAGTGCAATGATCCAAAGGCAACAGACGAAAGAAACCGAGGTTCAAGAACTTGGCAGTCGCATCAAACGTCTTAGCGAAGAGTACAAAAAGAAGACAGCAGCTACTCAACAAGACATTGAAACCTTGACCGAAGAGGAGAAGCAGATTGTTTTAGAGTATCGCGAACTCCCTTCATTTGACGACCTCGAGCAGGAAGTTCAAGCCGTCGCTGCACGGCTGGAGATGATGGCTGAAGGCAACCCTGGTGCTATCAGAGCTTACGAGAAGCGCGAAGAGGACATGAACAGAACGCGAGAGAAGCTAGAGCAGTATACGGCTAGCCTCGCTGAGATCAGGGAAAAGATCACAGAGATTCGTGAACAATGGGAGCCACAGCTTGATGCCCTCATCAGTAAGATAAGTAATGCCTTTGCATACAACTTCCAGCAGATTGGATGTGCTGGCGAAGTCGCTGTGTTCAAGGATGAAGAGGACTTTGATAACTGGTCTGTTCAGATCTCAGTCCGCTTCCGGTATGCCTCAGCCATTTCATCTACATGCGCGTATAGCTAACACACGCCAACAGTGAAAACGAGCCCCTCAGTGTCCTTAATTCCCACCGTCAATCCGGTGGCGAGCGCGCTGTCTCCACCATTTTCTACCTCATGGCTCTCCAGGATCTCGCCCAGTCGCCTTTCCGTGTCGTTGACGAGATCAATCAAGGTATGGATCCGCGCAATGAACGAATGGTGCATGAGCGCATGGTAGACATTGCCTGCCAAGAGCGTACAAGCCAATATTTCCTTATCACCCCAAAGCTCTTGACTGGCCTCAAGTTTCATCCCAAGATGAAGGTTCATGTCATCAATTCTGGAGAACATATTCCCGACTCGAAGACTGTCAAAGGGGGTTGGGATCTGAACGACATGGCCAAAATTGCGCTAAGAACAAGGAAGGGTATTACGGTTACTTGATTGAGGATGCTTGCTGGTGTGAGCACTAAGCAAATCGGCTTCGCTTCGTTTTTCTATCTCTTTCCGTGTTTGCTTCCATCGAGGTCAAGATGTATCACGTCGCATCAATAGTCTCACTGCGCCGCAGTTCTAGCCATGAACCTGCCACAGCTCAGACTTCCAAGGAACACGCCTCCGAGCACCGACATGAAGTATCCCACATTCATTGTCATGACAGCTATCATGCTGAGCGATGTGTTAATATGCGGATCTTGCGACAACATCGGTGTCGCAAAGAAGGGGAGAAAGGAGAAGCAAGAGCAAAGACTTACAGCAGATACGACACCCCGGCAAGGATTACATCGAGACTCGCAACCCAAACCGCCTCATCGGCTCTCCAGCGTCTCTTTTCCAGTCTTGCTTTATCTTCAATCTCTGGCTGTCCCTTGGCTTGCGCTAGTACCGCGAATAAGTTGAAACGGACAGCAACCAAGGCGCGGAACAGGGCTGCAAGTGCAATGAGGAATATACACGTTCCTGCATATTGGCCTGGGGTGGCAGGAGTCCAGGATGCGGAGAAGAGGGACGTGCTGGTTGAAGTGAAGAAGGTCATGGACATGGTGGACATGTGCATTCCCGACATTCCTGACATTGTGGCATTGGAGTCAGTGGACGTTATTGACGTTGACATGTGCATGTTGGTAGCCGCCCGTATGGTTCTTCTGCAGACGTCTCTATCTTCTTGATCGAGATGCTCGAGGTGGTGGTGTGTAGGTAAACCAACAGATGATGCAAAAATATATTACTACCCGAACAAGCTTTTGCTCGCCAGATAACCTTGTTCCGCTGGTGTATGACAGAGAAATCGTCGTTTGAAGAATCACTTGGAAAAAAAAGTACACAGTTGACCAGAACTCACTGTCGTCGCAACCGCCCAAGCCCACTGATATACCCGCACCATCTTGCCAAACCGGACAAAGGCACGAAAACAAACTCTCTTTACCTCCAAGCATCCCAGTTCCAAGGCCCCTCGATATTCCCCCAGCACACGCACTACCCCCACCCACCCAACACGGACCAAACAATGCGCGCTGAGAAAACTTGCTCAATCGTGCTCATAGTACGCTTACCCCGCCCTCATTGGCCCATCAGCAAAAAGATAATATGCACACCCTAGTAAAAAGAACGCAGAACTAAGCATTTGCGAGGGTTGGAGTTAAGCTTTGATAAGCTTATTCGGTGCGGTTGGGAGGCTTTGGGTGCGTGGAGGTGGTGTGGTGGTGGAGTTGGAGGGGGTAGGGGAAAGGGGTTAGATAGACTTCACCCCGACATGCATGCTTAGTCCTTTGAACTCCCTTTTTTTGGTTTCTCTTGTTGCCCTTGGGTCTACTTGTCTGTTCATCCTCTGAGGTCCCCATTGCACATACATATCTTGGTTGAAAGGAAAGAAGAGCAAGAAGAAGAAGAGTAAGAAGAGACAATGAGCGAAGCATGGATCTCCATCTCTCCCGGTATCTCAGGCATGCGCATGTTCGAGTGTGGAACTAAGACTGCAGAGGAGTGTGCGTGGTATAAGCATCGATGGCACTTTTGGTATGTAGCAGATTACGTATTTGCGCTGCCGACTGTTGCGTTTTTCATGAGTGGGATTGGGGTTTTCGTTGTTGCGCACGTTATTTCTGGGTTGTTTTTGCGGCAGAGGAAGGCAGGACGGGGTGTGTTGGTGAGGAAGGTGGTGGCGGGATCGAGGTATTTGGCGTATCGCGGGTTCCATGTTAGGCGGTTGAAGTGGAACTCTGCGCCGGTTGGGGTGTTGTTGCTTGGTGCGGCTGGTGTGGTGTTCTTTTTTTGTAAGGAGCCCTTTTTTGAGAATATCGGATTTGGGTATCGAGTACTGACTTTTGGTAATAGGTATGGACCTGATACCGCAACCGTACTATTGGGCTAGCAAGAAGTTTGGTAATTCACCGCCATTGGCTACACGGTCGGGATGGCTGGCGTTGGGATGCATGCCGTTTCTCTTGTACGTTTTGTAACTGACATGGTAGTACTAATCCTCTTTACTAATTGGCATCAGTGCTACGGCGAGCAAAACGAATTGGATCACACTGGTCACCGGAGTATCGTATGAACGACTTCAAGTATTTCATCGATGGATTGCATACGCCTTTTTCGTTCTTGCGCTTATGCACACATTTCCCTTCATCGTATACCACATCCATTGGCACGATATGGAGCACCATTTCTCGAACAGTCTGCTATTCTACTGGACGGGGATAGTAGCGCTCGTCTTTCAAGCATGGCTGACGTTCATGTCGCATAGTGTCTTTCGGTTAGTAGTCTTCCCATGAGCTCGAGTTTCGTACATAACTAATGCACCACCCAGAAACCGTGGATACGAACTCTTCAAAGCAACACACTTCTTTGCTGCCGTCGTCTTCATGATAACCTTCTTCTGGCATTGTGATCAAACGCTGACTAGTTGGGACTACTTCGTTGCTACGGCTGCCATATACGTTCCTTGCTACGTATACCCATGGCTTCGCACGGCATTTGAATACAAATGGACTCAGCGAGCACGGGTCACAGTTGAGGATAACGGGTTCATCCGTGTTTCCATTCCGGCGACGTTCCACTGGACTCCGGGCCAGCATTGCTTTCTACGCTTTACGAGTTTTGGTTTCCTATCTACCCTGACTGCTCACCCATTTACTATTTGTTCTACACCTGCCAAGATGTCGGCAGAATCTAATGAGCTGGTGTTTTACATTCGCCGTCAGGGCGGGTTCACAGAAAAACTATATCAGCATGCGTTCACTAAACCCGACGGCGACGTCCCGGTTCTTGTGGACGGTCCTTACGGCGGTGTTAGTTGGCTAAAACTGTGTAATGCAGACCGTCTTCTAGTTATCGCTGGTGGATCTGGTGCCGGCTGGACCTTGCCATTCGTTGAGTATTTTCTTCGATCAGTTGCAAATTTCACCGACGAAGCAGCACCTCGTACCTCCTATACGGCCCCGACATCGCTACGCGTTGTACTTGCGACCCGCGATACCAAAAGTCGCTTGTGGTTCGAGCAAACCCTGCAAACTATACTTGCACAATACCCAACTGCAGTCTTATCATCCGTCCAAATCGAAGTCCACCTCACTGGTGAAACCGCAAATCAAGCTGACATCCTGCCAAAAACAGTACAGCCATCAACCCATTCAGTGCCATCTGAAGCTTCGAATGACATCGTAGTTGGCACCGAGAAAGAAGGCGAGACACTTGTATCAGGCAAAGAACACACGGGTCGACCACAACTACCGCTCATCGTGCAGGAAGAGGCGGAGAAAGCAGCGGATGCAGATGAGACGCTGAACGTGTACATCTGCGGGCCGAAGACGATGCAGAACGATGTGCGAAATGCCGTTGCAGTCGAGAACCTGAAGATCATCACTGGTGCGAGGAGCGGGGGCGTGTATTTACATACTGAGCACTTTTCATGGGCATAGATTCGATGTCCGTATATACTCTCTTCGTATTCGAATTCATCTCACATATTAAAGATGTATTACATCCCCTTTGATTACATCCATACCACCTTCCACTTAACCACCCCCACCTTACTCCCACTCGCTCCTTCCCAGAACCCCCTTACCCCCCTACCCCTCCCGCCTCGACAAACTCATTCCAGTCCTCGCATTCCTTCCACCACCCCACTCATCCCCATCACTGTCATCATCCTCTTCCTCTTCTTCATGCTCTCTCTCCTCCCTTGCCTCCCTCGACCCTCTCGCCGCCCCTGCCTCTCCTGCCTCTCCTTCAACAACAATCTCCACGCGACTCTCCAACACCACATTCTCCATGTTTCTCTTCTCTACACCCAACTCAACATCTCCGCCAGCGTTGGCTTGGCGCCGCGCACGCGCGAGACGGCGTTGGCGCCCAAAATATGTGAGCTCGAGGAGGAGAAAACAGAGGAGGATGAATACTATGATGCAGGCGGTTATTATGCCGGCTTTTGTGCGGGAGTTGAGGTGGGTTTTGGAGTGGGAGGATGAAGGGCGGGTCGAGGAGGTTGAGGTTAGTTTTTGGGAGGTCTGGTTGGGGGTGTTAGAGGAAGAAGTTTGGTTTTCCACGATAGAGAACGATGGGGATATATACATTGAAGTCTGTTTCAACATGGCTATTGTATTTTTGTGTGACTTGGTTTGAGTTTCTTCTAGCAAGTAACATGGTTTTGGATACGATAACTGATTCATCCAGCGGATTTATATATTTTGGATTTTGCAAATGATAGAGAATATTGGATGGACGTGGAGCGACACGCGATCAGGTAAAGAGGAGGAGGAAGGGTAGAGATACATATCTCCTGATATCCTACTCAATACACAAACACATCCTAAAGTCCTTTCACTGCATGAACAGCTTGCCGCAGTGCTACCTGCGGTACTACTTTACGCCACTCCACCTCCATCGTGATAGACATTGCAACCAAGAAAACCGAACATCGGGGAAGCGTAATTTTTTTTTTGAGAATGTATAGAAGTAAACACAAAGTCCGAATAAAATATGAATACAAAAAAAAGGTATAGTCACTACGTAGACGTGAGACTACAAAGAGAAAAGCAGCAAACTACGCTAACAGAGCACGAAAGCAGTTATCATGTATACTTTTGTAACTCCTCCTCCCACCACTATTATCGTGCCTGCTTGAACCATTATCGTTGTTGAGCAGAAAAGCAAGGAAAAAAGAATTAACGCCGTGCATGCAAAATGAAACAACGCCTCTTTTCGCGCCCCCCCCCCTCGCGTAGCACACCGCGCCACCAACATGCTGCCGTGTAACAGCCAGAACAAGGGGGAGGGGGAGGGGGAGGGGAGGGAGGTAACGACGAAAAAGAAAGCCAAAAAATAGAGGCATCATACGAAAACGAGGTGTAAATAAACAAACAGCATAGCATGTGATTTAGTACGCGGTCCCAAAAAGGTACGCATGTAGTAAATGACCAAAAGGAATATCCATAACTTTCATTGTCATTGTTCATTATGTTCAACGCACCAAGTCAAAAAAAAGTATTTACAAAAAAACTTGCCCCATGGTTCATCATCCATCATAATCATCTAAGCATCACGGAGCATGCTAGCAACACCAGCCCAAGTCTCCAAAACAGTGGGGCGGATCTGGTTAGCAGGGAGCGAGAATCCGTATGTACCGGTATCCCTGAGCTCATAGGTGTACGAGTAGGTAGCATTACCCTCGACATCGGTGTAATCGGTGGAAGAGCCGGTGGTGGCGTAGAGAGTAGAGCAGCTGGGGCCAATGGTGTAGGCAGTTCCCGAGACAGCGCGGATGGCGGATTGAGCGCGGGATGCGAGACTGCGGTGCTGAGCGTCGTTTTCGGGGCGGAGACTGCAGTTGTAGCCGTAGGGCCAGAGGATGTATTGGCCGTAGGAGCTAGGGTGGGGTGGTTAGCTTTAGATCTGGCGAGGGGAGAATGGTGATGGAAGGGGGGGAACATACTGTACGTCGAGGTAGAGGCTGATTCCGCGCGTTCCCTTTAGAGTATCGACTTGAGCTTTGATGGCCTTGAGCTCGGGGGTGTCTCCGGCGGCAAGACCCTTGTAGGTTTCCGAACAAGGGCTGGTGGAGGCTCCGCCAGTCACCTCCCACTTGTATGGCCAGTTGCCTTTGATACAATGTTAGCATGTTGATCATACGGTGCTTTGATATGGTGCCTTACGGTTGATATCGCGGCCAACACATGAGCTGGTGCTGACAGTCTGACGGTTCTTGCGCCAGAGACGGTCTGTGGTCTGAGAGTAGACGAATCCGTCAGGGTTGACAATGGGGGTGATGTAAAAGTCGAACTTGTCGACGAGAGCCTTGATGCTTGAGTCGGAGGCGTACTTGGTCAGAAGCTGCCACGCGAAGTACCTGAGATGGAGATTAGTTTGTTGGTTCAATAATAATCTCATGGCAGAGTCGCTTACTCAGTAGTCATGGAAGTGATCCACTCTCGCGCGTGAACGTTTCCGTGGATAATGACAGCAGGCTTGGATCCCTTGCCACCGCTGCCCCAGATGTGGATACCAGTCAAGGTACGTCCTTGGACTGAGTTACCAAGGGTCACAATCTCGGAATTGCTAGTGTAGCCGGCCTGCAGATCGCGGAGGAACTGAAGGTGATCGGCATATGGGTGGTATGCTGTGAACCACGACTCGCTGGGAACTATATTCGGTGAGTGTGTAACCTTAAAAACACTGAGCGAATTACAAACCAGCATAGATTCCCATCTCGCCTTCTTCCTTGAGGGCAGCACCAACATCCTCATTGATGACCTTGCTCTCGGAAACCAATGCAGTCAATGCCGCAACATTTTCGGGTGCAACAACTACATCCATCTCGGCAGACTTGCCAGGGTTGAGGATGTGGGCAGCCAAGTTCTCAATCTGGCTCTTGACAGCATCGGTGCTAGAAACGCGCAGGACCTTGAAGCCATTGTAGTCGACCTTCTTGCCAGCGGTTGGGACAGCGCTACCCAAGGCAGTAGAGCCAAGGAGAAGGGCGGAGGTAAAGATAGTAGTCTTCATGATGAGATATGGAGACACTGACTATGTAGAAGCAAGGTGCAGCATAGTATAGGACGTGGGGAACGCTGCTTTTTATGCTTCCCCATAGTCGTACCTGGTTACGATCCACCTTCCTGTCAAGTAGCATCACCGACATGTCCCTGTCTCTTATTCGAAGTTGTATGAAATAGGCAGGTACCCCATTTTCGTGGTAGTCGACTGCACGAACGGGAGATGTGCACTCGAATAAGCCCAAGATAGGCTCTACAAGCACGGGAGATGGTCATTCGAAGGAGGTCGGAGTAAACGCCTGCGCCATGGATGGAGGATTAATTTATGGAATCACTTGGCGCACTGGTAGAGAGACGTGGGCGCGAACAAGATGATTGGTCCGGAGTCGTGTGTGCTTACCGGGTTAGGCAGGTGTAGGGCTCGGAAATCCCGGAGAGCATAATGGCTGGTCTTGGCTATGCGATAGGGCAAATCGAGGCGTGCGTAGTTTGAAGACGTGATCTTGTCGTGATGGGTAGCTAGTCGACCCAATGCAGGGTAGCAAGGACATACCTGCTTCGAAGCGATGGGCTGAAACGGGAAGGAGATCATTGGAAGGCGGTTGCCAAGTAGTAGATAGGCATGCACATTATAACTAGCTTGGTCGAGAGCGACAGGCGCAGACGATCAATATGTCTGACGTTTGCTCCTCCTAAGAAGGCACACCCAGTTCCCTGAGCACGTTTGCGCAACCGATTGTGAGCCATTCGTCGACTTGTTCCTGGCTCGTCACCCAAACACTCCCCAGCATGCCCCCCGTATTCGCACTTGCACCCTCTGTGCTGCCACTCCGACGCGGAATGATGATTAGGTGGTCCGCCCACATGGCGACATTATGTGGAGGTGTATTTTCTTCTTTCGCATCGGGCGGTGACTGGCACTGGGTCAGGAGTGCAGTATAGACCGACAGAACAGCTGAGGCTGAGGTATTCTTGAACCCCTCTTCGAAGTGATGAACAAGGTACCGAAAAGGGACTTTCTTTTCTTTTTCGTGGACAGCTGAAATGAGGTAGTCGAAAGCATGCGGCGGCCCCTTTAAGCCTTGGAGATGCTTGTGCACCCTGCTGCAGCCACCCCTTTCACCACAGTTGAAGATGACATACATGCTTGGGAATTGACGCAATACCTGGAGCATGACGACAAAGTCATCCGCATCCAAGGCTTCATGCTGACGCTTGTACGAGTCTAGTGTTAGCATGAGGAGTTGTGGTCGGTCGACACAAAACAGGTTTAGCGCCAAGTCATGCGTCTCATTCAGCTGAGTGATGATAAGTCGCTCGTCAGGGCAGAACATGTCGCTGCCTGGTCCCCATTTCCGCGACTTGTTAAAGCCATGATTTGTGGCGCCGACTGTATGTGGTTTTGTTGCTAGTGCTGGGCAGATGCGGAACTCGAGCTGAGCAGTCATGAGCGAAACGCTTGGCTTGTGGTTGTATACCTGCGCACCGGATAGCCGTCATCCTCCACTGACACAATTTTGTGAGGGCCGTATACAATGGCGCCCTCACTGGCGAGTTTGTCAAACGTTTCCACGAGGTCTGCTTCTGAGTAATCTGCCATGTTACAGATGTGGAAATGCCTGAAAAGTTGATGGCTCGGAGATTGTCGGTGAGCTCTAAGATGACAGGTACGAGGCATAGTCGGTCCGTGCACGCTGCAGATTTAGTGAGTCCATGGTAAGTAATTACAACCACGGAAAGAGACACGACCACCAAAGATAGGAAAAGGCAATCAAAAAATGGACTGTGTATAGCATTTTCCAGCTAGATAATCCAAAGCGAGACATATCCTGCACTAGAAGAGCCTCCCTCGGTGAGTGAGAAAGAACAAAAAGTCGCCCGAGTAGAAAAGAAAGAAGTTAAAAAAAAACCTCTGTTAATTATAAAAGTTATGCCCCTGTCCAAGATGCGGACTCGTGATTGCAGAGGCCAAAGTGTATGATGAAGGTGGACGCAGTGCCTGGGTATCGTGGTATCATCATCAAAGGGAGTGTAGCTATGCGGCCTCGGGCTTAGCAGAAGATGGCCTCTCTACGAGGACATAGTCAGCGCTGGTGGTCGATGAAGGGGTCGGTATTTGTGGAATCGCACCTGGCATGTTTGGCGTCTTTTGCGCAAGAGGGCTCTCGGGCGCCTGTGGTTGTGCCTCGTCTTTCTGGGTGGTTTGCTGGGTGCCACTCTTGGCTGGTGGGGAGTTGCCCTTTGCCTGGTTGAGACGCTCTTCGGCAGCGCGCAGCCTTGCTTCGAGGGCCTCGAGTTCCTTGGTCTGGGTGCTGACAGCTGCCTTCCTGGGCGGGGGTCAGTGGGCTGCCTGCGATGGCGGGAGGGAGAGAGGAGGGTTTACTTTTCATGCACTGTCCGGTCGAGGTCCTCGATGCCACCGTCCAACTTGAACAGGCTGTCGAGCTCGGTCATGAAGTTGCGCGCTATGGTGCTGCAGGCATGATCAGAATAGGCGGGGAGCTATGCTAGCGCCGGGGGAGCTCACGATTGAGGACGTTTGTTCGGCTTCCAGCCATGGTCGGGATCGTCCATGGTGGCGGGCTGTGCAGAGTATGAGGAAGCCATGATGAGCAGTAGGCGGACGGTGTGTAGTATGTGCGGTGCGGGAGCGGCTCTGGAGAAGGTCGGGGCTGACGAGGGAACGAGGGGATATATTTATGGGCTAGTGCAAGGCGAGGGTGGTAGTAAGTCGAACAAGCAGGCAAAGGGCTCAATCGTCAGACTTGTTTCATGCAGTGCTGGCGGGCCTGGTAGAGGAGAAAGAAAGCATAATGCGGCACCCCTGGAATAGAGACCGCAGGGCGATTGCAATGTAAGTATGTAGGGGAAATAGGGGACGCCCATGCTCCGGCCTAATTGGGGGGCGTAGATCAGTAGTGGAGCTTGGGAACGAACGAGGGCTTGAAGATGCGCCGCCGCGCCCGAGCCCGACGAAGGAAATAAGAAACAATAAGAAGGCAGAGACGGCGCGCGTGGGAGGCAATTGGCGCTAGAGCTGTTTGCTCGCGCCGCAGAGGCGGGCGGCGGACGGGCGACGGGCGACGGGCGACGGCGACGACGGTTGAGATACGGGGAGGGTGGCAGGCAGGGCTGCACGTCACGCGCCTGGCGGCCGGCCGGCGTGCGCCACAGTGTGGCGGTTAGTCAGGTAGTCAGGCAGGCAGGCAGGCAGGCAGTCGAAGCCCCGCGCCCGCGCGCCGCCACAGGACGAGGGCGAGGCTGGAGCGGTGGTGTGGCGGCGCACGCGTGTGATTGGCGCGCCGCCAGGGCCGGGCTGGGCTGCTGCTGTGCTGCCGTGCGAGAGGCAGCGCCGACGAAGCTCTTGCGAAGAATAATTTCCTCATCAAACCACCCGCCCAGCCCATCTGCCTCTGCCTCCGCCTCGCCGCCCGACGCGCCCATCGCCCTCCGCCGCCCCCCAGTCGCGTGCGATGCCCATCTGCCTCCGCTAGACGCCCTCTTCTCTCGTCCCTCCCTCGTCGCCGTGGCTCCCATCCCGCCCCACGCCCATCGCCCTCGCGCTGCAGACGCCTGGGGGATGACGACTAGCGTCTCTGCCTACACCAACCTCGAGTCGCTCCTGCTGTTCCAGTGCCTCCATGCCTATGGCGTCGGCCCCTCCGTCTTCGCCCGCATCTCCGACCTGCTGAAGAAGAACCCTGACATCACCACCCACAAGTACTTCCAGGCCGGCCGCCTCAGTCCCGATGCCCTGCGCAACTTCTACCTCGAGCGCCTGAAGAGAGAGCTCGAGCATGAGCAAGCCGCCGACAGCGACTCCCACAACGGCGATGTCGCGAGCCCGACCAAGCGAAAGAGACAGAGCCCGAGCCTGCCTACCGTCCAGGAATCCCTCCAGCACCAGCACTTGATCCCCAAGCTCGTCACCAAGCTCTATGCCTCGTACCGCTACGAGATTGCCGAGCAGATCAGGGCCGAGGAGGACAGATATGAGCGACTGCAGCGCGAACTGAAGAGCATCGAGCGTGGAGAGTGGGACGACCAACTGAGGGACAAGGCCAACGGACAAACATCTGCCTTGCGCAGCCCTGCCTTGCCCCGGAAGTCACCTAATCTGGCACAGAAGCCTTTGCAGCCGAGCCAAAGCCCCCAGCCCGCTCAGAATGGTGCGCGACGCGGTCCTTTCATTGCGCCTTCTCCAGATTCCACCCAGCCGTCTGGTCTTGAGTCTCCGCGACCTGCGCCTGCTCAAAATGGACAGCAATCGCCATCTCAATCCAAGAGGCAGCCTTCTACGCCGCAATCCCACCCGACGCCGCCTCCGCCAACAGCACATCAAGCCCAGCCTGCGTCGCATCATGCAGCACACAACAGCGCTCAATATCCAAACATCACCCCTTTCCCTCAGGCACAGACACCTCAAAACGCACAGCATCAGCCTGGTCCACAGCATCGTGACGGCCACCCGTCGCAGCCCCCATCCCCAGCTGTAGGGTCGCCAGGACTGCAGTATCAGCCGTCGCCAGCCCAGAACTATGGCGGAAATGGAATACCTCAGTACGGCGCTCCAGGAACGCATCCGCAATACCACCCACCGCACCAGCAGTTCCCGAACCAGCAACCTCCGGGGCCTCACTCGCCAGGTCTACACCCTGGACAGCAGAGGGCGCCGTACCCCCATTCTGGACACCAGCCGTACCCTCCTTTACAACCTCAAATGCCACACCCACCACCCCAAGCAGGTTTCATGCTTCCACCCTTTCAGGTTGCTCCACAGGATCCATCGCGTGTCCATCACCAAGCAGCTGTGCCGCCGCACCCCCAAGCCTCGACACCTACGAACAACCGACAGCCGCCACGGGCGAGTTTGCAAACGCCCGGCACTGGCAGAGCAGGCGCGCCCCCAATCCATCCTCTTGTCACTCAGGCGAGACAATCACTCACGACACCTTCTACCGCGCACTCTCCACAGAGTTCTCTTGGAACTCCTGTATCTGCAAAGAGTTTATGGAAACGATCTAGTTTCAATGGGACACAGTCTACTTCTTCAAGCCCACGTCCAGAGGTGGAGCCACTCGATGATGTGCCGCCCCTAGTCCGCTCGAATCAGAGTCCCGCTAAAACCAAGTCACAGCGCAAGTCCAGGGCAAAGGGCAAAGGAAAAGATCCAGACCAGGATTCCGTACCAGACGCCGAAACCCCGCAAAATTCCAAACTAATCAACGACCACGAGGAAGAATCTTTGGCGGAACCCGAAACTCGATCTGGACGTTCTCGACGAAAAGCCCCGGCAAGGCGAACACGACCCGGAAGCATTGCATCTTCAAGAGCTGGTGGTTCTGTGCGAGACCGAAGCAGAAGTCAGTCAATTCTCTCACATACCGATACGGTAGCGGCAGACAACGAGTCGCAAACTGGCAACAGGATCAAGTCGGAACGAGGAACCTCTGTCGAGGCTATTGATGAGGAAGCTACCGCCGAAACACCGTCACATATGTCTACCCGACGTCGAGGAGTAGCTGCAATGTCGTCACTTTCAACGCGTCGAAAGCGCAATGCCCGCGAAGCTTCTCTGGAGGCCGAGGACACATCATTTGGCACGCCTGGTCCTCCTCGATCTATCATAGCACCACGTAATTTTGCACGCATGACAGCCCCCATGATGTACGACATTAATTCCCACAAGCACGCATCTACATTCAATACTGCAGTTCGCGCCAAAGACGCAGAAGGCTATTATGACATTATCAAGCGCCCGACAGATTTATCTTCCATCAAGAAAGCTATAGCAGCAGGCTCAAAGCAAGTTGCTGCAGCTGCAGCGGCGTCAGAAAACCCAACTGCCAGTCCCGGCGGTGCAACTGGAGGCCTCATTGAGCTTCCCTTCACAGCAGACAATGTGCCTCCAAAAGCCATTGTCAACGCGGCACAGCTTGAAAAGGAACTTATGCGCATGTTCGTCAACGCTGTCATGTTCAACCCGGGAGAAGAAGGCGTGGTCAACGATGCAAGAGACATGTTCCAGACTGTCCAGGGGCTCGTTAGCACATGGAGAGATGTCGAGAGGGATAGTGGCAAGGCAGGTAACGAAGGCACCCCTGCCGCCGAGGAAGAGGATCCGCCGACGGCCAGCAAGCGGAGGAAGTTATAGTATAATTCCCGAACATCGCAGCTGTGTATACGAAAATGAAATAAGGTTTCAGAGTAATGTCAGGTTCGGGCCAGAGTGTCGAATATTATATGATCAGTTTTAAACTTCCTGTGGTCTTTTTTTTGATACTGCTTTGTGTGTCCGTGGTGCTACAGAGTTTATTCGGGGACGTTGTCTCGTTTTGTCGCCTGCAAATGTTTGTGTTCATGTGTGCATGTGAAGTCATAGTAGCCTTTTAGCATTTACATCGATCGTCATGTCATGAGTAAAGGAGTCTGGGTATTGGAAGAAGAATAGAAAACAGCAATAGGGAGGAGTGCATGGGTAGAGGGGAAAAGAAAGAAGGGCCATGTCGTTACTCCTTCCTTCTCTTCCCTCGTTGTCAAGACGAGCAAACAAACATCCCCTCGTCTGCCTTTCTTTCATTTTCTCTTCCCTACCCCGTTATTCTATACAAAAAGCACCGGCGCCAAAAAGAAAGTATCATTCAAACGCAAAAAAATTCCCGTTATCTGATACATTAGGACGGGAGCGCTAAAAAAAAAAAGAAGGATGAGTAAGAAGAAACAGCATGGTAAGGAAGAGCGAGTAAGTAAAGAAACAAAAAAACACCAAAGCATAGCAAGCACAAAACAAAACGCAAAAAAAAAGCCCGACGTGGGGGTCGAACCCACAACCTTGAGATTTTGAAACAATCGTGCCTTTGAGGGCGTGATAACTAAGAGTCTCACGCTCTACCGATTGAGCTAGCCGGGCGATTGATGAAGGTTTGAAAAATTATTACCATTATATCCTCTATCGTTCTGGACAAAGGCAAACAGGAAGAAGGTGAAAGCGATGAGTATCGCTGTTCGTCTTTGCAAAAAAAATGAATTTCGCTGATCCGACGGGGTGTGTGTGGTGGGGCGCGCATCACGCGAAACAAAAAGGCGGGGTAATAAGATAAATCATAGGAAAATATTTTTAATAGGCATCTTCGTGTTAGACTTATTGCACGGTGTTTGTGAAGGGTTTGCGCTAGAGCAGAGATGGATATTGATAAATGTTATCATAAAAGCTATTATAGCCTGTCTTCTACATTCTCGACAAATCCCTACTTGTGAAGCATGCCAGCGAACTAAGTCTTTTATGCGCAAGGGGGGGCAATGTAAACTACGAATCTCTCTCTCTCTCTCGCTCCTTCTCACCCCCAATCATTCATAAACTCGTAAGACCAATAATAGAACTCCCTAGATTAAATTTTGCCTATGATATGTCGTAACGGGTCATTATATATAGTCTATACGTGCGCACAAGAGTCTAGGATTAAAAAGAGAAAAATCCAGGTCGAGGCCTCGATGCCGCAATTGGAAATCCAGGAAAAGATGGGAAAGAAACAAATCCAGCGAATACGCGCTCAACACTCCACGTATGGGTCAGTAGTAAGCATTCCCCTTAACTCTTGTTAGAAAAGAACAAAAAAACTCCCTTTGCTCCCCTTCTCGTTATCCATTTTTTACAATTGTGTGACATGACACGGCTTTGTAAAAAAATTATCTCTTTCGTTTTTGATTGGGTCTTTCCTCCTCTTGCTTCAGCCTATGAATCCATGAGATATTCGTCCAGAGACGGATTCCTCCCATCTGGATTCCGCAGCATGCCTGCTTGATTCTGTCGTAATTGCTCGACCTCTGCCTTTAGCGCATCCCTCTCTTTCTCAATCGCTTGGATATAATCAATTGCGCTGGCTAAAATCGTCGCTTTGCTAGGTTTCGGTTGTCCAATTGCATTTGTTCCGTCATTTTGCCGAAGTAAAGGTACCGCTCTCCGTAATCTTTCGAGCTCCGAGTTGAGCCCTTCGCGGTACTTGCGTTCGACCTGGTTGTGCGGCTGGCGCCTTGAAGTCTGGCTTTTTAGAGTAGGCGATGTTGCAGCAAGTTGGCTGTCGGTACTACTGCGGCTCATCCTCGGGCGACCCCGCTTCCTGGTTGGTCGTTTTGGTGTTGAAGACTCCGACGCTGATGCAGGCGATGATGGTGATTCGCGCTTTAGCGTGTGGGGACTTAGCGATGGGGAGACGGCTTGGTGTGGTGCGTCGCTTGAGTGTGATGAGGAATGTGATATCGTTGCCGCCGTTATGGGAGAGAAGGAATCGTGCTCGCCAGCTTGTGGTGGTGTGGGACGATGTATCGAGAAATCACCCCTATATTGGTCGAATTGCCCAAACTGCGGTTGATTATAAGTTTGCGGGTAGGACTGTTGACGGCTCGAAGATGGCAGTATAGTCGCCGGTAACTTTGAGGCTGATGTCCTTTGGGATTTGGGCTGTGTATTTGAGGCGCCCTCGATGGATGTGGTCGGTTGACTGAAGAAGTTGTCTGAGTCGAAGAACGTGTTCAATGTGTAGTCGGGACCTGGGTCGAAGACATCGCTGAGATATGGATTGTCAAAGTAATTCGAGTATGGCATGGTATCTGCTGGCGGAGTGTCTCCGGTATTAGACCCTCTCGTATTTCTGGGGGCATTCATCAGCTTAATGAAGTCGAGATGGATTGATGGTGTGGTGGGTATTCGAAAATAGCGTATGTGGTAAGTAGTGACTATCCGGGATTGAAGGATTAACGAGCTATGACAATGACAGTCGGGTCGGCATAACCAAGCGTTTAATAAGAGAAAGATACGAGAACGTAATTGTATCGACGATTCGAGAACGGCACAGCCAATGAGGTGGGTAATTGTAGCTTGTGACCTTCCTGAAATTCAGGTCGTAGGCCAATCAATTTCCGGCGTAATGGTTCAGTCAAGTGCGGACGCTTCGAGCAGCTGTAGGGTAATCCCAAAATCGCAAGGTACTTGTGGATCCATCCTCCAATTAATCATCGCAGGCATGCCCAGCCAAAGTCGGCTGCTCCCTTGATGCTTCGTAAAGCATGTACAGTGCATTCGAGCATCCAGATTCTGGAGGAGACGCACATGTCGAATGATGAGCACCTCATCGGCATTGCCCGGTAACAAGAGCATCTCGTGCTGTGCTGGCCCAATGCTCCACTGAATCGGACAAGAGTCGTGTTCCGCGAGTCCTCCGAGACCGAGGTGCCGGAACCACTGATTCACGTTGCAAGGATGAAACATTTTCTTAGGCAAGTAGTTCAACAACTGGTCATGGCGTTCGAGGCGCAGTTCTTTGAATGTGCTGCTGCTGCAATAACACTTCCGGGGCCCAAGTGAAGGATATCGGCAGCTCTCACGGTCGAATTGTGATTTCGCGGCGCATGGTAGCAACCTTGAAAAGGTTGCTAAACCATGGTACGTAGTTTGTTCGTCAGATGTCGCTTACCCCTGTGAGCAGCTATGCGCAAACTGCTGCTACATGGTAGTGCTGAGTAAGTAGAGGACGCGCTGTGCCTAGTCTTGTCTTAGTCACGGGAACGTCCAAACTAGTAGCAATTGTTTGCTAAGAATTGCTGGTACAAATGCAGAAGGAAAATTGACCAACGCCCTGTGATGTCACAGTTTTGCGTCGCGTGGAAGCGGCTAGGCGCATGTTGGGGACGCTGATTGTGGCGCCACATGGAGGGCTGTGGGTGTCAGCGGGTGTTTCCGTAGCTGTCAGTTGCAGGGCCTGGAAATAGTCTGGACAGTGCAAGGGAAGCGGATTGGATATTTACGTCGTTAAGATTTTCCGTTGTCTGTAGGTGTGGATGCTGTCAGCTTGGTCGACGGGATGGCCGGGCAGTTGGTGAAAATGGCGTGATACTGGTCCGACGCAACCCGATCGGGTAAACTTTTTAGGCCCAAAGCTAGGATGACTAGGCATCAAGACTCATGGCAATCCCAATCCCTGTGAAACTGTGCATCTCGTCGTGTTGCTCTCGCACTATTAATCTTTTGCTTGGCTATGTCACCTTTAGCCGTCCTGGCAATTAGATGCCCCCGTCGCCAATAAAATGGCCATTGCATAACTGTGTCAGGACCTTGGGCGCAAACAGTCGACTCTGTATTCTCTTCAGCCATGGAAAAAAGAGTGTGGGATATTCAGTCGTCTTCGGCCGTGTTTTGCGCAGTCAAAGTAATGTTGCTACCTTACTTGGTAGTGGTAGTAGTAGGGTACGCGAAGTGGGTTGCATGTTGATGCCTACGCACCACTTCTTGAGGCTGTTGCAACGCAACCCCGCGCCAACCCTCGCCAGACCTCAGATCCCCCAGGTTCCAGGCTCGTCTCCACCATGTCGACTACAATCACATCTTCGGCACCAGCTCACGTAAAAACTCGCTTTCTTGTCATATCCGATACCCACTCTGCCACTCCCTTGCAGAATACCGCCAATAATGACACAGCCTTTCGTCCACCGCTCCCCAAAGCCGATGTACTTCTCCACTGCGGCGACTTGACCATGGTTGGTCACTTGGCAGAGTATGAGAAAACACTGGACATGCTGGAGGGTATCGATGCTGGTCTGAAGCTCATCATTGCGGGCAACCACGATATTACTCTAGATGCAGACTATTATGGCAAAAAAGGCAGATTTATGCACGGGAGACAGTATGATCAAGAAATATCGGCTAAAGCAAGAGAGTTGTGGACTGGTGAGCGAGCCAAGCAGGCAGGCGTAACTTATCTCGACGAGGGAGTCCATGTGTTCAAGTTGGAAAATGGAGCAAATTTGCGGGTAAAACGCCGATTTAATATCTCTAGACCCGCGTACAACAGCTGACATCATTTCCAAGGTCTATGCATCTCCCTATCAGCCCGAGTTTTGCGGCTGGGCATTTCCTTACAATCGAGATGAAGACCGTTACAATCCCTCCCACCAATGCACTCCATATGCCAAACCCATCGCCGAGAACCCTATCCCGGACTACCCTAACATCGATGTCATGATGACCCATGGACCGCCTTTTGGTGTCTTGGACGCAACGCAAACCGGCGAGCTAGTCGGCTGCCAACACCTCCTACGGGCTGCCAGACGCTGTAGACCACGTTTACATTGCTTTGGACACATACATGAAGGGTGGGGCGCACAGAAAGTGCTGTGGAATAACGGGGAACTGGATATCAAACCTGAACAGTGTATCCAAAGAGTTGATACCATACATGTTGATGGTGGGAAGACCGCAAACGAGAGGGCAGCGACTGTGGATATTAGCCAGGGAAGCAGCACTTCAGTCGAGTTTGGAAAGGAGACTTTGATGGTCAATGCCAGCATCATGAATGTTCGGTATGACCCACGGAACGGACCATGGCTTGTGGATATGGATCTTGAGCGAACCAGTTGAGCTCATTCGTTTGGCCAGTTGCTCGCATGTGTGACTGTTGGAGATATCCGCAAAGATCAGACCCTCTTGTTATCTTGATTCTCAGTATTAACATAGAGAAAAAAAGCTTCCGATAACGGTGGTTCAAGTGATCATGGCATTGGACTACAGCTACCTATACGAGAGCAGCTTGTACAAATATACCATGTACCCGCAGGCCAAGCTCGCCGCAGAAAAGCCTGGCCACAAAGAGACTGTCAAAGGTGCTTGGTGAGCGGTGTCAAGTTGTGTGGCAATCAATTCTTCGAATCCTATGCGTGGTCCACCCTGCATTTGATGCATGATTGGTCCTAGGTATTTATTATAGAACTCTACTAGTCCATGATTCTTGAGTACTTGTGAGATGACCAGATCATTTCATACACTTCGCATACCCGAAATCAACTACCGTGTATTCTTCTCTACACTGAGCCTTTTCCACCCCACTTCAACAAAAAATACTCGGTCCCTTTTTTTCCAGTCTAGGATATAAAAGTTCCGTAGCCATCTACATCAGCCGAAGATACGCCATTAACAGATACCGTGCTTATATCATTCGATCTTCATCTTCTTTCTAAGAATAGAATAGCCCCGTATCGCCAGTCTAAAATACACTTGCTATGTACAAGTCCAAGTCCCCTCACCGCCAGGCATGCGAGAAGCATAGATTTTAGCGTATAGACTTACGTGATATTTTGAAACCAAGGTATCAATAGTCGTACCGATGCTTTACCCAGACATGTATCACCTCAATAATCGTACCGATTCTTTGCCCGCGGAGATACCACTTGGTATCGGAATGAAAAAAGGGGGGTCCACACATTGTTCTAGACACAACAACATGTACAGTTATACCAAAGTTATTGAATGCACACATATCACACCGCCTATTCTTACAACCCTGTCTACCGTTGTGTACCCAGCTAGCCATGTCCAATAGTCTGTTTTCCAATTCTATACCCATGAATTTAGTCAATGAGTATCGTTTTAAACCCAGATCAGAGTTGTCAATAATAAACCTAATCCAATCTGAACCTCCAAATTGGACTGGCTCAATAGCCTTCCCAAAAAAGCGGAATGGATTGATTGTTCAGATTGCCTCGGATTTTAATCCGGATTGATTTGTTGACAAAACTCTTGATTCATATAACGATAAATTTGCCGTCCCACTGAGTGCACAAATCACGTGAAAAGCCACTGTATATGTCTTACCAAGTCGCGTAGAAAATATGACATTCTCCATTACAATATTGAAGTAAACAGCTCCTAAGAATGGCAAATCAAGTGATCTCAGTATTGCATAACTGCTTCTTACAAAATAGACCAGCTCAGATAAATACACTGTATGCAAATCTCTGTACAGAATAGCCTATTAACGAAAAACATGACAACGAGAGGGACTTGGTAAGTGTATCCAGATACAAAATAGGTACTCATCGATTGATCCTATCTATATCTATGAGGCTGGATCAGGTAGTTTGGTTCAAGTGAGCAAAGTGCTACAATAAACTTGTCGGATCTAGCAATTCTACACATTTATTGCGCCTGAATTCGCGTGATACCACAAAGGCAAAGATCACATATATCGAGTAGCTAGAATGACACAACAACCTGGTTACTTCTTGCCAACGTTTGTACGAGAAGCAAGAGCCGAAGGCGTAGTTACAGAATTACAGATGTGGAGGGGTTGAGTTAAGGTAGGAGAACTAACGGGGTTTGTCAGAGGAATACGAAAGGGGGGCGGAGGGCACGGGATATGCGACATGTCTCATATATTTTTGTCCGGCGGTCACAGTCTCAAAAGTAGTATCTTGGAAAGGAAAAGGGGAGAGTGGGGAACGGGTTGACTCTTCAAAAAAAAAGCGAGGATTATATCGATCTACGATGTTGTTTCCCTTCTGTGCGACGGACGAAAAAATGAGGGACCGAGGGAGAGAGAAAAAAAAAACGGGCTTTTACACAGGACGAGACTGCTTTTTTTTTCGGTGGAGGACAAGGTGGGTTTAGAAATTGTGCAACTGAGCAATATGTGCATATACGTATTTGTGTATGCACAAGTAGCAGTTCTGCAACTGATCAAGTTACAGAGTGTTTCTTTGTCTACTGCGTGGAGAACAGTGGACATAAATCCGCGACGATAGATCATAAATATATGTATGTGTGTACACATACAGCGAAGATTGACCATACTACCATAGACAGACAGGTCAGGTCGTATACCATCCCTTCGCTTCAACCCGCGAAGCGTCTGTCACAGGAACCACCGTGCTTCATACGAGACTCCCCACAAAATGGGTGGAACAAGGCAGTGCGTCACGACCATAAGTCCTTCACCTCACCCGTCTGCATACCCTTTGGTAGGTTTTTACGATAAATCATCAAAGTATCTAACACACTTCCATCCCTTGCGCTTCTTCTATTCATCCCCCTTTCCCCCCTCCTTCTAAAAACGAACCCCCCCCCCCCCAAGCAGAAAAAAGAAAGCACAAACCCCAACCAACCTCTGAATCAAGCCCATCTCCCTCACACCCTCCCCAATCCATCCATCTTTCCTCGCATACCCTCCCCAATCGAGCCAAATCCGCCCCCCTTCCAACACCAACACCAACACCAACCGCCCATCACCGGAAAGCGCACAGTAAGTAGTGCTATACCCGCTTTTTTTCCCACACTGGTGCGGGATACACCGTGTTGGCATCAGATAGCGTGCGGAGGAGGCAATATCCGAGGCGAAAAAAAAACAGAGCGACAAGTTGGTACAAGGTATCGTAGCGGGCGGCGGGCGGCGAGTAAGGGTACAAAAACCTTAGTTTGTCCTTGCGCCTTTTTTTGCCCCCAGTGACATTGTCAGCCTTGTTCAAGTAGTGTGGGGTTTTTTTTTGGCGCCTTTTGCAAAGTGTGCCTTGTTAAGTAGCTTTGTTGCGCCTCTTTGTCGGGGGGAAAAATGAGGGCATGTGCCGTTTGGTGGCGAGTGCGAGTGCCGGGCTGGCCTGTTTTTTTAGTGGTGGTGGTTTACTAGTTGGACGTTGTTGCTAGTAAGTGGGTAGTTTGGGGGCGAGTTTTTTTGGGGGGGGGAGGGGGCCAAGGAGTGACAACATAGGGGCTTCTAGAAAACGGAAGTAGTAGGAGAAGGTGTGTACACTACATGACACGTATGTGTGTGTGTGTGTGTGTGTGTGTGTGTGTGTGGCACTAAAGGACTGCTATTGTTGCTTGTTGATACGTACGTAGGTAGCAGTGTCATTTTTTTTCTTCTTGATACTGAGTCAGAGTTGTCTTCTACTGAGCTGAGTAGCCATGGTATTATCACGGAGATGGATGAAGCTCTCCTGGCCTATCGTTCAAGTTCTTGCCACAATGAACTGAGAGGAAGTTTGCCTTCCCCCTTTTTTTTCTCCTTTGCCTCATAGTAGGCCCTTTTTTTTATCAGGAGAGAGTGAGAGACTGAGGGAGATCGATCGCCTTTGCTCGCCCTTTCCAGTCGACCAAGTTTCTTTCTTATCGCCAGACCAAAGAAACTGAATCGTAGCTTTGGGGGAAAAAAGCTGACAGGATGACAAGTGCCGTTTCTTCTTGCCTTGCGCAGCATCTCCATTGTTTCACTTTGCAAATGAACACACGCCCGTATGCTCTTTTTTAAGAAACATCGGCGTCATACTGCGATCGTGTTCGCGTGATATTGGAATTGGACCTGCTGTGTGACGCAGAGAGAGAGAGAGCCCACATTATGCAATGTCGCTGCTATACTACTACCCGCTCTCACCTACCGGCGGTCAAATACAACGAAAATGACATTCCATGTAACGGAACACAAAGTCATTTCACATGTCATCAGTACATTGGAAGCAAAAGCGCAATCAATGCTTGGTCATACTTACCTCAGCAACTTACGAAGGTTGCGTGATCTCGGTGTGCGAACACACTTCGAACCCCCCACTCATTCTCTTGCCGACCGCGCATTCGTTCTCGGACATTTTCTGTTGCCCCCCCTCCCCTCCCCCTTCCCTTATGCTTATTTTGCATCCTTGCACGTTTGGAGTTGTGATGCGTTTTGTGGGGCCCGTCGCAAGTTCCAGTAGTATCATCTTGTACTACATAGACACACGCACTAAGATTCTGCATGCATCTTTTCCATCTCGGTCATTGGCGTCGTCGGAGTCGTCGTGGCCCTGCATTAACTTTGTTATGCGAGGGGTCCCCTCCCCCTTGTGGGCTCGCTCTAAGTATTGGCCGAACACTCTATGTGCGGATACCCTTGGGACGATCCACAATGTTGGGAATGTCACTTCTGCCTATTCTGTAGGTGTTGTCTGACCACATTTTATTGAATCTTATTTTATGCACTGTACTCTGCTTTCTCGCTTGGTCTGAGGAATTACACCGGCGGCCTCCTGTCGCAGGACGGATGTATTTCCTTTTTGACTCGCTATGCATTTTAAAAACGAGCGGTCATAGGGATCAACGCCCGGTATTAAAGAGCCGGCGATGAGCGGTTCTGCCGATCGAGATGCCAAGCCAAAGGGGCGTGACCGACTACAAACTAGTGAACCCCCGCATCTGATTTCCTTGTTTGTTGTAGATCGGTGGTTACGATAGTAATCGCACTACTAATGTTTGCGAATTCTCTTGACCGGAGTTCAGGAAGCAGTGCGTTCCGACAATGCTACTGTAAGATTTTTCTTTTTTACTTTTTGGTGTTGCGAAAGTTTCCGCCTTGCTGATGGGGCGAGCAGATTGGAACGTCGACTATAGCAATTGGAGAACGGAGATGGGAAACAGCGCTCCGAGTGAGAATTATGGTGTTGTGGGGCCTGTAAGACACCCACATGGACGACATAGGGCACTGGGCTAGCTATATGAATGAGCTATGCCAATTCCAGCAATAGGAGCGACTTCTGGGACTTGGACGCAACCGCGACCTCAGCGCAGGTCCCGGACCCGGATCGGAGGCTTTACCGGTAGGTCGGAAAAATTACCTGACCTCAAGAACCGGTTGCAAGCAATACGCTTTGTTATAATAAGACGAGAGAAGAGTTATAGCGTATGGTGTGGTAGGACAGTGCCGTAAGTAAGCACATGCTTCTGTGATTGTTCGTTGAGACCCCTGACCGGCCGGCGAGTCAGGGTTCAAGGTACCATCTGCCGAGTCAGCCAAAGATGTGCATATGTACGGTTAGAACAAAAAGGGAATTGCCGGATGGCTATCGTAAACCCTGATTCCATGGAGAAGGCGATGAACAAGCTAAGGTGCTTTAGTGTTGTCGCCGGTGCCAAAAGGCGATGTCATTGCATGTCATTGTACAGTGGTGCATGACCAAAAGCGAAAATCCCTATCAATGGCACGGAGTCGAGTAAAGTGCCGAAGAGTCATAGCTCAACGACGGCTTGTACTCTGTATGTAGGAACGACAAGTGAGGCTGCTTGGACATTTTTTTCCTTTCCGGTTTGGCAGACCTGAACCCCCACATGCATCAGAGTATGTAGCTACTGTCCAAGATGACCAAACTTTATTTGTAACGCAAGCCACGGTGGGGCGTTGGACCAAGGTGCTATTGGAGGTGGATACAACGGAGAAGGCTCCGTTGTATGTACATAGTTACATGAGCATGTATGTGCTAGTGTTGTACTTAAGTAAGTACACACATATATATAACATACATAGTTACATAGGACATGTAACAATTTGCAGGGCGTAGGGCGGTTAGTCGAGGGCGAACGTTGGGCAAACGGTCAGCTTAGAAGCGCGCTTAGACGGAGGGTAACGAGTATGAGGACGATTAGGGTTAGGCAATACTTTGGCCACTGACTCCTGAAGATCAGCGATTGGGTTCTGGTGAAGCGGACACTATCCGGCGGAATGCTGATCTCCAGAGTCCTGGAATGAGCGTATACCTGACAGAGTGGCACATGTCCCCAAGCCATAGTTTCAACTATAGGCGAAGCCAAGACACGTAAGCCTTTTTGTCGTGTATGTATGTGCACGGATACGCGGATACGCGATATGCGAATTAGTGCATTGGGACGGAATGATGCAAAGTCGGTCATTTCGCGACTCGACAAGTATGGGGTGCAAGTTGGTTCGTGGTTGTCATGTCTGATGAGCGTTTAACGCAAAACCAAACAGGAACTTTCCAAGCGAGGTACAGTTACGACTGACTGGGGACATGTATCGTATCGGTAGTACATGCTTCAAGGTTTGGCCGTCTTTGGGGATGTTTGGCCCAAGCGTTTTAGGGCGACAGACCCCGGTCTGATGATTACTTTTACATATACCGCAAGCAACGATGAACCGCCAGACATGTCGCCACGCCGGTGGCCGGAGGAATTGGAGCATGGAGAAAGTTGTCAGAGTCTCAGGGGAAGGGTGGTATGGTTGGGCCTGCATATACTAGGCTTACCGGACTCTTTACGTTTATATAGAGGTAAATACGTACCAAGACGGACCAATGTAGGGGACGTGTGCCTGAAACCGTGTCTTTGTAATACAGAGGGCTGCTAGGGCTTGGGCGATGTTGTGCGAGGCAGGGATAGTGTAAGCGAAGCATAAGCAAAGAGGAGGCATGGAGGGAGTAAAACGTGGAGGCGAGTGTAGATATTATGCTGTCAAACTTGGGGTCATGGCTGCAGGGCTGGCGTGATGACTGTTTCTAGATGACGAACTCTGGGGATCGGCTTGGTTGTAAAGTGCTGAGCAGGGTCAAGGGTTGAAGGGTGCTTGGGGTTGCCTGGAGAGCGAGAAATGGGGAGGGTGGCACGTGGCAAGTCGTTGATGCACCGGGCGGCTGTGTTGTTTTTGGGCTTGTCACCGAGGCATATCGTGGAGCTGATGGAGGAGCAGGTATTGGGACGAGATGGAGCGTGGGGCGAGGTGGAGGATTAGCTGATGATGTGACGCTGGTGTGAGAGAGGATATGACAGCTGGCAGATGCGAGACGGCGCTCGGTGCAGCAGCAATGGCCGTGGTAGTGTAAGTACACTACTAATTGTGGAGAGTCAGTAGAGCCGAGTAAGGCGTCGTAGTATAGAAAAAGGACACTGTATACACTATGTAGGTATAGTATATGGAGATGGATGGAGGGGGGGTAAGGAACGTGGCAGACAGCATGGTGGCGCCCCCACAAGCGCCTGCGAACAGTGTGCCGGTGCACAGTTGCAAAGCAGCAGCAGCAGCAGCAGCAGCAACGGCTGCCGACGGCGACACGTACGCCATAGCCAATCAGCCCGGGTGCACTGGCCGAGCTTCGATGGTGGCAGTGAGTGAATGAGTAAGTGAGCACACAGGCTATGTACACTACGTAGAGTGTGGCGGCGTGAGCTGTGGTCGCTCCTGCCATGTCATGCCATGCACATGGGCCTCTCGCTGCTACTACTGCAACTGCAACTGCAACTGCGACTGGCAGGCACGCGTCGCGAACCCCCAAGGCACGGAAGTCGCGACTAAGCGAGCGGCCAAGGACGGCGAGCGGCCAGGGGAGTGGAAGGGAAGGCACCACCACGGTCACCAACGCCAACTGCACTGAGGCCGTTCACCAGCGGGGCCACAGCGCCTCTCGCCTGCGAGTGCCCCCCTCCCCCCTCCCCCCGCCCACACCAGCCTACTGATCGTGCACCCTCTCCTTCCAGGGCTCTCTATCGATCGGTTGAAGTCCGGAGCGTTTCAGATACAACTACACAACCATTTAGCCAAAATGCACACAATGGCCGCACTAGTGTGCTGCTGTATCTTTGCAGCTGCGCAAGCCAACACACGAGCTAGACTAAGGCAATACCAGACACCTGGTCCAAAGGAAGGCAAGGAGAAAAAAAAGCTTCGAGCACCCAATGCCCTCGCTCCGCCGTCATGAACAGGCGACATGACATGGACAGGGCGCTCGCCGACGTCGCCCTTGCTTGGCTGCTTGCTCCAGCTGCTGCTGCTGCTACGTACTAGATATCCCACGACGTCCGAGGCCAGCAGACAGGCACTGCCTAGGCGATACCCTCCGCGCCTCACCAACCATGACCCTTGCCCCCCACCTGGTGGCGGTACGATAGATGCCGCACAGATGGCGAGGGAAAAATCGAGACGCCTCAGAAGGACCGAAAGGATTTTGTATCAGATCGCGACTCCCACGTGCAATCGCCAGGCTTGGACTACCGTCCGGGCTATTGGAGTGCAGGTCATGCACCAAGACCATAGCCACAGCGCCGGGTCAGGCCTCGCGCGCATTAATCGACCACTGGCCCTCACCACGTACTGCTATCCACTTGCGAGACTTGGCCAGTGACATCCACACCCCGGACCAGCCCTTGTGCAACCCGGCTGTGGAAACGCTGGCTGTCCTTAATCACCATGACGCGACTGGACAAGACTCGACCCTCGCCAGGGCCTGCTAGCGAGATGAACAATGTGGAGAAGGACGCGCTGTCGCAGCCAATTTGTCGCAGACGCTAGCATACCATGACGCCGCCAGCAGTTCACGTCGGCCTTATCCCTGCGACCACGCTCCTTGCAGCGCCTCGACACCTCCAGCCAGTGTCGGGGGATCATCGCAGCGGGCATTCGCTACCGACCATGTCACGTCACTACCCTCTTGCCAGAGCCACACATGCTCTCATTTGCGCAAACCAAACTCTCCGGCCTGGAGCCTGCGTCAGCTCCCTTCGTCCCTCTCGTGTGGGCACCCAAGGCACGTCGGCCCTGTCTCCATCCGGCTCTGCGTCCTCCTCTCGTCCTCGTCATCTGAGATCCCCGACACCACTGCTCCAACCCCAGCCCAGCCCAGCCCTAGCTAGCTCAATCACCACTATCATCACCACCATTTGCCTAACCCCCCTCCCCCTCCCCCTCCCTCAACGTTCGCGTGCACAGAGCCTTTCTAAATTAACCTCACGTAGCCTGTCCATGATGCTTGACGGATTGACGGCTCCTGCAGTGCGCCGCCATCAATACGGCCCTTATATAGCATCGGACCCAACGACACATTATCGTATAGTTTGCTCCACTAGACCTAGGTAGGAAATTATCGTGGCTTGAGCACCCCCCCTCCAAGCGTCGCAAATACAAGTGGATCACGCCGCCGCTGACGCTAGGCGGCTACCGCTGGCTGTCATCGCATCACACCGTCGAGACATGACAGGCAGAGTGTCCCAAAGCACCACACAAGTCCAAAGGGGTCCGAGAGCCAACAGGTCATGACGCTTGGACTCTAGCCCTCGTCCGTCTTCACACCCTTCCATCCATACCCGCACATCACTTGGCTCATGCAGGCCCACCAACAGCAACCTGGCCTCGCAAAGATGATCTTGTGCTTGTGAGGAAGGAGGGCTGTTGAACCCTGTGAAATCCTTTGGTGCAAAAAAAAGGCGCCCTAACGCAGCTGTCCTGTCGCGTAGTAGCGTCGTCGACATACCTCGCCACTTTTAATCATCCACGCATTCAACCAAACAGCGTCGTCTAAATTTCTATATGCGGACCCTACTCGTCCTTGGTCGTATGCAGCTATTGCTTTTGGCGCCCTCTCTACTTTGAACATTTCAATACACCCCCGCTGAGGCACAGCTTGCTGCTGTACAAACGACTAACTGCCAAACTACCCGTCACTTATTATTATTATTAGTGTCAGTGCGCAACTGCTTCATCCTCGCTTTCCTACCACGTCGTTTTATTTGCCCAGGCCCTTGACTATTCCTCGTTCTCGGCCCCGGCCTGTCAGTGCGTTTACGAAAGTATTGATTAGATCAGGATTCCCATGGCTCGGTAGATCAGCAAGTGTCCCGCCAACTACTCCCGCAGACCAGATCGTAGTGCCGGCTCCAACGTTTGAGAAGTCGCTTTGCCCTACCTTCAAGGTATGTATCGCCGTTTAGCTCCCTTTCCATCAATCTCCTGTTGTGGGGCCCTTGCTGAACTTTAAACATTTGATGCTTATATCCTTAGGTCCTTCAATGCGCCACCAGGTTTTGGGCACTGACACTCGGGTCTTGCGACAATATTACACATGGCTGTAGTTACAGAACGCCGCGCAAAGAAAACGGTATCTCGACTCGAACACTCGTTGCTTTTACAACCTGTTCAAGACGCCATGCCCTTCAACCCCTCGAACCAAACTCCTGGGTTTAACACTCACTCCCATGCCGCCGAGACCACTACCACCACACCCAGCCCCACAGAACGAACCGAGCCCTTCCAAGGTAGCCTAACTAGCCAGGAACCTACTGCTCAACCTCACACCAACGCGAGCAAAAAGAGACGCTCTCCCAAAACCAAAGCTTCTGGAGAGCTTCGCAAGTCCACCTCAACTCCACACATGCGTCACCTAGCCCTTGCCAACCCTGGCGACCTGTCGCCAACAAGCAACAAACCGCGCAATAAGCTGGGCTATCATCGAACTTCGGTTGCATGTGGTGAGTCCATGAAGCGCCTCCTGTTGCTAACAAGATCGTGACAACTGACTTGGTGGTTCAAACAGGACATTGCAGAAGGCGCAAGATTCGATGCCTGTTAGCACCCGATGATCGTCATGGCCGCTGCTCAAACTGCATTCGACTGAAGAAGGAATGCAACTTCTATCCAGTAGAGCACAATGCCGACATGCCACAGTCGCAATCCATCTCGTCCAAATCAAACAGTGCAGTGCAGCCAGCCACACCGGTTTCTACCTCACCCAGGCACCCTCTTTCCGCCTCTGGAGATGCAATGGGCGACTTCAGGACGCCTTTCTCAGGGCCACCTTCAGCGGCGCAACCTCTGAGCTATGGCTACCCCATGGACCTCGAAAACGATCCACATCACGCACACGGCTCCAACGGTTGTAAGTATCACACGACAGCTCCTCTCTACGACACACTAACGACCGCAGTAGCCGTGCAACAGCCCTCCTATCCTTACCCACCCCCTATAGATACTCAGTGGCCGCCGACCAACAGCTTCTTGCCGTCTTCTACCGTAGCTGAAAGTCCATCATGGCGACATTCGCCTTCGACAGTAAACTCTGCATACGGAAGTGAATCCAATGTTTCAGGTGGACACACTCCAGCTGCCATGAGCACAAGTTCCACCATGTCCTACGGCCCTCAAGATGGACACTGGGGGCAGCAGCCCTCATTCCAACCACCGTCTCGTTCAATGTCTTACGGAAACATTGAGGGTCTTCCACAGCAATATTCTGGCCAGGGTCTGGGCATCCAAAACGACAACTACCGGCGAACCTCTCCATATCCTTTTCCAGCAACGATAGACACAACCCCCTCTACCATACATGCGACCACACTGAGCAGTTCAGGCTCCGCACCCCTTTCTGCGCCCGTGGCCCCAAATCATTCCTACTACCCGCCAACGTGGACTTCATACGACACGGTGCCAAGCCATGGTGCGCCAATGCCCTCATCCGCGCGATCGATGAGTGCGCATTGGTTTGGAGAGCCGGGACACTTGGATCGCGTACAAGAAGAGGCAACACCCCCGGTTGGATTTGCCCAGACAGGCTTGCCGCAATTCTATTCGGCATCGTGAAGCGCTTCTGCACCTCTGGGGAGACTCTCACTAATTTGGCGAAGATTCATCGCAATACAGACACCATGAGTCCAAGACACACGTACATACAAGACGCATATTTCAGACCCGTTCTTTCAGGATTGAATGGATGTATAAGACTTGATCAGTTTTGCTACTGCGTGTCTTTTGTTGGTACAAGAGCAGGTTATTAAAGGAGTTTCAAGGCGTGATTGCATGATTGGGTCCGACATGATCCAGTTGTTCTGCTTTTTCCAACGGCTCTGCAACAGTTGCGGCAGGCCCATGGCATTGGTGCATAGCAGTTCTTGATAGACTGTTGATTTGTTTTTCCATCGTTCATCCAGCATTTGCTTGACAAGGCCAGTCTCTTGATTATTTTTTTCACGTTTAGCGCTCTCATCAGACAGTTCGGGTACGCATTTCAGTCTATCAAATTTTGTATAAATAGCACGAATTAGACCGCCACCATCTGGCCCGGCAGGGTTAGGGGCTCGCGTATGACGCTTGTAGCATGCGCATACAATCGGAGACACCCAAATACAAGTTAACGCTACCTCACCGCTAGAAGTACCTCGGCAGATGAATGAGGCCATGGTTTTTTTTTTCACTTTTGCCATCGTCTGCTGCAAGGGAATGATACGTTACTTTCCATGGTTTGGTTGGATGGATGTATGGCAGGTCAGTGCGCAGTCCGATGTCGAAGTTCCCATAAGCTGATTTCCAAGGATCCCAAGGTATGTACTCCGTATCGTACATGCCAAACACGTTTCGAACGGAGCTTACTCCCACGGCGCCCACTTTTTTCTATCTTACCAGAACAAGGCACATCCGTGCCAGATTGGGTCGTTGGTGGCTTCGGTTTCGGATACGTTTTTTCTCTCTCATCAGAGCTGTAGCACATTTCTTCTAATAGCCTAACGACCGATGACCATCCGAGGCGCAACGACGCACGCTAACGATTGGTATTCGTTTAGCGACCATGGAGTTGGAGGCATAGTGGAATCTAGGCATGATTTGATTCGTCACATGTATTTGGCTAGATGTATGGCTAACGTCCTTCCTTTTCTGCTAATCGATCAGGCGTATGGGTATACGTGTGTACGTATGAAGCACACATGTCCATCTGTCCATCTGTAACACAAGACGTGCGGGTCACGGGCCGACTTGTTGCCAAACGGGTGGTGGGCAGGACATGGCATAGAATTTGCAAAGTGAAAGCACTGACGTTTAGGCTGTTTTAATCATCATCATCGTCATCGTCATCAGCATCAGCACCGCCGCCACCGGTACCTGCGTATGATAATAACACGGATGATGAAGCAAGGCGCTATTACCTCGGCTCTGCTCCAAGTGTAATCTTAATGTGGTCTCGTAGGACGAAACCGGTATTACTATACAGAAGGGGAGTAACCTTGCTTGCAGCAGAGAATAGTGGCAATTGGATGAGATTGCACAACTGATGCCCAGACCCTTCAGTGTTGTCGTGGCTGGCTCATCAAACGGACGGAATAGTTACGCACAAGGTTCCCGGGCCCTCGGTTATTGCAAAAAAGAGAGCTAGCAATAACGACAAGGTAGAGCAGCTATTTTTGCCCACTTTATTGCTCTTCTCCACGCTCTCTTTGGCCGACGAGCACACGGACGCTGTCGGCTCGACTCCACAGTCGCCCGTGATCCTTCAAATTCCGGAGCTCGCGACCATGTTGCTGTGTCGTGTTGGTGGTTGATGGTGCGGAGGCGAACGGAGATTGCTTTTTCCTCATATCCTCCGTTTCCCTAGACTTGGTGGGAATTTTTCTTTCCTTTTCCCGCTACCACACAGCCGGGAAGGAGGCCCGTCGACGTTGCTCCGAAAAAAAGGCGCTTGCACTTGAGCGGGTTTCGACTACAGACTACGCCTGCTGATCAGTGGTATCGTGTGAATCATGCATTATCAAAGAAGTCGAGGGAAAAAAAGCCTCGGTTGCTGATGATCCTCTCGGCCGTGTTACTGCAAGTAGCTTGGGGTGTGAAGCAGGCGGAGCGACTCCGACTAGGCGGATAAGCAGCTGTGGGCTTGATGGGACTTTGTTACGAAAGGATGCAACTCTTTTTGCTTATTCCCAGTCGGTTGCTACTGCAGGATTCTCTTCCTTGGGCCTGGTGCAGTGCGGGTCCAGAGGACCTGTACTGGTGAAGGGTCTGCATCTGCATGTGGAGAGGGTGCGTCGAATCACTAGCTCGCAGCGTAGTGGATATGCAGGAGTCGTATCGGGCATGGCCAAGTGCGTGCGCTTGTGTTGCAACTGTGTAAGAAAGCTGGTGCAAGGGCCGTGGAAGCACACAGCCGGGACTGAGCGGTTCTCGTAACTACTAGGCAACGGACTCGTGATGCCGTTTGCACAGAGTAATTAATGATGGTGCATAGGCCGCCGTCATAGCATGCAGCCCTATGCGCGGACGGACGACATGTTCGCTGAAGACTGTGCCAAGGACAGCAGCAAATGATGGTGGCACAGCGTGTTGGGTCCTTCTGGTAGGCCTGCAACGCTTGTGCCTAAAACGGCCTAGTGGCGTGCTGTGTCTGTGGGTTTTTGCTCCTCGTTAGACCCAGATTGTGCATCCAGTCCAGCCCCCCTGTCCATTCAACCCCCCTTCCCCCCATTCATCATCCATCCATCCATTCATCCAACCATCCATCGTCGTCTTTGCTCTCCGCTCTCCGCTCCGGCCTCGCCGCACACACCACCAAGCTGTCATCGAGTTGGACTCAAATCGACAATGACAACGTCACTAGCGCCACAAAAGCCGGCCGTTACCGTGTGACAGTTCATCGGCTCGTGGACCCTGCAATGGAAGGTTACAACGCCTATCGCAGTCGTGCCCCTCTCAACCTCGACCTTGTTCGTCAGGCCAACCAAGCACATGCACGTGGATACGTATTGCTCCTCCATTATCACCTCGCCGTTCTGTTCAAGCACGCAGCGCACCAACAACAAGTCTGCAATCGCGATAACCCATCACGTCACTCCTCCGAGACCAAGTCGCGTCTCATGCCGCATACATGAACCCTGTCAGATCCGCCTGTCCGTGTCTCCTGCCAGCCGCCCTGACGCGCTCCGTACCTCCCGTTCCGCCTCGTCAAGACTCCACCATGGCCGATGAGGGCGCGGTATCCATTATGTAGTGGTACGTATTATGTATGCAATGAATTTTACCCATCCTAGCCCCTTGAAGTGACATGCTCTTGGCCCTGTTTAACCGCGCGCAAAATCATTCCATCCCACAAACCCAACAAATCGGAACGCCATGCAACCACTACTTAGCATGTCTAATCTCTACACCAATGAAGCTCCCTCCCAACCTTTTTTTCCAAACACCCAAACCACTATCCAGCGTATGCAAGCAAGGCAGCGTGACCTCAAAGCCATGCGCTCCTGCCTCCACTACGCTGCAAACGCCACCCTCTGCTTTACATTAGCCGTCAATCTTTCAATCCTTCCATCCGACCCGGGCAGGAAATCCGAACCACGCCACAAACCCACTTGCATCTGACAAACAATGCGCATGTGAATCCAAACACATGAAGCAAAACATGCGACCGTCCATATCCGCTCAACTGACAGGCGCCGTGACGCGCGATCGGACCTATTCGCCCTGACATACATGACGGCGTTTGCTTCTCCATAACACCATCTCTGACTTTCTTTCTGTCTCTCTCTCTCTTTCAATATCCTTCTCTTCGTATCCCGACAGGCTTTTGCGTTGGTTGGTGCAAGCGCGTATCGGTGATCGGTAAGGCAGTGCGCAAGCGTGGTCCCACGCGCGCGTACCAACAGCAATACAAGGTTTGACAAAACACACGCTACTATCTCGTCATCTAGGCCTTGGTCTCCTTACACAAGCAGCGCGTCAATCCTTTGGTTCGTGCGTTTGTGTCTTTGTAAGTACTCACGTGTGGAGTACCTGCATACGTCCATCCATCGATACCATTTGCATTCACATACCCATCTCTTTGAAGCATGGGTCCCCGCCTATCTGTTTTCGTCTCGCATCCGCGGCTGATGATGTGCATACGGGGTTTCTCCCACCGGTCCGCGGGACCATGGCAAGTGGAGAGAGGGAGGGGTGCGAGAGGTATGTGGGGGTGGTAAAAGAGAAAAGGACCAAACGAGCGAAATACCGCAAGTCATCCGAGCTTTTTTTCTTCTGTCTTTACCTCTAACTCGGAGTCGGAACACTGGGTTGTGGAGCCAGCCCCCCTTCTTCCTCCAGACCAGCCCCGTCGCTGCTCCTTCACCCACTTCACTTGCATTAGCGCCTTCCCGATTATTATTTTTTTGCTTCTTCCTTTGCGTCTCCACTCTTCCTTCCCTGCGTACTTCTTTCTAATGCTCTTTTGAGCCACCATGGCATTTGTGTAACGAGGACGTTGGAGAAACGGTCCGAAGACGAAAGAGGAAAATAAAAAACAACCCAAAACACCAAGGAAAAGTGATATGAGGATTTTTTTTGTTCTTTTCGGTCATTTTTTTTTCCACGTATACTACTCCTCATACACGCCACCACCTCACTCCCTTTTCCATCTCTCTCTTACACACACTTTCCTCACCTAAATCACCCTACACCCTCTCTTCCCTAGACTAAGGAAGATGTCACACGCCCAAAGCGAAAAACCCGCCTGTCTGCTTCCGCCCACCCTCCCAAAACACCCAAGGAAGCATACAACCGGCCACCACCATCTTGGCAAAAAAAGAACCCTCTCAGCTCTAACCACCCCATTCCCCCATCTCCTTGATCGGTGTCTCCCCCATAACCCCCATGTCCCAGTCAATACCTACAAATTCCCTAGTCCTTAGTCTTGTATTGTTGTATCAGAAAGCCACTCTACATTACGTACGTACGTACGTATCAAAGTATATGTGAGTAGAGTAGGTGTGAGTGGGGACAAATAAAAAGGTGGAACATACTTCATGTACGACATCTGAACACGGACCTCCCCCCCCCTCCCTCTCCTCCCCATTCCCCTATCCCCACTCTCTTGCTGGGAGGGGAGGGGGGAGGCGTCTGGAATTACATGGGGTATCCCTTTCATCTGGGTCGTATATCTGTATGTGTGTGGAGATTTGCTTTCAGCCCCGATGCTGCGGGTATATCTGGCAGGGTATAGGTGTGTGTGTGGGACGAGTCGACATTGTAGCCGACTTACTCAGGTATCTAGTGGCATTGAGGGGATGCAAGAGTCATGTGCGTAGGTTTACATCGCTGGAGTAAGTAATTTGCTACTTCGCCGACCTTTGTGGGGTCGGGTTCATCATGACTTGGTTTGCGAGATGGAGATGGAGATGGGGATGGGGATCGAGATTGTGCGTGGGAGGTGGGGTAGATACGAGGGGAGATACGAGGTGTAGATACGAGGTGTAGATACGAGGGTAAGATACGAGGGCGGGTATGTAAGATGTGTATGTGGTGGGATAAAGGGGGGGTGGAGATGATAAGGTAGTGTATACTTTCTCGTTAGATCTTAGAAGTTTTTGAGGGAGACGAGGAGAACATGGAAGAATAAGAGAGAAATATGACCCAAAGAAAACCTTTGCCCGATAACGAGAGTTTGCATAAAATGACGAGGAGAAAAAGACTTGTAGAAAGGCTACATATGTGCAGCATCATTTGTGACATCTATCTACATATTATATCTAACCCCCCCTACCGACTCCATTAATGAAACTTTGCTTCAACACTCCCATACCGTACCCCATCGACCTTGAGTTCAAAAACCAACCCTGCACTCTGACACCGCATGTCAAGGGTAAAATCCAGATTATCAAACTCAACCCCCTTTGTCGTTTTCAGGCGGGTAAACAGGCTTTTAGGCACGGTATTCAAGTCGGTGGTGAGTGTGCAAACGTTGATAAGATCCTTGGTAAGAGAGTCCGGGGCAACATCAGCGTCGCAGGCAATGAGGTCGTCTTCTACCACGAGAGATTGACCGGGGCGGAAGTTGCGTGTATAGTGAAAAGATATGGGACGGGATTCGGATACTTGGGCGCCCTGCAATTGGTAAGTGTTAGTGGACTGGTGGTGTAGCTAAAGGGGGGGAACGCAGTATTACCTTTGCAATATGCCATTGCATTCGGTCAGACACCATCCACCGCTCCCATAGCGGACTCCAATAACGGTCGGAGATGGGGTGTTTGGACTCGTCAAAAACAGTTGCGTAGCTTGTGCCGTAATGCCAGCGACTTCGTCGGCTGATGACCATGTTGCCCTCTAGACCTCTCAGTACGGCGCCGCGCACGACAGCAGTCCATGCATGTATGGGTTGGTATATCTCAATAGACTGCGCCGCGTCCGGAGCGACGTAATGGGTTGCCCTCTCGGTATATGGTGGAGGCGGCGCGCTGTTGAAATGTGACTTCATCCGACTGTAGAGGTAATTGCTCTGCCCGAATCCTCCAACGAGAATTATGCCACACACCAGACCTCCTTTCGCTCGTATACTCTCCACTTGACCCTCTACCAAATGTATGACCTCTTCAATAACCGGATCAAATAGACTCTTGACTTGCTCGGCACTCATGACGAGGAACCCGGAATCCAGCCCCGCCTCTTCGTCATCTGGCAGGCCTGGGAAGGGAATGTTGACTTCACTATGCTCCTCCTCATTGAAGTTGCGCTTGACAAATTCTTCGAAATACTTCAAGCCCATGTTCCACGTCTTTTGCTTTTTCTCGCGCATCCACGTGTACCGCTCTGCTCCAATTCGTTGCTTAACATGTTCTTCGAAGCGGTAGTTGATAAAAGTCGAGCCACAGAGGCCACCAGTTCCAACAGCCGACTCTTCAACACGCAAAGGGTGTAGTTGATTAATCTTGTAGGCAATCAGATCGACTGTGCCGCCTCCAGCATCGCATACGATAAAGTTGTCGCCGGTCCTGAGGTGGTTTGGTTGAATGGCCTCGAGGGTATATACGGCAGCCGCTTCGGGTTCAGATATGAGCTTCAGTTCATGTCTGTTGCCCATGCCAGCCTTTTCGGCAGCCTTCAGAGTCGCATCCTTGGCCGCGTCTGACCACACAGCAGGTACCGTGAGGACAAACTCGACTTTGGTCAAACCAATAAACGCCTCGCCATATCTCCGGGTCAAGGTCTCCATGGTATGCTTGTATATTTGCGACAGGTAGTCGGTGGCTGCCTCAATAACTGTCTTGCCGTGCTTGCGCAGCTGGGCGGCCGTGTCCAGAGGCGACACATAATGCGGAAGCTTCTGATTTCGATCGAGGAAGAGCTTGATACATCGAAGGCGCGTCTCGTCTGGCTTGAACTGGAAGCCCCATTTGATGGTCGGCGCGGGCTTGGTTAACGCATTGAGCGAGGCAGTAGAGTCGCGTTCAAGGGCCGGTTCGGCGTAGCCAATCTCTGTAGGGACCTTGTCGGAGGTGATACCTGAGGGCGCGTGTTAACTCTTCGAGGTACATGGTGTCGTGGATGCACAAAAACTCACCATTTCCACCGGGCCAAGTCTTGATGATGTCAATGTCGTCAGGATTCGCGCTGTACACGGCAGCAACGCCTGTCGGTGGTCAGCCTTGGTTCGCATTAGGCGGCACGATTACCGTAGTTGTAATGGGTGTGTCTACCGCTGTATGTGGTCCCGAAGTCAACACCTACAACCAGCCTGTCTTTGGGGGGAGTGGCGGGCGGTGGCAAGCTGCCAGCGTCCACGCTGCCATTGGAGCCCGGGTTGAAGGTAGTGGGTATGCTACTCCCTCTGCTGGGGAATGTGCTCTTCATTTTCAGCTCCCCGGTCTTCGTGCTGGCTGTGGCGGTGCTATGGGCGTCGAAGGACAGGCGTGGGCGTCGCGTGGGGTACTATGTCCGCGGGGCTGAATCCTGCCAGAGGAGAGCAGAAGCTCATTGAGGTGCAACGGCGCGTACAGGAGACGCCGCCGTTATCAAGCGGTTTTTCTTGAGATCATTGCACAATCTGGGTCCCGGGGTAGAGCGTGGTGGCAGGCTGAAGCCTAGGTAGGTCACGGTATGTACACGAAGATGTCGGATGCAGCAGCTGCAGGGGCAACCATGGTGGGCTGGCCCAAAGCTGCACGATTGGGTCTCGTCAGTTGGTCTCTTGACGGCAGTTCACCTCGACACCATCCCAAGTCTCAGCCTTGTACAGAACCTTGAATATCATGGTGATTCCGATGCAGTCCTGAACTCGCCATGTTTCGTCTCAATTATGACCGAACGAAAGAGCTCTGGTAGGCTGCAACCCCACCACCGCCAACCACAGTCGCAGTCGCAGTCACAGTCACAGTCCACGTTAAACAACACCACTACCCCGCCAAAAGCCTCACGAATTGCTTCCAATGTGCCCAAGGACCAAGCACGCCGACGCATATTTCCTTTGAATGATATGCACAAGCACCAGAGTGGACGCACACCGGGGCCTAGCCAGCCCACCACCAACGTCGATGATTCAACACCACCTAGCCAGGATGCCACTAATGAATCGGGCCAGCAGCATACCCAGTCGCCTTCAGCCACGGAAAAAGCGCGCAGAGACTCGAGCAACCTTTGGGAGAGCACAATGAATGACGCCGTACAGCGCGAAAGCGAAGAGCTCGTGCGCCAAAACCACGAACTACGTTGCCGGGTTGCCCAGTTGGAGGACCAGCTCATGTATCCGAACAGTGCTCGACAACACAGCGACCGGCCAAAATCACCAGACCAAGTAGGCGATCTGAAACTTCGTTTGCAGGCTGCGGGGAAAGAGTCACAGGAAAGACTCCAGCAAATCATTGCCCTCAAATCGAGCATATCATCTCTTACACGTGTGCAGTCTCAGATTACCGATAGCGACCTTGTGGTGTCCTTGTCCGAACTTGCAAACCGCGTCCGAGAATGGACGATCTCTAACCTCAGGCGGACCAAGCTGAACCTTGAAAATATACCTAAAGAAACCGAAGAAACAGTTTGCAAGCTGTATCCTCAATACAGGAGTGGTATCCAGGGTGCAGACAAGTTTGCCTTATATCAAGCTATTATCTCGACCTCGCTCATGCCCATTTTTGAAACACCTTTGGTCTTCGGGCTGCCAAAATCGCTCACGGCAATTCAGTCCTTTGCCGACGAGGTACAAGGCAGCGGTCCTGCCTATAGTGAATGGAAGCGCGCGACGATACAAGTGCTTGAGAATAGCAGAGTACAACCTGACCTTATAAGAGAACGGGAGGAATTGCTCCACCGTATCCTCGGGGATATTTGTCATCTGCTCTTTACCCTAACTTCCACTACCGTCACCTCGAGTGCGCAATCAGCACTAAGTGGGATTCTCAAGAATGCTGTAGACTTCCAACGAACACTGGCTCTTCAGAAAGCGCGTTACCAGCTCCTTTTCTTTCGCAGTGAAGGCAAGAAAATGTGCCTCGACGATCGTACAATGGAAGCTATCAATGATGTTGATTCCACCACGGACGACGATACTCCTATGGAGACGGACCGCACATTCCTCTTCTGCGTATTCCCTGGCCTCGTCAAGCATGGTGATGAGTGGGGTGAGCACGATGAGATGAGCAATGTTTTGCTCAAAGCAAGGGTTTGCTCTGGATTCGGGTAACCTTGATCTCAGCAGTGATGTAAAAGGTTACTGCTATCCAAGGACGGATTTTCGCACCCTTCGTTGAGCGTGTTGAGAGGAAGGAATGAGCATCATATCTCGCTAGTCCATGCAAATTCATCATAAAGCAGAAGACGATGACTCCGTGTTTGAATGGAAATTCTCTACTTCTCTTCCAAAATTGCCTCAACTCTTTCAGAGCGGCTTTTCGTATCTCGATGTCAACATCGTCTCCTTGCATATCAGTTCTGGGAAATGCGCTACCTCGATCAGATAGTTGGAGATACAAGTTCGACCATATCACCTATCCATGGGTGGCATTGAACCTGTCGTCTTTCATATTAAGACAAATTCTGATGCTGATTTTCTGGAGTAAAGCTCTAGTCATAAAGTGTTGAGTAGGGGGAGGATGCTGAACTGCAATGCAACAGGTGGATATCATTTCGCGATGCAACTACACCGTAAGTGAGTCGCTCAACTGTAATGCCACACAAAGGTCAGAAGAATGACGTTTTGTTTTGTAGATTCGATATTGCAAAATCCTGAGCTTCTGCAGCTCTAGGCGGTCAGAACGTGATACCGCGTGTGGATCGATCTGCCATGCCAGTGATTTCATCATGACCAATTCTTTGCATGCATCTCCCCTCACCTCACTGATAGTTGTTATTTGATTCGCTCACTCCAGTCACTTCACTCAGACACATCCGTTGTTTTTTGAATCTAGATTTTCTGCAATGTCGCTCCGAGTTCGTGACGTCATGGCAAACCGCCTTGCCCGCTACATTACAATTTCGGCCCCTCGACGTCTCACTCCCTCCCTCATTCCAAACCAGAGTTGCATGCGAGCATTCAATCGGACTAAGCAAATAACAAATCAACTTCAACCGCAACTTCAGCAACGCACATACTCCAACATGGCTCCCTCCAATAATCCCGAGCTCGAGATGGGCCAGGTCTTTGATGTCAAGGACAAGGTCGCCTTGGTCACCGGAGGAGGCTCTGGTATCGGACTCATGATCACCCAGACGTTGGCTGTTAATGGTGCCAAGGTATACATTGTCGGCAGGACGGAAGAGAAGCTTGAGAAGGTCGTTGAGGCACATGGACAAAACATTTCGGGACAAATCATTCCAATTGTCGGTGATGTCAGCACGAAAGAGGGTGTATCGTAAGTTTTCACATATATGTCGAGTATTGTAATGCTGACCTTGGATATAGTAAGATCAAGAAGGAGATTGAGTCAAAGGAAAAGTGTCTATGCATCCTAGGTAAGATTCCGTGGTTTGATTATTGGACCTGACTCTAACAAGAGCAGTAAACAATGCTGGAATTGCGCCGGAAAAGACTGAAGTTAAGGGAAGCTCAGAAGAGCTGGTCGAGAAGCTCTTCGATGGCACTACCGAAAAGGAGTGGCTCGACGTTTACCAAACCAATGTCGTTGGCCCATTCCTTATGAGCACAGCCTTCCTTCCTCTCCTGGAAAAGGCTACGGAGACACATAAGGGATACTCCGGAACCATCATCAACATCAGCTCCATCTCTGGTCACATCCGCATTTCACAGGGCCATTTTGCCTACAATAGCAGCAAGGGCGCCACCATCCATCTAAACAAGATGCTTGCCTCTGAGATTGCAAAGAACGGCAGTAAGTCTTACATATCACTGGATGCGTCTTGGTTCTCACTGACATCTTGTAGTCAAAGTTCGTGTCAACTCGATCGCCCCTGGTGTTTTCCCTTCGGAGATGACTACCCAGGAGAGCCGAGACGACAACCAGAAGAGCGAAATGCCCAAGGAGCACAAGCAGGGTCTTCCTGCCCAGCGTCCTGGAAAGGACCAGGACATGGCCGCTGCTATCCTATTCGCTGTTGGCTGTCAGTATCTCAACGGCCAGACCATCACTGTGGACGGCGGCTATGCCATTCAGGTCGGCAACTAAGTCGGTCGGTGTTATGATGACTCATGAGTTCTTCTAATCCGCTTCTTTACAAACTTTATGATGTATAATAGCATGATATATTCTAAGTCAGGATTGACCATAGTGTCACGAACTGTAATGTGTAGCGAATCGGCATGCATTGACTAAAGGTCGAAGGTTCTATCCACGTAATAGAAGAACTTCCTGTATGCATACCCGAACTTACTCATCCGATATGATTACAGTGTTCTCATGGCGACCTCAAAAAGAATGTGATTTTCCCATGTGGAACCATACGTGTCTTGCTCTTCAGTCACGCCTCGCACGTGCAGCAGCTCCCAACGCCTCTGCAGCGACGGCAGTACCTCCTGCGGCAGCTGCAACGGTGGCCGCACCATAGCCTCCCATCTGTTCTAATCAGCAACATGCCACACCAAAAATCAGATCCATACTTACCGCCGCAGACTGCAAGACCGCAAACGTACTTCCCGCAGATACCGCACCCATAGCCGACTGCACCCCGGCAGCAAGCGACCCTGCAATCATCTATAAGCTTTTGTTTGATACCGTTTGGCACATATGACAGCCTTACCAGCGATGACACCGCTACCCGAAAACCCGACAATAGCCAACAGTGGCGTTGTAATGACACCAGGAACGAGCAGCAGCGCAGCACTCCCGATATGACCGAGTGTACGCAGCGGGTGCTTGGCCACGTAGCGCACAATAGGTGGTGCGATGCGACGGAACATTTCTTCAACCGTGTTCTTGACTGCGTTGATGGCGTTTTGGACAAAGTTTGATACCGTGTTTCCCATTGTGTAAGGGGGGTTTGTGGTTGATACACTGCGAGGTAGGTGGACTATGGGGTATTTGTAGTTTGGAGAAAGATTTCGTAAGGCGGGGGGTGAAAAGCTGGGTCACGTTCACTCGTCACTGTTCACGGTTGGGGTGGTTGGCACACGTGTGGGGTTGTTGCGTGCTGTGCCGCATAGGATGAGTTGAACGGAGGGTGTTGCTCTTGTCCTTCTAGGAAGGTCTAGATTCTCGTTTGTTCACATGGAATTGAGGTCTTCTATTCGGCTCATTGAACGCATGAAGGTGTTTTGTGGTGTTCTCGCGCACATAGGGTTGCGATGGGCCTCATAGGATGGCATGAATATTGGGATTCTCCAACCGCGCGCTTGCGTGCTGCACCGCCACCACTATCACTATACGTGTTAATGCGTTCTTCCATATCAAGTATATAATCAGCTCATTCCCTTCTTATGAAACAATTTTCCTGCTTAAAAGAGACTTCACAGCGCCGGTTCGACGGCCTTTTCGGCAACCGCGCCTCTCAGCCTTGTGGTAAAGGATTGTTCTAACGAAGTGGACCCAGAAATATCGTTAACGCCTCCTTCATTAATTAAATAAGAGAAAAGTTAAGGAAGCTAGGCCATCGTGTCTCGTGCAACGGCTGGAAGACGTAGTGGCAGAAAGCCCCATGAGAACGTGCTTAGATTGAACATTAGCTCAACATTTATACCAGCTTGACAGTTGATGCAAAATTACACAGAGGGCTCTTTAGCCGCTCGTAAAATCACCTATGGACAATTGTATTCGCCGTCGTTAACCGTAGGCCTTGTCCAGCCCCCTTCTCCCACGTTTAACTACGTATGTCTCTTACTGAGAGATAAAGCATCAGTTCTCAATATTGTGAGCTAGGCTTTTAAAAGTTTTGACCGGTAAACTGAGACGCTACCACATAGTACATTGAGACGAGGGGAGATAGGTGCCTCTTTTACTGGCGGACATGACACCGTCATCATAATGCTGTTGGAAGGTTAGCAGTGAACACACAAACAGAAATACTCAAGACACCGCCTTCACAGACATGGCAATAAGACATTCAAATGGGACTGTTCGTAGCTTTGGGTTCATATCATGCAAGTCATAGTATCTATTTTCTCGCGTCGGCACGCTCTCGTCTATTCATCTAAGGCTTTGAAGAATTCCAACGTAGCAGCTTCTCGGATCCCTCTACTCAAACAACACACTTAGTTGCACTTTCCCCACTTGCTCTGGCACCAGTTGGCAGCACCGCAGAAGTCCTCGCCAGTACCGCAGAAGTTTGATCCAGAGCAGCAAAGACCAGATGCGCACTTCTTGTTAACAATAGGACCGCAAGTCTCTCCGGCTTGCGAGACGCCCTTCTCGCCAGCAGGCTCAGCAGGTGCCTTTTCGTTATCGCACTTTCCGAAGCCGGCCTGGCATCCGGTACCGCAGTAGAGGTTCTGGTCCTGAAGGTCGTTCTTGGGTCCGCAGTGGCCAGCCGAAGAGCAGCAGCGGTAGAAGTAACCGTTGGCTCCTGCACCAGGGCAGCTCACGCCACCTTGGGCGTGACCGCAAACGTCAATCTCAGGGACGCCGTCGGGGAAAGTCTGGGCGGGAGAGCTGCCGTTGCACTTGGAAGAGGCACCAGAGAAGTTCTTCAGGCAAGTCTTGGCGTCGCAGTGGTCGTTGGTAGTTCCGCACCAGCCGTATTGGGAGCCTGAGTAATGGGTCAGTAAATAATCTCATGGTTTCGAAGAATTATGCTAAAACTTACAACACTCGCCCGAAGCGCACTTTGCGTTTCCATTCTGAGGACCGCAGTTTCCGGCAAAGACACCGGAGGCCAGGGAGAGAAGAGCGAAAGTAGAGAAACGCATTATGATTAAGATTAAGGTTCTTCGATTTCAAACTTTGTTAAAAGAGTGGGTATTCGTTTGTATGACGAGAGTAAGCGAGTGCAAGGCGATGAGTTCGTACTGATGACCCGATGGAGAGAAAAGAAGAGCCATTTGGAAGCGGGAAACTGAGCTTTTAATGATAGACCCCTCTCGTATTTCCCGGTCCCCAAAGAGTAACGAACTGCATCCAATGACAGTGGTAGCCCTGCGGCGGCTCGTGTGTCTCCACAAAGGCTGCTATCGAGGGTGTGCATTGGCTCTGCGCTAGAATGGTCTGCTTGCTGCTAACTGGCTGTTGCGCACAAAGTCAATCCCACATACGATGCTCGTGCCTGAACGCACAGACATTAGGGCTGTGAGGACTGGGCTGTCTTTTTTTGTTCGGAAATTTCGCATAGGGCACCGGTGCAATCAGGCCAATTCGGAAGGCCGGCAAAGTGCGTGAAACGACCAAGCTTGCCACTTTGGGCTCACGCGCTATGCGGGATGACGAAGGGCATCGTACTACTTACATACTGCAGATAACGGGACAAAGGCTGCTTATAGTGCCCAATAGATTTTTGCGCAATCAAAGGGCATGTTGATCGCTTCTGCTCCCGTCGTATCAGAACTAGATTGAGTTTGTGCAAAAACAATTGGAGGCGAACGACGGAAGGTGATCCATTGGGGCCGCCCTACGTACCTACAAAATAAGCACTCGCTTAGCGCAGATTGGCTGGCTGGACCAAGACTCTACCCCTGATTCTCTTCTTATCGGCGAGCAAAGCTTTTGAGGCGGAAGCTTGACAGGCGGAGCTACTTATTAGACGAGACGGCGACGGACGGGACGGTACTGACAGAATGACACAAGGGAGGCGGCGGGCCATGTTGAGAAGGAGAGAGAGTGCTTACCTGCAAGTAGTACATTAGACCGGGGCTAGAGCTTCTAGATCATTATTCTGCTGACGCCCCCTGCTCGGCTGTACCTGAGGCGCCGTGAGTCCGGGGCAGACAAGAATAGACCTGTTACAACATCATGCGATGAATTTACATACAAAATGCAGGACCTAGTACACCGCCCTTGCTATACTGTTTAAAAAATTGAACTAAGCACGAAGTTGTGGCCGATAGTCAAACCAATCTTTCCCTCAGGTATTGGCTAGTATGTGTGCATGACTCGGTCTGAAAAAAGAACATCTTGGGGCTGGTTCAGGCCGCCGAGCTACTGCGTGATTGAACCGGAATACGAATTTCACAGTGCAAAAGGCAGCCGATCTGCTCTGCGCAAATAAGAAATAATGAACTCCTGATCTTGCTTCCCGGAGCGGTGTGCATCGTGTACATGCAGAGTGCTTTATCGGACCTATCCCGCCATCCGTACATGTATAGATGCGTTGTTCAATACACGCCCCTGGTGTATGTGAGTAAGCAACTATTTATCAAGAGTTGTTGCGGTGGTTACCCCCTATTTCATATCCTATGGCAGATACCTGTCAATCCTTGCACATCGACATTCTTCCTGAAAAGTTTGACAACTGAATTATATACGATTTTTCCTAGGAAGTCAAAGTGTTTTTGAGCAAACAATATTCGATATGCCTCCACAGACTACTATATCCAAGATAAGGAATTAGCTTACATACTGGCTTCACATAGCGTAATATGTATTCAAAATCTCATATCCAAAACACTAATATCTTAGTTGTTCGAAGATAGGTTATCGGCAAGGAGTTTGGTGCTCCACATGGCGTTAGCGTGGCCTGAGAAGCCCGAGTTTCTCTCTCGAAAATAGAGAAGAGAAGGAGAAGAAGAAACCAAGAAGAGGTTGGGAATTGAAAACAAAGGCAAAAACGTATATTTTCGACACCGAGACTCTATAGTCTTTGCCTACAGACAACACCTTCGGATGGCAACCACTCTTCACGTGAGCTCTTTGCCTCAGCACCTTCTCTTTGACAATACCGAAAAGTCAAAAAAAAAGATATTTTCCGACACCGGGAATCGAACCCGGGCCTTGCCGGCGCTGTGAAGCGAACTGACTCTGGATGAGAGCGGCAAATCCTAGCCACTAGACCATATCGGATTTTGATGGAAATTCGAGAATTTAGTCAAAATAACAATTGAGTGTTGGTACTTGAGGAATGTTGATCCAATAAACAATTGCAAAGCGGTGGAGCTTCAGGTCGAAAATAAGTAATGGGAAAATCTCTTCAACCCGGGCCCACTTGGATGAAGCGACTAACAGATGTTTGGTTTGATGGTATTTACGACAGACTCTCGTATGGCTACTAAAACCCAAGCGACAACTGTATGATCGATCTCAATAGGGCGAACATAGCAATGAGTGAATATGGTTGCCAAGCGACCAAAATCTATCTCTGACATCCCAATGTGTAAAGTAACCCACATTTACATGCGGTCTAGAAGAAAGTATACAAACTGCCGGCACCTGTCATTTTGTGTCATCGCGCGGATGATTTGATTCTACATCGCGCTTCTTGTACCACGCAAACCAAGCAATGACCAATGTAATGACTATGACCAGTGCCGTAGTCACTTCTTTCGAGCCGGATTTGTGGGCGAGTCAGGCGCTTGACTCTGAATTTTTGTCTAGCGGAGGTATTTGTTGGTTAAGGTATGACTCGAGGTGGTCAATCTCATCGGGATCGGCGCTGTGGACGAGGCCCCTGATTCTCGTTAGAAACAATCTTCTGCTGGCTGTAGAGGACATACTTGTAGGTCCTGAAGTCAACTTTGTATCCATGCTTCTCGAGCTCTTCAGCACTCTTCTTTCCCCATTTGTGTGCGACCACTTGGTCTGCATCGCCGTGGCCCATAAAGATGGGGGTGTTTTGGTTCGGGTTGCTGGTTGGAATCATGTCCTTGATCTTGTTCTGCAAGAGCAAGTAGCAGCTCAAGCCAAAAATGCCTCCCAGCTGCTCCTTGTATGTTACTCCTGAAAGTATGGACATTGCGCCACCCTGCGAGAAGCCTCCGATCACTATGCGGTTTGCAGCTATGCCTTTCGAAACCTCCTGGTCGATGAGCGAATGGAAGTACTTCTGAGATTGGATGATGCCTTCTTCATCCTCGCTGCGGCCATCCAGATTACCCAGCTCTTTGATATCGTACCATCCTGGCATACTCATGCCCATGTTCTAAGTTGTGTATTAGCATTCATGCTGTGTTTGCGCCGCAGCATCTGCGAAGGATCGATGGTTGGTCACGAACCAGGGAGATTGGGATATTTGGAGCATTCGGAAAGATGAAGGAGACCTCCTCAAACTTGCTTCGTCTGCGCCAGTTCTCTGCGAGAAATATCCTACTCTTGTCAGAGTCTACAGAATCATGTTACGTTACTGAGCGCTTCCTACCAGCCAGCCCCGCTGTCTCCGAGTCCATGAGCCACGATGACCGTAGCGGTGTGTCGCTTGAGCGCAGGGACGATTAGAGGTGCTTTGTGAGCCATGCTGAAGTCAACTATGTGGGGGTGTAGAGTAACGTCTCGACAGCAGACGGTACGTGGGGTAGCTGGAAGCAGTCAGACTCGGGACCATGTGGGCCTCGGCGTGTCTTCCTGCACGCTAAAGCAGGAACAAGGGTCCGAGCTCCAATCATCATCATCGACGTCATGACCTATCTAGTACTATCCAGTGGCGATTCACTCTATAATTCACTACCCTCTCTGATTTGGAGACGTATAAAAAGGTACCTTCTAATTGTTACTCTTCTGGCTCCTACCACGACGATTGTGTCCGCTAATGCGTTCAAAATACTAGTCAGGCTTCTTCTGGCATCGCGGCCAGGTACCTTCAGGGGCGCAATCCATTTCTCACAATCAACACGCTCATCCCATATGGTACGAGCTACAAGGAGCTCTGCCGCAAAAGGCAGAGCTGCACAAGTACTACCAGTCATTGGTAAAGATTCAGTACAACTTTCCAGTCCACCTACGACACCAGAAGCACCCAACTCCCGAAAGAGGAAAGCTATCAAGGCGGAAGGCTCACCAGAAACCAAGACCAAGGATACGCCTGTTGCACCCAAGAGCGCCAAACGAGCCAAGAAATCTGTAGTAAAGCAAGAGGACATCAACGACCTTCCGCACAACCTTGGTGTTATTCCAGATCTTCCAGTCAAGCGAGAAGACGATGATGACATCAAAAGAGACTCGGCAAAGAAGACAAAAAAAGCAACCAAGAAAGCGAGTGTGAAGAAAGAGGACGTTGGCGATGTTGTTGACAAAGCAACCACTACAACTCCAAACAAGAAGAGCAAGGGTAAGACTGGGAGTTATGGCCTTACACCCGGCCAAACGCCATATCCAAACTACCCACATCCAACTGCAGAAGAATGTGAAGAAGTCACTCGTCTCTTGTCGAAAGTACACGGCAAGGTAGAAGCTCCGAAGACCATTCCCACACCATCGCTCGATGTCTCAGGGTGCGGAGAAGTACCCTCAGTCCTTGACGCTCTTATACGAACACGTCTTTCTGCTGCAACGTCTGGAACAAACTCATCCCGCGCTTTTGCAGGCCTTGTTGCCAAATTTGGAATTTTGAAAGAAGGTATTGGCAAAGGCAGCGTAGACTGGAACAAAGTGCGCCAAGCAGACCAGAAAGAGATATTTGAAGCAATCAAGAGTGGTGGACTAGCCGATGTCAAAAGCAAGGATATCAAGAAGATTCTGGAAATGGTCTGGGAAGAAAATCAGGTGCGACGGAAAGAGCTTCAATCTCCGTGTGACAAAGCGCCAGGTTCCACCAATGAGGCGGAAGAGGAGAAGAGTGCAGAGATCGAAAAGGCAAGCCAGGATGTCATCTCTCTGGACCATCTGCATCTACTCTCAAATGACGATGCCTTCAACGCCCTCACCAAGTACCCTGGTATTGGACCCAAGACAGCATCGTGTGTACTTCTCTTTTGCCTTCAACGACCTTCATTCGCTGTTGATACGCACGTCTTCCGACTCTGCAAATGGCTAGGTTGGGTACCCCCGTCAGGCGATTCCAGGGGTCTTGCTCCAGGTGCGAAAGGCACTTTCGCTGGTCCAACACGCAATTCAACGTACGCTCACTGCGAAGTTAGAGTACCAGACCATCTGAAGTACCCACTACACCAGTTACTTATAAAGCATGGGAAAACGTGCCCAAGATGTCGAGCAATCACGGGTGAGAGCAGCGAAGGGTGGGAAAAGGGCTGTCCAATCGAACATCTAGTCCAGAGGACAGGCGGCCGCAAAGATTTCGGCACAAGCCCAAAGGGAGGAAGCGCAAAAACTTCAAGGAAAAAGAAGAGAGTGACTGAGGAATACGAGAGTGATGCTCAGAGCAGTGGTGTGAGTGACGCTGAGAGTGCTGAACTAAGCGACGTGGTGAGCGATGCAGAAATAGAACAATCGGAAGAAGAGCAGTCAGAAGGTGAATATTGATGTTCATATGTACATTGAATTTTGAAAGCGAGCATCTACTTTGTATATACAGATTTTCTATGTAGTGTCTTCCCTCGCGTATGTCGATTTAGTCCAAAATCGACAAGTCATGTTGTGCAACAGCTGAGTATGTCTTGTTGCCCCTGTTCAACCGAAGCATTGTTGCCTTAGGTGAACTGGCTGAAGAAGGCCCAGACCTCCTTGGGTGTGAAGCTCTGAGCGCCAACATCGTTTCCTGCATCTCCGGGAAGCGCGACGTGGTCTCCATCGAAGGAAGTCCATTGAGTTGGGTACTTGCATCCATCGTATACGGTCTTGACGCGCTGGCGGCTGTTGGGCGATGGGTCGGGTGCGTTCTTAGACTGGCATCCATTAAGCTGGACAAAGCGGTCACGGATCTGCTTTCCGGAAGAGATGGGCAGAACGCTGTCCTTGACACCGTGTTGACCGTAGAACGCAATGGGGGTGTTGCCGCCAGCACATCCAGAGAGGGTGGCACCAGACAAGACAGCAATACCTCGGAAGTCAGCCGCCTTGCTGCAAGCCAGGCTGAAGGACATGGCACCACCGTAGGAGAAACCTAGGGAGAAGCGGAGCTTCTCGTTGACACAGAACTCGTCGTCAATCTGCTTCCTGACTGCGTCAAGGAAGGCAATGTCCTCTCCATTCTGGTTTCCCCATCCCCTGTTGAGACCGTCTGGGGCTACAAAGATGGTGCTCTCACCGGCAAGAGCAGCGAGGCCGTAGTAGGGAGCAGCTCCACTAGCGACCGCGTTCATGTCACCGTTGAGCCAGTGCAGGCCAAAGATGAAGCGGTATTGACGCTTGTTATCATAGTTTTGAGGCACGCGAAGAGTGTAGCGGCGCTGCTTGTTGTTGACTGTGATGGTGTGAACACCACTGTTCAGTCTTGGGGTTTTTCCACAGCCAGCTGTCGCAGCGGACACAGAATCGAGAAGTGAAAGGAAGAGAAGGGCACCAAGTGCGAAGATAGAAGCTGGGCGAAGCATCGTGAAGTGCTTGTTGTTTGTTTCTGAGTTTCGTGCTGGTGTTTCTACAACTGTTGAACCTCAACGGCCTTTAAGTATATTTTGAAATCCCCACATTTTCTCCAGACTGAAACATTCACGCCACTGTTTCTAGAGAGTAGATCACTATGGAACAGGAGGGTTGCTACTATCGGGATTTATGCTCAGTCCCCATACCAAGACTTTTTGACACTGAAATAAAGACAGAGGTTAGTCAAGATACGAGCTCCGAAACCAATTGGAAAGCTCAGAGGATAGAGAATTCCGAGTCAGAGGGTCCCATAGCACTTCGAGTAAATGATGCCAAGAGCCTTGGACAGCCGGCAGTTCCTCGGAGTGCCTCCAGAAGTCTTGTTTTTGTGTTAGTCTCCACGTTTATGCAGACAATGTGCTTCTCACGGAAGAATAGAGTGGAGAAATCCTGCAAGCCATTTACGCACCCCCCGCATTCCTGCTCAACTGCCGCTTCCGGGTTGGACTTCCAAGTTTTTGACATGAACACGGGCGGTGTCGATCACCTTATGTGGCTGAAACAAGGCCCATAGCCACATACTAGCCACAGAAAGTCACGTGACTTCGTACCATCAAGTGCTTCCCCGCTTCCAAACGGAAAGATTGCCCGAGTTGTCGGGCCATTTTCGTCGCACCTCTGCACCATTTGGCAGCTGTTTCCGTATTTCGAGCACGCGCAAAACGGCGAAAACAGAAACAGAAAGGCCGGTGGCTGATTACCAAACAAAACAACAGGCATCACACTTTGCCAGCTGTCCCCCTTAAATTTCCCCGCCAATGCCAGCGACCCAATACAGAAAAAGTGTTCCATACCGGCAAATTCGAGTCTTGGGGTTTCGTCATGCTCATGGTCAACGTCCAAGGTGTAAGCGATGGTCAGAAATCCGCTGAGCCATCGGCAAAATCTGCTAGGATTACGAAGATAACATCCAAAACTCGAATACTACAAGACACGACTCTAAATTTATTCGACTTATTCACGTCTGTTCCACAGCCAATCTGGTTGTGCTTTCCTCGGTTCTTAGTACGGGGGCTCCGGGTGTGCCGAACGAGCCGGTTAAAAGCTGCCTGTATGACATCAACCAGAACCATAGCAAAAGAATAGCTACAATCACTGTAAAAGCCAGTGAGTATTACATAGAAGACTGAGAATTCTCACTCTTTACAGTGGAGTACATTTGGTACCTCTTGAGGCTAAGCAGTACGCGATGTAGGATGCGGGTGAGCAGCCGCACTCTTACACAGTACTGTGTAGTGTATGTATGAGGTGATTAGGGGCAGTCTAATCCAATTCTATCGGCGCACTGGCATTTGAGCGAACCCTATCGGTGGTATTTACCGATCCTCCCGTGATGAGATGCGTGACAGGAACATTCTGAAGCCTGACAAGTCCAGGCAAGAGGACGATTTCCCCCTTCAACAGCATAAGCATGCAACTCGCGTTTACTCCATACTTTTTAAAGTATGATGGCTGTATGCAGATGGTAGAGACTGCAAGTTTCATCCGCCGGTTAATAGGTCTAATGCGTAGTCAAGCTGCATGTGTGATATTATCTGTTGCTCCCCTGGGACCAACTGCCGGGTATATCACCAACTCACTCACACTTACTTATGTTGCATAGAAGTAAGCATTTGAAGGATCCATTGTGGATACATGCCAACTGGCCAAGGGTGTGCTAAGAGTCAACAGAGGCTAACCATGTTCGTGCGAAACGTTTACAGGTAGGTACAAGAATGACAACAAGACTTGAAGCCATACATATTCTCAAGGTGACACCGATACTTCAGACAGAAAGATGCAGAATACCCAGGCAAGTCACTGTGATGGACTCGGGCCGATGGGACATTGCGGAAGTCCCGTTGTGTCAGCCCTAGACTATCACAACACTATGCGAACGTTATCCCCCAGCAGCTAGGTAATTAGACCATTCTGTCTGACCAAAATCCCAGTAAGACCTCAGTGAGATCCCATTGAGTATACGTATTGCGGAATTATATATTCCTTGTGTGGCAAAAATGGTGCAAGAACATAGAAAGTATAAAAACTGGTCGTGGCCTGCGAAACATATCTTGACTCCTTTCTATCAGCAATTACCTGAACTTCCAAAGCAAAATATAATACCACAAATATGAAGCTCTATCCGGATATTCTGGCCATGGCCGCTATTTTCGCTAGCAATGTCGTTGCTTTCGATCCTTCGATTTTCAATACCAGCGACCCTAAACCATGGGGCTTCTTCGTGGACAACATCATCTACAAGCCCACTGGCAATGAGTCCATGACGTACCCTCGCTATACTGAATTGGATGATGGGACTATCATTGCAACTACATGGCTTCTAGGTCACACACCTGGTTACCAGCCCATCTTCGAGTCGAAGGATGGCGGCGCTACATGGAAGCACATTTCCAATTTGAACAGCATCGATGGTTTGGGCATAAATAATCAGCCTGCCCTAACGGTATTGACGGAGGCCATGGGGGGTTACGCGGCTGGCACTATCTTGGCCAGCGGTAACGTTTGGGGTAAAAACTTCAGCAGAATTGACCTATACGCTAGCAGAGACACGGCAAGGACTTGGGAGTTTGTGAGTCACATTGCCCAGGGTCAAGAGCCCGGCTCACAAAAGGCAATCTGGGAGCCATATCTTCTGTGAGTCTTGGTCATCTTGCGTCTTAGCAACTTGGAGGCTGACAATGACTCGAGGCAATACAAAGGCGAATTGATAGCCTACTACTCGGATGAACGTGACCCCAATCACAGCCAAAAGCTTTCTCATCAAGTGTCTTCCGATCTGAAGACGTGGGGCCCTGTTGTTGACGACGTAGCTTACGATGAGGTCGCTGATCGTAGTGGTATGACGGTCGTGACATATATTCCACCCATCAAAAAGTGGATTCTTGTACACGAACAGGGCTTTGGAAAGACGGTCTTTGGTGTCAATTACCCCGTCTACTACGTTCTGGCCGACTCTCCTGTAGAATTTGGCGACAACGTTGGCCAGCCTATCGTCATTGATGATCGTGCGCCCGGGTCCAGTCCGTATGTGGTCTGGAGCTCTCATGGAGGCCCCAATGGCACCATCGTGGTCTCTGATGCGTCAGACAGCCAGGTGTTCACCAATACGCACGGCGGCGCTGTAGACAAATGGGAGAAGCATGCTACGCCTGCTGCAGTGGTATATTCGCGTGCCATCCAGATCTTGAAGAACAGGCCGGAGCACCTGTTGATTTATGGTGGAGAAAGGTATAGTACTTTCACCCAGGGAAGTGGCCTTCCGTTTTCGGCGACTGTAGTCAATCTGACAGAGGTGTTGAGCGCACCTGCGTCGTAGTTATTGGAAAGGTGATGAGGGTGGATGACAAGAGCAACAAACCTGGCCTATCCATGTAGACAAGGTGGTTGGAATATACAGAATGTTTTTCAGTATTTGCTTTGTGACACTGTTATTGCATATTGCATGTGATTATGATGATATGAGGGGAGGGAAGGTGACTTGGACGCACGTGAAGAGGCGCCCACGCTACTCGGCCTCTTCCCCACCAAACGCGCTTGTCAACACTACGTCGACGCGTCTCTATTCCCACACAACGTCATCATGGTAAAGCGCGGACAAGTCCTCTGACGTGTTTACATGCTGACCCAGCATAGGCGCCTACGCGCTCTAGAAATAAGGAAGTCAAAAAGAAACGGAGGGGCAGACCACCAGGAAGTCGCAATTCCGCTGTCGGCTCGAAGCCAACGCCAAAGCCCGGTACAGCAAAGAAGAGGAAACCTTCAGCCAAACAGCAGCCACAAGAAGCCGAAGATGAGCTATCCCTAATCGAACCAGCTCCATCAAACCAACCAAAACCTCGCAAGCGCAAAGCTGACGACACTGCCGCTGCCGCCGCTGAGCCAGAAGCCCAGTCACGCAAGGAATATCTACGGCTCGAGGCAAAATCAAGGAGAATCACACGCGACCAAGTCGACAAATGGCCAGAAATATCACCTCAGGTCTTGGAGCAGATCCTTGCCGTGGTGCGCAATGCGAAGAAGGACACAGCTGAGACACAGCGGGACGAGCGGAAGGTCATGGCTGCATACAACACGCTCAACCCACTTGTACGAAGACTATCACGCCAACTCGCCGAGTCGCGGATCCCTCCTCAAGCCAAAGACATACACTTCAACATCGATAAGCTGACGGAGCGCAATGCCCAAGTATCGCGAGAGGTCACTACTGCGCGACACTCGAAGCAACTGCTCAGTGAGCAGATCAAGATCGCCGAGCACTTGCTTAGCAAGGACGAAGAATACCTGGAGTTGATGAAGAAGAACGCAAAGACGTGGAGGACTGAGTGGAAACACCAGCGGAAGCATGGACGCGTACGTGGCAATCTCCTGCTGTTTGGACGAAAAGATCGCTGACTTGCAGTAGCTCCACCCCTTGCTCCAACCCGGTGACGAGGTCACTACTGATGGCGACGGCCCTGAGGATATTGGTTTGAAACCACAAAGCACAGTAGATCTTTCGTCCCTCGACTCGCCCGACTCCGACCTCGGTCCGGTGCTTGAACAATTGAAGCGCAGCCTAAAGAACATGCAGAGCAATCATACCCAAGTAGAGGGCCTCGATACGGCAATAGGCAATGCACAAGCTGCGCTAGATGATGTCCTGTTTCGGCATGCCAATGCTGCACAGTATGCCAACTTGTGAAATATTGAGATGCGGATCCGGACAAGGGGTTTCTTTCCTTATCAAGGTAATGCAAACATACTAGGCGCATAAGACAGCCTTGGGGAAACAAGTGGCGTTTGTGGGGGTCGGCGTTTATCCAATACTTCAGGGCGGGTTTTACGATTGCTACCACTACTATATTTCGAGCACATGTAGTATACAAAGACGGCCCGTAAGAGGCCGTGGCAGGTTGGGCGTGGGGCTTAACGAAACTGCAAGACTTTCGGCATCCACCCCCATGTCCCCCAGTTTTGGAGCTGAGGGGGATCCGACAGAATGGTCATCGGAAAACGTGCATGGGGGGACTCTGGTAGCTTCAATACTTTCATGTAGTGTAGCAACAAAGTGCCAAAGGTGATTGGCTCCAGCTGGCTCTCATATCGCCGCAGAACCACACCTGCAGCTACCGTGCCTCGTGCCAAACTCGTGCAAAACCCAACAGATGAAGCGCTGTAGCGAGCAACGCGTGAACTGGATATTCTTCCTCTTGAGAAAAACAAGCCATGGGCGGGCCAAGTAGCTGCCAAACGGTCGGCTAACAGGGTGGGCGGCGCAGCTCCCCCGCCGGTTGCGTAGCAGTGGTGTTATTCCGGAATATTCCTTCGCTTCGGCAAAGCACGCGACCAGACATTCACTTGGCCCTCGTGTCTTTAAAACAATACACCTCCGCCACGCGTTTTCCGCCACGACAAACTCGTCCCTGCAACAAAGGTCGCGGCTTCTGGCGCTTGTCGACCTTCGCTGCTTCATGCGATGCTGCAGTGCGTGACGAGATCCCTGTAGTGACACCAATCAAGCCCGCGCATCTCCAAGAAAAGCATCCGGCTTCGACCCACCCACTTACCGCACTGGATGACGGAAGCTGCACGACGATCCAATGGATCTTCTCCAGTCGCCATGACGGAACACGGTGAGGCTGACAAGGCCAATGTTGCTTCCGAACAAAATGCGCCAAAGAGCGCCTCTCCTTCAAAGACCAAGGCCAATGCGACCGGCCCCGAGGCGCCTGCAAAGACCTCGAAAAAGCGAAGAAAGGTCAATCATGGTAGGCCTTGAATGCAGTGCATCTCCACCCGTCTCCACAGCCCTGCTGACTTTTGACGCTCCAATGTAGCATGCATCTACTGCAGACGTTCGGTAAGCCATAGCCAGTACACCAGCATTTGACACATGGCACTTTGATGCGTGTACGACAATTATTACTGCTTGCTGACCACATGCCAACCAGCACATGACCTGTGATCTCGTGAGTATACTCATCACCATCTTCTTCATGTTTTGTAGGCACGGTTGGACTTATGCGAGCATAGGAACGACCATGCACACGCTGTGTCAAGCGAAACATTGGCCATCTGTGTCGTGATGAGCCTCGAGAAGGTGTCAAGAAGGCCAAGTCCGAGCCAGACAATGGCGAAGGACAGAGCCAGCCTCCTCAGATCGAACCCGCCACGTCCGAAGCAGCACCAGCCGCCACTCTCCAGCAGCCCACTGCTCCAGATGCCGGACTCAACCTGGCACCGCATCAACTGCCCCCCAATGGAGATGCAAGCACGGCATCAGGTACTCAATCCGACCCCGTATCCGCGCCACAGCCGCCTGCTTTGACGGCTAGTAATCAGCCCTGTAAGTCACACTTCTTTCAGCCCCAAGCTCTCATCGTCACTGACAGCCTTAAAGTTGGGAACTATGATGGCTTGCTTTCATCGTCACAGAACAACTTTCAGGACATGCACTTTCATCCTTCATATATGTTCAATACCTCAGAAGTGAGCAATGAGTATAACCTGCTCAACGACTTTCTCAACAACAGCCTCATGGACGACGGTGCTTTCTACGGAGGCAATGACTTTCATTCTCTTTTTTCTGACGCTTCTCTTATGAATCCAATGGGCTCTCTAAACAGCAACTCTACCTTCAATCCCAATGGATCAAGGCAACAACAGCTGCTTCCACCACCTGCGCAGAATGCTGCTGCTAATACAGCACAACGGTCCGCAGGCGGGGTGCCTATTGACAAAGCAAGAGAGAGATACCTCATAACAGCCGCTGACCCGGCCGGATCGGATAGCCCGGAAGAGCGTATGAACAAACTACTCAAGGCAAAAGTAGATGCAGGACTATTGAAGCCCTTCAACTATGTTAAGGGTTACGCAAGACTCAACCAGTACATGGAGCAGAATCTGCAGCAAATATCCCGCGTCAGAGTATTACGCCAACTCGATCGCTTCCGTCCAAAGTTTCGAGAACGAATGCAGAGTCTGACCGATGTAGACCTGGTGCGTATCGAGATGTGGTTCGATAAGAGCTTGATGGAGTACGATCGTGTGTTTGCGAGCATGGCTATTCCAGCTTGTTGTTGGCGAAGAACAGGCGAGATTTACAGAGGCAACAAGGAAATGGCACGGCTCATTCACGTACCAATGTCAAAGCTACGAGACGTAGGTTTCTTATTTATCCCCACTGAGTCGATAGGTACTGACACATCAAGGGTAACATTGCTTTACATGAGATCATTGCTGAGCCATCCTTGGTATCATACTGGGAAAAGTTTGGTGCAATCGCATTCGATCACACTCAGAAAGCTATTCTGACGAGCTGCTCGCTGAAAAATCCTGATCCGAACTCCAAGGATCCCGAAATACGTTGCTGTTTCTCATTCACTGTCAAACGAGATGCGTGGAACATGTGAGTGTATGTACCCTTTCTACAATATTCTATACTGACAATCATTAGACCCGCGCTGATTGTCGGCAACTTTCTTCCTATAACCGAGGCTACCTCTGGCCCGTTACCTGCGTCATAGTACTTTGGTATGATTTCTGTATTCAAAACTGTACGATGGAGCTGCTGAGTTGTGGAGATTGCGCGCATATGATGTGACACATAACATACGTTTCATGGATTAATTGACTGGAGGGTTGCATGCATATGTGGTGGTGTGATTGCAGGTGCGAAAGATATCCATATCTGACTTTAGTGATGCGTTTGGGCTCCTTGTATTCTAGTTCTTTCTGTTTTTCAAAACAAAGCTTGTGCTGTGGACGTGAACCGTACCTTCCTCGTGATCGCACAGCTAGCTTCCAAGTGAGAGTCACATCCTGCCAACCTTACTACCTTACTACCTTCCCCATCATCCTCTTTCATCACACCGCATGTGCTATTGACCATGTGCAGTCATGCCGTCGTTCCAGTCTATAGCAAAAGCAGAGCGCGAAAATAAGCTCAAAGCAGTACTCGGTGAGTATAATGATCAGAGCTGATTGAATAGAGCACTCACCAGTGCATAGCTTTCGCCACAGCACTCATCCAGAGGGTCGAAGGCGGTGACGATACTACAATTGCAGATGATCTACAGTCTCATATTCGCACCCTGCCCCTCCAAGCCTCCTCTACAGTCCTCGCGAAGCAAGAGGAGCTTGACCGGCTTGGCACCGAGCTATGGAACCTGACAATAAGACTGCGACGCGACGAAACAGATGTGACTATTCGATCCAGTGATATTACTGCTAACCGAAAGCGTACTCTGTCTCTCCTGCGCGCCTTCTCGTTCTTGCTTCTCGACTCCGCCGGTGGTCACGATACAAAACACCGCCAGCGCAAGAACTGCATCCGTCTTATGAAGGTCGCGCTGAAAGCAGCTAGGGTGTGTATCCAAGGTGATGAGTTGACCACAGCGACTAAAGTGCTTGAACGTGCTGCGGACTATCAAGATGTCCTGAGTCAAGAAGGCGAAGATAAGCGTAGAGAGGAGAAGGAGCTTGCAGATGACTTAAGAGCTCAGTACTTTGCAGTTCGAACGACCTTGGTGAGTAATCTCAGCTGTGTTCAAAGTGAACTCCTTTGCAGTTGCTAGGTATAGCTCACTATGTTACAGGCATGGCGTCAAGATCGCATGGATACCGCAGAGCACTTGTTCATCAAATGCAAGCAGCTCATAACAACACTCGCACCCACAACAGCCGAAATCCTCGCAGACCTACTTTATGAAATCGGAAAAGGTGCTTTAACGAAGCGCGATTACAATTTGGCGTCTCGGTGGCTGGAACGAGCACACGACATCTTTGACGGACAAGACCTGGAGATGCTCAGTCCGGAAGTAGGAGAGCTGAGACTTAGCATCATGCAAGCCACTGGTACAATCTAGAACAGCTCTTGTGAAACTCCAGCTGATATATGCGCTAGTCCAGGCATACATGAAAATAGAGACACCCGAGAAGCAAGACAAGGCATGGCAGATGGTGAAGCTAATGGAGACTGTAAGATCTATCTATCGCCTGTTCTGATATGGCCCTAAGAAGGTTCTAGGACTTCGGAGATAAGATGGGAGTCTTGCTGCTAAAACTTGAGTTACTTTCCGAAACTGAAAAGATTGATACTACCGAGTTCTACAATGGTAAGGCCCCGGAATTTTCCAAAATCGAATTGCTAAAAATGACAGTTCTTCTACGTATGATTCGTACCATCGTTCTTAGTGAAACAAATTTCAAGGCGTATGTGACCCGAACGATGCCTAGTTAATTTGCATACCCATGGATCTAGCTAATTCCTAGTAGACTCATGCATCACATACAAAAACTAAATGAACACGAGTGCGCACTCGATCTGACATGTGTATTCAATCACTGACTTCATGAAGCAATGCTACAGCCATCAAGGCACTCGATGACTTGATAGATATACGCCTCTTCCGAGAAGAAAATCAACAATGGATTGAGAAAGCTATCATCACACGGATCTGGATTGGTACCACTAGAAACTTCTCTGAGAACGTACTTGAGAAACTGCAGGATCGCTTCGACGTCGTCTCACAAAATTTGCCAACTCCAATCTCTGCGCCTGCTACACATGCCGCGCAAACGGTAGGCTCTACATGTCTCCACTACTGAACCTATCATTGATCTGAACATGCAGTTACTATGGAAGTGTGTGGAATTAGCAGCAGGTCAAGAGAAACACAAAATGGCCGAAGCATGGTGCCACGTGTGCCTTCATCCTATATTCGAGAAGGCCGGGGTACAGAATCAAGCCAAAGTGTCAAGGTACTACAGATCGTTTTTGTTACTTATTAAGATATTCACAAAGTGTAGGAAGATCATCCAGTGCGCTCTCACTCGCCGAGACTACGAGGCGGCTAGGAGTGCATACGCTCGGATGACTGAAACTGGTAGAGATGAACCAGTGACACGGTATCTGATGTACAAGGTAGCATTACAAAGCGGAGATGCAGATTTTGGTAAGTGATTTATTAGCGGTGATTACTTCCTTTACTGATTATGCAGCTGCTGAATGCTTGAATAATATCTGTCGAAGTTCTGCTAAGGACGCGACACTTCTTTATGCTTGTGTGATGGAAGCCCAGAGAGCAGGAAATAAGAGACAAGCGATCAATGCCCTACGAAACGTTCTCGACAAATACCAGAATGGTGCTACAACAGGTATACATTTACCTGCACTTCTGCGGTCAGTCTTCTACTCCGAAAAGGCTTGCAGCTTCTTACATTAGCAGATCAACTACGCGTATGCTGCAATCTGAACTCATCAACGATGGTAAAATCGATACGGCAATTCTGGACCAGCTTTGTGAGTCATTCGAAGCAGGTATGTGAGAACAATTGATGTAAAGACTCTCATTTAACACTAGCAAGCCTGTGATCAAGCCAAGGCATCTCGAACTAGGCCAAGCACTCCTGCCAAAGAGCTGTTCACGGATGTAGAGTTCCAATGGTTCTCTAAGAACTCTTATAATCTATCACTAAAATATTGTGCTGAAATGCCCCCAGCACACCTCATCAGGCTCCTTGATTGCTGTGTAGAGGTCAGTACAGTCCGTCATCATGTGAAAAGAAGATATTGACGACCCTTAGTTCATCAAACTACTCAAAGAAAAAGGCAGCTCAAACACGAGTAGCGATCTAAGTCTTCGGTTGCTCTTCTGTGAGTTTCTCGCTGCTTGTACTTGGATTACTTTGGCGCGTGCGGAGGATAATGTTGAGCAAAATGTAAGTTTTACTCAGTGTACGTCTGAAGATTAGATCGACAATGACGACGTGCATAGGCCCAACAGTACTTGGAGGTTCGCAAACATAGTCAGAACTTCCGACGCGCCGTATCAGAAACCATGAATGGGCTCGGTCAGTCTGCTAAAGCCGACATAATCTCGAAACACTTCCAGGTTGTCAAGTTGGAACTTGAAGCTGCACTAAAACTTCGGAAATGGGATGAGCTTGACGAGCTCTTTGATCAATGCTGGGTATATAAGAACCCAGATCATTACGAAACATTGGCCGACCTTACTTTGGTCATCCATCAGTGCATTGTACAGGCAGAACTAGACGTCAAGTACCAGAAAAGTGAGCCGACTATAAAGAAACATTGTCAGAGCTAGGCTAATGAACCCTACAGAAGTACTATCTGTTCTCCAGAAGATCGTCAATCTGGTTAGCCGACAACCAGGTAGCGATATGCCAAGATTATCTCGATGGCTCCGATGCCTTTTCAGCCTCTCACTTCCGTTTGATGATGAATCTAGTCTCAGATGCATTGACCAAGTTACACATATCGCGGCGACAAAGCAGAGCGTGAGTCTCCAGTTTCCTAGTACTGTCACTATACTCTTCTGCACCCGTTGCGATAATAGCCTATCACTACCACCCTAATGTTAGGCATGCCACCAGTACTTTGAGATCATGCAGAGATGAAGATACTGCAGACTTGGCTAACAAGATGACCAAGGAAACCGAGCGCTATCCCAAGACGGAGTTGGAGTGGCTAGCGACCACCGCATTCAATCGCGCAATCGACTACTATGTGCAGGAGGACGATGAAAAGGCCAAGAGGTGGGCGGAAAAGGCATTTGTGGTTGCACAATGGATTGGTGATGCGGGAGCAACGCGAGATTTCCTTATGAAAAGGTTTTCGATTCTGAAGTTCAGTGAAGAGCGAACGGTACAAGCGGGGTGATGGCTGGCGTTATGGCTAACCGGGTCTTGCACAGCAGACAGGATGGCGCATTGAGTTTTAGCAGCGTAGCGTGCCTGGCATAAGTGGCTTCGCATGGTGTTTCCTCCACTCATCTCTGCCCGTTATGGATATATACGTAAGGATTCAAGGCGTACGCCCCACAGATTACGCCACAAAGTGGGCCTTGATGCCGAGTAACCCGCACCAACCACGCGTGCAAGCTACCGATGTCCTATTGATTGTGGCCTGAAGCGCACAACGTCTATACATGGTATTGGAGCATTAGCAATGGCTCAGGAGTCTGATCTGAGAACAGGGGTGGGTGGCGAATCGCCCAGGCTGTGAGCATGTTCATTGACTGACAGCAAGCATGCCTTGGTAGCGCTGAGACTGTTGCTACACACGCGACACATGCCCACTTTTGGTTGTAGGATCGTGCTTGTGACCCCTGTTCGTCCGGGGTCGATATCCACAGCAAGACTCGTTCTGCACCGACGCGTCATGCTGCTTGCTCGCTGGCTGCAATGGCGTTGCTTATTGCCGCGTACAGCAGCCTATCTCTCGACAAAACATTGTCTTCGACCTGGATCTCCTTAGACACCTCGCATCGTCAATACCCTACTGCCTCGGTCTCTCATCTACTTCCAGGGGTTGATCGGCGACACAATGCGGTTCGTGTCAAGGCTGCACGTATGTGCTGCCCTTGTTATTTTCACGATTTTGTACATCACTTGGATGAACTCAGCCGGCTTTGAGGAAACTGTACATACCGTATGGCGTGGAAGTGCGCATCGCATCGTGGTGTTTGGCAATGATTGGTCCGACACTGGCAGTTACCGTGTCTCGTCGCCAGCGTTATCTGCTATCGTTGCTCGCGACGCGGATCGAGGCGATTTGTGGGTAGAGACATTATGCAAAGAGGTAAGTGCCACATGTTCTGAAGAAGTCGTGGCCTGACACAAACTATAGCTCGAATGTGACACTGTTGACAACTTCGCACATTCAGTGCCAACGGCGGCTGATGGGGCACAGACTGGTGCTTTGGTTGACGCTGCAGTCTATGTGGAAGCCATGGGCTCAGAAAGCAACAGTAGCGCTGTCATGTCGTTTGACTTCAAGGCACAAGTGGAGCAGTTTGTCGCATATAACAAAGGAAGACAGCTCATCCCGCAACGCCTACGTAAAGAGGATGAGTGGACATTCTTCGCAGTCTACTTTGGCCTCTGGGACCTTCTGGAGTACTCGACACTGGAGAAGAGTATTGCAATGTACGCAATTGATAAGAGCATCACATCATTATTTCACCAACTTGATGTGTTGGCTGCAGACGCCCCTTTCCCACCCAAGGTCGTCATCCCGAAGATGATTGACGTTAGTTTCCTACCTCGGTTCCAGATGAAGAAGAAAGCTATGCGCGAGGCCCAATTCGCGGAGAATCAGCACCGACTCATCTTCTTGTGGTCTTATTGGAATCTGGTTTTGCATCGGACTGCGAAGAATTGGAAGAACGGTATAGTGTACATGCCAGAGGCGAACGAGGCGATCATGCAAGAGGTCCGGGCCAAGCAACTTCACTCGAAACAACTCTCGGATGCGTTTGGTGTTGGCAAACAAACGCCTCTTTTTGAACACATTGAGCAACCATGTCTAGCTTCGCAGCGGGGAAGTGCGGGCAGTCTGCAAGCATCCGACGTTCAAAAATGCTCCACGCCAGCTGAGCACCTATTTTGGTGGGTCACTCACAACACAAACGCACTGTCTCAAGCTGACCAAATAAAAGGGATGACGTTCAACTCAGCGGTCCGGCCCACGCACTAATAGGGAATCAAGCCGTCAGCCTCATCCGCGGAAACCAATCTGTGGACCGGGAGCAACAGACGCAGGGCTCCGACGACAAGGAGAAACCTGAGAAACAAGAGGCTGAACACTTCACACTCAAATTTCCTCCCGGATACTAGCAAGCTGTATCAACGTTCATTCCTAAGACACAAGATGCACCCCGTTTCGAGACAGACGGGAGATACTTTGAGATCAAGCGATCGTAGTCTTCCGAGCGCAACGCGACCTTGGCTGCCAGCGCTGTTTGCGCTACATGAAGACGCCGATGCCGTCGCTATACTAAGAAATAATACAGCGGCATTGTACCTGTATCGGCCCTCCCCTGGTCTACAATTAATTAGAGTTTTCTTTCTAGTCAGTGTTACACCGCCGTTGATGTTTACCTCTCTGTAACGGGTATTAGATGAGTCAACTTTGAACATAACTGGACATTTTTCTCGTATTTAGAACCTTGAAGAAAATGAATAACCTTTGATTACCCGATTATAGACCATAGCGTATATGTAGTATGTTCCAGTTAATAGGGGCTTCGAAAAAAAGACAGATATAAAGTGTCCCCAAGACTTATATCTACAAAGTCATTTAGTAATCCAAGTTTGTATCTCTAACGACCTTATTAAATATTGTTGACCTAAAATCTCTTTAACTATGATTGAAGATACATTATAAGATCAGAATATTGGCTGCTCTAGCTCTTTTTACAGGAGTGGATTGTTTCTACATAAGTAAAGTTATCTAATTAATTCATTTTAGTAGAAAATACTTCTTTTAATAGAATTATATAAATTAACCATTTATTCACTTTAGAACTGCGTCCTACCCGGAGAAGTAATGTATCCCGGCCTAATAGTTCGCTATGCACAGAATCCACCAGAAATATATCCCCCTAATCTTAACTGAAGCGAATGTTTCATATCCAGATCTTAATAAAAAGAACAGCCTTCGCTAATAATTCTAAAGGCTAGTTGGTGTTGCTTAATATTTGCACTATGTTGATTTACTAATATAGTAGTTGGGCACCAAATGGGTCAAATCTGAACCCAGCAATGATATTCCACATTGTTTTCTTAAAAAGAGTATCCTAATGTTTCCTTCATGAAATAGCTAAACTTTGGAAGAGGAACATTATCTAATCAAATGAACTCATACCAAATACTCCAACATTCTGTAAATAACGCCCGTCCCTTACGTGCCGGGAACGCACGTTAAACTACCTGTAGAAGGTTTCAGCATACCTGTCAGGCCTCTGTGGAGCAGCTGGCCCAGACACTGAACTAGGGTTAAGCGTAGTGAATGCGATAGCGAGGAATAGCTAGAGAGAGAGCTGCCATGCGTTTGAAGTACCTTGCGTCTATAGTGAACTGCTTGTTGTGATTCTTTTACGTTTGCGCTGCTTTTGTAGATATCTAGATATATGATAAAAATATAAAATTACCTTTAGGTAGAGGTTTAATCGTAAAGAGGAAACAAATTCCCTTAAGGAAAAGAATTAGCGATATATTTAAGTTCGAAGAAAGCTTAATTAGAGGTTGCTCTGCTAAATTAGTAGTAGTACAGACTTATGTATATTAAATACGGTTTTATTGTTTGGCGTTTGCTTTTCCGAGGGTCCGAAGTGCAAAACCGTCTTATCTCGGGGTGCGTCCCGGGTCCCAGGGATTGACATTAAAGACACTTTTTTAAAACTTGACCAAGCCCCTACAACGGTGCTTGATACTCAGCGACACTGCACATATTGCACTCCGCTTGTAGCATAGTGTGTTGGCTCGATATGCAGTATCTCTGTGCATCTCCCGAGACCGCGTCACTTGGTAATTACCGACAAAGAGCGTGTTACATTGTTATCATCCCTTGCATGGCGGCTGCAGGCGTGCCGCGATGTCTCGCGAATTGGTGGACAGGGCCTTTGCCGCTTTTGGACATTGGAGAACAAAGAAACTCCCAACAGAGGTCAACTACATTTGACTGGAACAATCATCTTACTGAATCGGAACGGCTACGCGTCCGCATGTCGCATAGTGCATTTAAAGAAACCTGGAATATTGCGTAGTCGATCCAATTCGTTGCCTCCGTACTCATTGAGAAGCGGGACAATGAATCGTGGCTTTCCTTGAGGAGGCTCATTAGCGTAGCTATCTTGTTGTTAATACCCAAAAAATGTTAGCAAGTCTAGTGCTGCCACCGATTGTTCGGACTTCACCTCCTCCGTCTTCACTTCCACTCTCCGCCGCGACTTTCTTCAACATTCCAAGGCGCTACGTCAAATCCACAATGCAAACGGAACATATTTGTCCACAGTCCCCTATAGATGCCGCGAAGCCCCCACAGAGTTTGCGCAAGAGTAATCGGATCCAAGAGACACGCTCCAATTCAATACCTAATCTTACCACCGAGCGCAACTACGAGGACGATCCATCACCGACTGGCACATCGTCTCCTCGGTCTACAAGGAAAAGGCATGCTTGCCTTGTGGAAGCATCTGAGAGCGAGGAATCTGGCAGTCCGACAGATGAGAAGCCACCTCCGAGTGCCACATCAACAACTGCTGGGTCTCCGGACTTCGTAGGCCACGTCTGTCTCTGTCAGCCAGAACCAAAGATACCCCGGCCCAGGAATGGTGGGTTTTAGATGTCTCTTTGTCTCGCAGCGGTCTATCTTCCAACTATATCGTCATAATCCGGAGTCCGAGTCAGAACAAAGAATACTGCTTTGTTTGTAGAAGATGCTTGCGCAGTCTGCTGACCACCCTTTACAGCATTTATCCTCTATCGGCAGCACCACCAGCAGGCTATCATTTCACGCAACCCTGGTCTCAACAACCCTGACATTTCCAAGATCATTGGTGAACAGTGGAAGACTGAACCTGAAGAGCGCAAGAAGATCTGGCAAGACCTCGCACAGGTTAGTATTGCAACTTTTTCTTGTTACAGATCTTCATGTTGATGCTGTTTAGGAGGAGAAAGCTAGGCACCAGGAACAGTATCCTGATTACCGATATCAGCCGCGTCGAATAGGCAAATCCGGTCCATCGCCTCTGAATCCTTTTGGCCAGCATACCACTGTTGACAAATATCGTTGTCAACGGTGTGGCGGTCGCAGTATCAAGACGCCTACTAGTCCATGTCTTGACCCTTCTGGTATCCCTATGTTGCCCCCTCCTAATATCACTGAAGGCATCACACCAACAACTCGCTACCTACCAGTGATCAGCAACCTTAGCATGGAGTCACCTGTTCACCCACGGGGTCACGGTCCTCCGAATCTCAACCACCTCAAATTGAGAGTCACTTCGGGGATACGCGACGACTCAGCAGCCCCGAGCCCTTCTACACCGAACAAGAAACGAAGGTTTGAATATGGACACCCACACCCTGCCCTCGGCCTCAGAGCAGATGGGCCCTACTTTCCCTCGACACAGTATGCCAGGCGCGAATCTTTACCTCCCATTCAGATACGGTATTCGCCCCCGAACAGCGCGACCATGCCGCCTCCCCGCACACCTCGTGATGGAAGGCTCTCGATAGTGGAGGTGGGACCGTCGTCTCACAGCTCCAGCCCTAAAAGCGTAGAAGAAGTTCTTAGTGCCTACGCGTACGGAAACAAGATCAAGCTTCTTGGCCGCATAACCCCTCCGTACAAGGAGCTCAGGGAGGGAATGCCATCTGGTAAAGAAGGCCGTGGCGCCATTATCGCTATCGAAGGTGACGATCTGGCTGCGGTCAAGGAGCTTTCAGAATGGCTCAACGAGCACCTTGCCAAACAAGGCGAGTTCAAGCCCCAAATCAACGAGCCACCAAGAGTTCCTGGCAACGATGGCAAGGATGTTACTTTCGACGATTATCTCGACTTGATCAAGGAGTGGCATGGCAAGAGCAAAGAGATGATTGAGTATATCACCACTACTTCTTCCGCCGCTTCCCCTTGTCAAGATATCATGTCGGACAAAGATGCTTCTACCAACACCACCACCTCGCGCAAAGACTCCGCAATGCTATGCGACTCACCCGCTGCGACCCTAAAGCCCGTCATCATCCTACCTACCTTCCAACTCCATGCATCTGTCGCATACGCGTCCCGCATCCCCATTCAAGACGCGTATAGCGCAATGGATCATTGGCAGTGGATGGCTACGCTCTGGCGGGGAACCGTGGGCCCGGATCTCACCCTGTATGTCAAGAGCTACGATGCCAAGGAGGGTCAGATCGGGCAAAAGCCTGAAATGGACGATCCTAGCAGGTGCTACACTGTGTTCAAGGAGAAGGAAGGGAAGTTTACCGAGCCCGATTTGAGGAGGGTTGGGTTTGAGGTTGGGGAGTGCATCAAGGCTATCAGGTAAAGATTGCTTGCTTGGACCTACGTATACTACGTACGGACAACGATTTCATTTGTAGAAGATAAGGTTTGGTGAGGCACGATGGATGTTTTTTTTCTTTTCTTTCTATCCCTCTTCTATTCTTTGTTACAGTGCTTCTCTGGTTTTGAAGAGATCATTGGTTGCAAGCCCCCCTGTCAGGGTTGTGACGCATTTGTGACGGGGCCTAAATTGGGGCTGCGCACAAGGTGTTTAACCCATTCATGGTACATAGCTTGGCACGCGATTCGGGGTGTTTTGGCGGTCTTACTACTATGCCTATTCTTTTAATAATACTCCGGAATTTCTACAGTCATGGTATATACTATATATATGACGGGTTTCCGTCGCACGCTTTGTTCATTACTATTTCCAAACCTCTCGTACCTCTGCCTGTCATAGCAGTTGCATACTATGCCATATTAATACAACTCGTCGCATAGCTAAAACTCAGTTCACGTGCTTTTGCTTACTACAAATAGCAATCAGCAGACAAAAGAACATGGAGATCTGGGGAATGCCGTGGCTGGCGGACTAAGGCTCCCGCCGGCATGCATATGACGCGAGTCCTCGGACAAACTGTTGCCAAAGCCGAGAACATGTCATAGCGCAGCTTTCACATGGCACGCACGCATCCACAACAGCTTGTCACATGCCGAACCCTCACCCAACCACAGAGCCTCATGCAGCAAATGCGCCGCGCTTGTCGACGGCCTTGACGCCTATTCAGAAACATGGATGACCAAGGGCTGAAAGCATGCCCGTCTTTGTCCCATCTCTCCTTCGTCCCCGATCTCAACTAGTTGTAGTTACAATCCCTTCCCTCCCCATCTTTTATTACCCCAGGTTGTGCTGCCCGCAACATACCCCGGATTCCCACATTTCTGGCATTCACACATGCTCACGCAAGACTTGGCCGCTGCAACAACAACCGTGGAGACCCGACTCTGACGCCTTTCATGACGCTGAACGAGGCAAGCTCTTTGTTTGACAGGTTCAGAATAAGAATATCCGAGTGCGCTTTGTAAAAGGGAAGCGCCGTGCGAGCGAGAGTGAACGAGCTTGCGCCATGATAGATCATGTACTCGGGCGGCCGTCAGTGCAATTTCGAAAGATCCAAGTGCTAGCAGTAGTATCTTTCTGGTCCTTTTATCTCTACAGGTAAAGCACTCACGTGGTTTTACAAACAACACATGCTTACAATCCTCCCTTTCCAGAGGCGACCGCCATGGCCCCCCAATTGTCCGCCGTATTTCCGCCCTTCTCTCCAGGAAGCTGACTGTGTGGCAATCGGTCCTCGTAACGCTCCTCTACCTCTACGTCGCTCGCAACTTTGGCAAGCTCGTCGGCCTCGAGTGCCCCGAGCCACTCGCAAGTCTCTACTCGCGCTCCTACTTCCGCGCAACATGGGTTACAACGGCGCTGGATGCAGGCTTCTGGTCCGCCATGCGTATCAAGCGAAAAGGCCTGAGGGACTTCCTGTCGATTGTGTTTAGCATATACTATATGATATGCGCGGAGCAGGCCGACGAGAAGGTGAGAAAGATTAGGGCTACTCTCACCGTCGATCACCTCCGTGTCGCGTGGAACAAAGGAACGACGCCGTATCTTGGCGCCTTGACCAGCTTGATGCGCCCGAGGTTGATGGTTTACCCGCCGCGCAAAATCAGGATACCACGACCAAGGGCAAGCTCGTACAAAGAGCCTGTGACTGCGTGGTTGTATTTCAACGGCCCACGAAGCGCGCTCAAGAAGCACGATAAGATTGTGCTGGATATACCTGGTGGGGGCTTCGTTGCTATGGATCCAAGGAACCACGATGATAAGCTCATGGGATGGGCTGGTAAGACCGGTCTGCCCGTGCTAAGTCTGGACTACAAAAAGGCACCTGAACATCCGTATCCATATGCGCTTAATGAGTGCTATGATGTCTATCATATGATCATGGCTTCGAGGGGGACATGTATGGGACTATCGGGAGAAGTCGAACCCAAAGTTGTCGTTTGTGGTGATTCGGCAGGCGGTAACTTGGCTGTGGGTATGGTGCTCATGGTCCTACAAAGTGGATCGACGGAAACGCGAAGATGGCAGGGCGAGCGCGCTCTACCACCCCCTGTTGGCGTAGTGCTGGTCTATCCGGCGCTGGACATGAACATCGGAAACTGGATGTCTGACGAGCAGATGGCCCTTATCCGCGACCGAAGGGTAAGGAAGACAAATCGGCCCATTCTTCGACATAAGAGTGACGACTACCGACACCTTGCGCCAAACACTCCTTATGGGTCTGATACGGACAGCGATGATGATACCAAGAAACCAAGCATAACCAATGGTGCAAATGCAACTTCCACCCGCACCCTCAAATCTGCCCAGACGATGATCAGGCTTTCTGCTGCCCATACTGGCATAGACAGCCACTCCCTTCCTCGTATCGATACGAGCAATACCGCCGCTAATGGTAACACTGCCGCCGGTCAGGTAACATCAGCAAGCACCAACAGTATGCCACCTACGCCATTAGCGACTCAGCCACCTACCCCAGGTGCACCGCAACCAGCACCTCCTACAACCACCATTAAAACCCGTCTCGCAACATCGAGTATGATTTCATACTTCAACGACCGCATTCTGACACCGGAAATGATGCGTGCCATGATCATCCTGTACATAGGCCCACATCACCGTCCAGACTTTAGCACCGACTTTCTTCTTTCACCGTTGCTTGCACCAGAGTCTCTCCTAGCAAAATTCCCCAAGTGCTGGATGTTGACCGGTGAGCGCGACCCACTTGTCGACGACACAGTCATCTTTGCCGGACGTCTACGACAGGCCAAGCGCGCCGAATGGGTGGCAGCAAAAGACCTCGGTCTCGACTGGGCTCGTGGCGAGTTCGACGAAGAGAACTGGGTGAATGTCGATCTCATCCCGGGCATCAGCCACGGCTTCTTGCAATTCGTAGGCGTATTCCCTGAGGGCTGGAAGTACATCCATCGCTGCGGCAAATGGATTACTGAGGCTTTTGACGCAGATGCCGAAAAGGGTGAGCTGGAAACGCCCATGTACACGCCGCTTGCTTCAGTCAGACGGCCAGGCGAGAGAGGAGGCGATTATTTCGGTACTGTGGGGCTGGCGGATGCGATTGATGGGCTTACATCGCCACAACGGGGGCGACACCATCGTCGGACGGGGACTGCGAGCTCGATTGATGAGGATAGGCCGCTGGAAATGACGGTGCTGAACAAGGGAAAGAGAAGTCCGCAGAATAACCAGTCTGCAAAGGAACGAGATTTGAATGTAAGGGGTAGGGGCAGAGTAAGGAAGAGTGAGCGTGGTAGAAGAAAGAGTCTAGTCAGCTTGGCTTCAGAGGATGATTTGCTGGGGAGAAGAATGAAGGGCCTAACGGGGGGTTTGGGTGGTGATGGCGTTGTTTGAGGATGAGAAGACCTGAGATGACTATGGTTGTGTTTGTTGGGTATTTAGCGTGCATGAATGTATAGCGACTTTTGATGAATGAAATAGATAGTCTGCTGATGCAATATTGCGTGCCTTGTCGGCGATGTTGTCGGTGTATGTGATGGCGGGGTTTACGGTGGTAGCTTGACCCTGTGAATGTAAAGTACGCATCTCTTTATTGTTCCGTCTGGGGACCTTCCAAATGGGATTTGTGAATACATTGATTCACTGCGTGGTACTTTGAACAAAGGAAATGAATGTACTCTGTTCATCGTCAACAGCACTATCGTCTCTTGTAACCATTCGTACAAGCCCTCTGGTCTAGGTGTAAAGTTTTGTTTAGAAGCAAGGTGGCCCACCTCACTTAAGCCCAAGAAATGATAGTGGGGGTTATTTGTCCTTTTTTTTTCGCTCGCGTCCAATGAAGTCATTGCAGAAGTAACTAATATCGTTATGATTCTCTCGCTCAATATCTGAGTCATGGACCGATGTTAGTGAGTACCACTTCATGGTGGAGCTGCACATAGTAACGGAAGGAATAGGAAACTAGTAGATCGGACATGTGTGAGCGGTATTTCTTGACTCGTGAAGACGATTCGTGCAGTTAGTAGGTGTGTGTTTGAATGGGAACCAAATCCCAGTTCCGAGGTTTTGGCGCTGTGATCTTTGTGCTTGTTCGTAGCTCGTGTGTTGGTGCACCTTGGACTTCGACGATAGTGGGGCGTGGCCCCATGTCGAGGTCTGTACAACTCATGTTGATGGGTGGTGGAGCTGTAGAAATTGACTCGTAACGGTGCTCATCCTGCCGCCGATGACCACTGTCTCACCTTGATCTTCACAGAATGTCGGATGCTATACGTTCGTTTCTCCATACTCCATGGCCGGTTCTACCCGAGGTGGTCCCAACACATGGCTCTGGTGCCCCTGGGGTTTCTGGAGAGTGGGCCTAGCGGCACTGTTGCAAGGCCTCCAGGCTGGGGGAGGCGAGGCTGGAGCGGAACATGTCGGACGGTGTACTGGAGCTAGGTACACTCCCTTCCCCCGTTCTCTACGGCTGCGTCCATAAACGGTATGGGCGCCGAAACCCCGGTGGTAAACCAGGAAGAGAGCCTCACTGACCAGGGTTTCCTCCGCCCTCCGATTCCGATGGTGATACGTGCGTCAAACTGGGTTGCTACTTTTTGGCAATTCGCACCGCTTGTTGACGCATCCAATGGCGTAACGACGTCATGGCTTTGACGCTTTGACTGAAGTAAAGCCGGTCGAGGCTCCGGCAGTTGAACGGTGTTGAGAACTGGTTGCAAAGGCTAGTTGTCCGCCACTCCCGCATGTTACCCGATGCTTATCTTTACCTACTGTATGTCCAGCTTTGCGGGGTTTTGCTTGCACGAGCTCAGGAATCTCCAACAAAACTCCACGGGGAATGACGTTCGAGACGAGGGGACACGCACACCCTGCCTCTTGTGCAATCGGTGGATATCTCGGGCGAAAACTTTGTTGGATCGCAGAGCCTCATGTGGGGCGCTAGAAGCTTCTTTGCAGCCAAGCTCCACCAAGACGTCGGACCGATGCTTGTCTATCAACGCCCATCTCTACTACTACTGGACGACGATTGGCAAACCTGCAACAACCGGCTTTAGACTCGCGCTTACTGTTTTGGCAGGGGGCCCGGTATCGCTATGCGCGCAAGCCAGAAAATTTGCTGTCTCTGTGCCATGGAGACTCCACATTACGTCACTCCAGCCGTATGAGGAGGACCATGGGGACTTCTCCATGGGCACCGATCTTCTCCACTGGGGTTTATAAAGGGAGGAGATATGCACTGGATGGTGCCTTTTTTTTGTGTGCGAGAGATTACTCGTGATCCTGCTGCCTCTCTTCTCCCCTCTTTTGAACGCCCTCTCCTTCGCTGATCACTGCCCATCATGGATGAGAAGGACACAAAGATGGCCGATGTTGGCAACAAGTCGGCAGACCCACAGTTCCAAACTGAAAAGAACGACAACATTCAAGTTGCTCCTGCACCCGATTACTCTGCACCAAAGGCCCGGACAGAGCAGCTTGAAGATGCACGAGGATGGGAATCCGAGAATTTAATCCAGGATCTTTCAAAGCAACTTGAGCAGGCCAATTACAAGAAGGGTTTTTTCGACCTCGAATTCAAGAACCCCAAGCACTTCACATGGATGCTTATTGTTTTTGCGTCCATGGGTGGTCTGCTCTCTGGTCTCGATCAGTCGCTTATTTCTGGTGCCAATTTGACGCTTCCCCATGACTTGGGTCTTACGGATCAACAAAATTCGCTGGTCAACTCTGGCATGCCTCTAGGTGGTACGTTTTCAAAAACAAATTCTATTGTCGAAACTCGTACTAAACTCATCTAGCTGTCGCTGGTGCTTTGCTCATCTCGCCATGCAATGAATACTTTGGTCGCCGCTGGGCCATCATCATCTCCTGCATTCTCTACACCATTGGCGGCGCTCTCGAAGCTGGAGCCATGAACTACGGAATGATTGTTGCCGCCCGTGTCATCCTCGGAGCTGGTGTCGGTCTCGAAGGAGGTACCGTCCCTGTCTATGTCGCCGAAACCGTCGAGAGCAGAATGCGTGGTAACATTGTCTCGCTGTATCAATTCAATATCGCGCTAGGAGAAGTTCTTGGCTATGCCGTCGCTGCCATGTTCATCAAAGTTCCAGGAAACTGGCGCTATATTCTCGGTTCCTCGCTCGTTTTCTCCACCATCATGGGCATTGGTATTCTCTTCATGCCGGAAAGCCCCCGGTACCTGATGCACAAGAAGAAGCCTCTTGAGTCCTTCAAGGTGTGGAAGCGTATCCGCGGAATTGCTACACATGAGGCACGTGAAGAATTCTTCGTTATGAAAGTCAGCACCGAGATGGAGGAGGCTGAGGTGGTCGCTCAACGCACCAACCGTTTCCCATGGATGGACTTTTTTACCAAAGCACGACCACGACGCGCCATTATTTACGCAAACATAATGGTGTTTTTGGGTCAGTTTACGGGTGTCAATGCAATTTTGTACTACCTCGGAGTTTTGATGTCGCAAATGGGCTTTAATACCTACGATTCCACGTACGTTTCGCTTGTTGGTGGAGGTTCGCTTTTGCTCGGCACAATCCCCGCTATATTCCTCATGGAAACCTGTGGACGTCGTTTCTGGGCTATTTCTATGCTGCCTGGCTTCCTCGTTGGTCTCGTCCTGGTCGGTGTCTCCTACCAGATCACTGATCTCAGCGGCAAACTCGCTATCTACTTTACCGGTCTGGTCCTGTACATGTTGTTCTTCGGTTCCTACGCCGCACTCACTTGGGTCGTTCCATCTGAGGTCTACCCTACATACCTCCGGTCCTACGGAATGACTACCTCGACTGCATGGCTGTTCCTCTCCTCCTTCATCATCACCTACAACTTCACTGGCATGCAAGAAGCCTTTACCAAGACAGGTCTTACAATTGGATTCTTTGGTGGCATCGCCGTTGTCGGATGGTTCTACCAGATCTTCTTTATGCCTGAGACGAAGGATCTCACTCTTGAGGAAATCGATCAACTATTCCAGAAGCCAACCCGACAACTTGTCAAGGAGAATATGAAGAGTTCTTGGGAAGTTACGAAGGATCTGTGCCATTTCAGATTCAAGAAGGTGTTTATTGATAACAACCGCAGGCGTGGTCGTGAAGAGTAAGGGATGACATGCGTAGATTCGCGGTGGCCATCCAGCACGGTTCATGCAGGGGCTACTCAGCCCTCATTGATGAGTACACGGAGTTGAGAAGAAGCATATGAATATGCCGAACTCGGAAATGACGATGACGCTAGATAGATTTCGTTGTAATTGTTCAATACCCCGGATAGATTTTCTTCAATCCAATATATCATTTTAGCAGTTGCTATCAAACTTACATTTTGAAATACGTCCTTTATGTCTCTTAGTACCAGTCTGCAAACTAGATAACTACACCTAATCAAGGTATGCATGCTACCGTTTTAGTAGATTACCAGACCCCCGGTTTATTACCAGAAGCCCACAACCTCCACAGATTCTCCACACTACCAAATAAGATCCATACAATCCCCACAAAAAGGAATGTAACTAAATTTATATGCGTTTCCCGGCTCAGCACCATACATCACCCTCAAACAGGGGATAACGAAATCAAGCAAGCCGATAAACCCACATTACTCACCTTGTTTCTAATCCACACAGCACAGCAGCCCCGCAAATGAATCCGCAGCTTAAAGAGAGAAGAAGAAAAACACGGTGTTTTCAAACCAAGTCAATTCAAGACAAAATGTAAGACAGTCCAAGCGGGCGTACCTGGTGTGAGACCCCCTCCCCTAAATCAGACAATGTCTCAACAACACCAATGTCTCTCTCTGTCTCTGGGTGGGCTTGAAAAAGCGAGCCAGCATGTTTGCCATGTATCTTTGCCACCTTCTTCTCCTTTCTTCTCTCCCTCCCTAATCCTCCCCCCCAAAAAAAAAACATCCCTCAATTTCTTAAGACGAAAGTCGAATTGCAAAGCGAAACAAAAAAGAGTCGACAGCAAACATCCAATACCTTCCTCAACGGGATTCATCGACAAAACCTTGGATGATGACGCTCACCGTGTTCCCCCTCGACGGCGGTTCCTTCGATAATACGCCGCATGTTGCTTCCTCTGGTGCCGCCGTGTCACCTAGCTGCATGCTTGTCATCTGTTTGGTCGCTACGGCTGTGGTGTTTGTGGGAGGGAGCGAGGGAGTTCTGGATCGAGTGTTGGGACTAATGGGGTGGCAAGCATGGTTAGTCTCTCTTTTTTTTTTTTACTTTGGCGCTTTTCTCTCCTTCTTTGGGGGGTGGGACTTTGTGGGATTCGGGATTGAGCGGGATGGGGCTAATGCGAGTGGGTTTTTTTTTAGGATCGAATAATATTGCGACTAGTGCTGCTGTGCCTTTTGGTATGGAGGCGGCTGCGAAGATGGATATGTGATGGGGATCTGGAGAATGCTAGGTGGATCTGGGGAAATGGGGGGTGATGGCGGGAATGGGGGTACGGAGTAGTCGGGATGAGAGCGGGGAGCGGGATTGAAGGGACATGGGATGAGAATCCTTCAAAGTCAAGCAAGAGATCTGAGGCTTTGATCTTGAAGTTCTACATGAGTTGGGCTCATCTGATGGCAACGCGGACAGGCTTTCATTTCACCGACGTCTGGATTTCAGAAACTTTATTCTTCTATTCTTGGAGACCTAATCATTGAATCTTGATACATTTCAGACACCATTATACAGAAAATGCAACATTGTGTGTATTCTTAAAATATATCTTGCATGATTGAAGACTAAGGTTACTCAATGGCTCAGTCTCGTAATTGAACTTGCCTCGGGTTGACAACAGAAATATGCAAAAAAGTATTTAGCTGAAATCTCCATGTCGCAATTACGCTGTACTGTCACTGAATCCAATGCATAGACAGCAATCAATCTCAGGATAGGCATAGGGCTTTCATGAACTGGCGTAGCACCGGATTTCCTTGTTCTGACTGAAACTGGTTTTGGCTGCAGGACGATGCTGGAGTACGCATAATGTTTGACTGATCATTGGGGTAACACCGTAGATGGTCCGTTTCGCCTTAGACGAAGAAAGGCCGAATGGCTTGAGACATGTTGTCATCGGGCATATCATGTGCGTAGGGTTTAGCGTAATTATTAGCGCTTCGCCTGGACGGCTGCATGTAGCAGTTACACATAGGTCTCGTGACCTTCATCCTATGTACGTAGGTGTGGCGGGGCGGTGAACGGCATCACGGAAGGTCATGTGGAGGGGGGGTTTGGTTCGGTGAAGATCGACGTCCATGTATTCTTCCCGTGGGGCAATTGGCAAAATACATTTGTAATACCTGTGACTTTCCGGTAACCATGGTTGCACTATGATGTGTTATACATGATTTCACTAGCTGTGAAAGCACACGTGTAGCTCTAAGAAAATAGCATTGCCCTTGCATACGCTACTGCACCAGGAAGCGATCCGGTTAATTTGGACGGGCCATGATAGCTTCGACAAAACCACTGGCGTGCAATGTAATGACATGCATATTGATCATGAGCCTTGTGAAGATTCGCTGCTAGCTTTTGATCTCGGTAAAGCTTCCAACTTTGCCATGGGTAGCGGGACGAAGTATGCGGTAGTGTTTGTCCAAAGCTAGCAAATGAGATTGAGTACAGTGCTCAAGTCTCCACTCTAGTTGCTATTATTGCGCTTTTCCGTGTCGTCGGTGTGGCATTAGTCCAGGAGGGAATGGATTCTGTAGCACCGGTGAATTCTCCAGAGATTTCCATGCGGATCCTTATGGGTACAGAGGTATTTTCCTTTCCTGTACAGTCTATGCGGAAATGTGGTAAATGCTCAACGTGATGCAGCTTGAATTTTCCGATCTCTCATCTCCCTTCAGTCTGCCCTTGCTCTTTCGCCCTCCTCTTTTCGACAATCATTGCGATTTTCCTTTCCATCTCATTCTTCTTTAGGACTAAATCGGCGCGTGTGACTTCGAGTTGGGCGATCCGTTCTTCGGGTGTGGCTTGGAGGACCTGTCGTTTTTGCTAAAGAGACAAACCATTAGCATATCGTATGGTTTGTTGGACGCTCAGGATTGGGCTCAGTAGTCTATATTACCTTCATAGGCATACAGTACATTTGAGAGGAAGCAATCTTCACCAATCCTTTACATAAAGTGAATGATCAACATACCTGCTTGATTTCTTGCTGTCCCTTCAACCCCGCGCCATAGATGGTCCCGGTTATTGTGATGGCAGCGACTGCGCCAGTCATGATCCAGCGCCGGACGGTCTGGAGAGTTGCCATGGTTCCTCGCGATGTGAGTCCGGTGAGATGATGCGACAAGGGATCAATCAATGGTGGTGCGCAAGGGCAATGGAGTTGAGGCCGCAGAAGAGTCGAAGCGGAGTGGAGATTCCAATCGCCAAGCCCTGTTCGCCGCGGGAGTCCCACCACGATTCAATGCGACGCGTCCCCCACTTCTGCGTCCACAACAATCACACCACCAACACTGACGGCCAACGACTATATCGATCTCGACTACCAGAAGTAAACCTCGAAGGTTCCGACGACTATAGCGATTACGATGTCGAATGTCCCTCGCTCCCACACTCCAGGCGGCTCGCGCCTCAGTACCGTACCCTCGCAGAAGCCGCGCCAACTCTCTCACCTACAAGCGCAACTGGCACAACTGACGGCAAACATGGCGGACCTGGAGAGTCTGATGCGTATGACGGCTGGTCAGGCACAGGATATGCGGGGATTGGGCGGTTATGCTGGCGCCATGTAAGTTGCGACGGTTGGGATACTCGGCCAAGTCCAGGACAAGGAGCAGGGCTCAGGCTGTATGGATGACGGGCGCTAACACTGGATACCTAGGTTCATGGCGGCAAGCAAAGTCTTGGGAGAAGAGACGGTCAAGGGCGGCGGAGCGGTGGATGACAAGAAGGCGGGAAAGGAATGAATTAAATAAAGCCATACAGCGACCGTGCTGTGTATCCCGCGCACGCTTCGAATCCCGAGACGAGACGAATATACAAACAGGGCAAGGCGGTGCCATGATTGGCAATCTCTGTGTCACGTCACGTCAGGCCGGTTGACGAGATAGGGAGCGTGGATGTCACCATCCCCACGGAGAAGGGCGCTTGGATATCAGCAAGGGGACGGCAGGAAATGCTTGAGAGACGGAATCATCGGGATGTATGCAGATACCCGACGAAGCATATGATGGTCCCTGCAGCGATACTGGGTTGGCATGGTATGGATGAAAATGTATAGCCACCCAGCAATGTACTCACATACCGCGATATAAAATCCCCGCACCCCGATTTTAGGCCCTCCCCAAAAATACTGTGGGGGCCCCTTATCCAAACCCACTTGCGACGATCATTCAGAAAAATCGCAATTTTGATTGCCCGGCTTACACGACCGGCCGACGGCGAGAACGTTAGTTATCATGGCCGCAAATAGGCCCCAAGACACGACAATAGCAAAAGCACAGTCTCGCCAACTCAACAAGATGCAGGGTCTGGAGTTCTTATCGACTACGCTGATTCGCCAGGGCGTGTGCCTGGGGAAGCCAAACGATGCTCATTGCTTCGCGCACAGCCGCAGTATACATTTCCCTGCGTAAGATAAGGTATCTGGAGATAGTCTATCTCTGTTTCACATCCACAATAGGAAGGCCACCTACTCGCTGGATATGTGGACTGTACCCAAACCGACCACGTTTGCATGCATTCGCAAGCATTATTGGCTGCTCGGACGGTGACGAGGGAGGATGTGAGGCTGAAAGGGGGTGGTGCAAGCACCACTAAGAATACGGCTATCAATCGCGCAATGATAACGCGCAATGGTATCACTGCACGATCTGGCTCTGACAGTAGAGCCTGCACCCGTATAAGAAGTCGCATGTGCCGCCATTGCATTTCTGGGCTGGAAAGCAAATCTGGCGACCCCCCCCTCCCTCTCCCGTTTTCCCTGTGCACTGGACGACCTGGTTCCGCTCCGCCGTTTTGGCCCCATTCCGCTGAGGATGCCAAGATGGCGCGCCTTGAAGATGTCTTTCCCTTCAACAAATCAAGCTTGAGCCATTGAGGGTTGGTCTTCAACAACAAGCATTTTGTCTGAAAAAAAAAGCCACGGCCCTCTCTTCCGTCGTCCTCGGACGCAGTAGACACTCGAGCGAATGTGCAGGCCATCCACGGGTCGGCCGGACTCACTGACGCAAGCATCATCCCCGCCGCCACCAATCTTTCCCGAAATTCTATGCCCAGCGGACAATCATGTAGCAAAACGTCACGGCCCAGGACGGACAGGTATTGCCACTGCCTTGGTTTCGACGTATAGACGGCCGGCAGTGACATGTCAGCGCTGACGAACAGTCTTGTACGAATCTGGAGAGGAAGCACGCGAGACGGCAGCAAGCACACGACGAGGAAAAGGACCCTTTTCCACTTTGTTCACTCACGGCCGACCCCGTCGATGGTCAACCGTTTGTGCGCCCAAGTGTGGATCGACCAAGGGCGGTGTCGTGGACGATCAAGGGATCATCCGCCGAATTACCCATATTCGAGTCTTCTAAATGAATCACGTACGCCAACCCCCACGGGCATCCCGCGTCTCGTATCGAAGGCATGCGACCTTGAAACCTTGTCCAAGCCAACGAGGCGTTTCGATCGTGACGAGGAGAGAGCAGGAGACATGCACCCGCATGGTCGCAAGGGGATTGGGGGGCCCTGGTGTTATTGATTGTCGGCGGTTGCAGCGGTTGATTGGTGCCGTTGGTGCCGTGTGGACATGCGAGGGTGCGCATGTGTGTGGGTGTGGATTTCGGTACTGCGCCAGCACCAGTGCTAAGGGTCGCGGTCCAGCAAAGCGGATAATACCGCGCGAGGATTGTTCCGACAAAGAGCAAGTGCAGACATCCGATAGCGGGCAGGCATGGGAGGATGTTTTGGAATCAAGATTGGATCAGGGCGAAATGCAGCATAGGACGCAGAGGAGGCTCGTGTTGTTGAACGACTACTGTGTGTGTAGCGTGCCCAAAGCCATCAATGCGGCGACAAGCGAAGTTAGAGCGGATTCAGTCGGGTTTAGCAAAGGATCCAGGCTCCACTTTACCAGCTTATGCATGCAAGTCAGAAGCAAATGGCGTTTTTTTTGGAGGGGGGTCGGATGGGGGCTTGGGGGGGCGCTTGCATGGACAGGGATGCTCGGCTTGACCGCTTGCTCTTTTCGGGGCAAGACACGTGGGGGTACATCCTCTTCTCAATATCGAGCACACCCTGCCTGCATGCCTCTACTGCGGACGAGTAGACTGGAGACGGAGCCCATGGGCCGCACTGGATTGTGTCAGAGTAGATGCTCTGGAGGAAATGGCTCAGCAATCGGTGCAGATGGATGCTAGTGTAGTGACATGACTTGGTTGTGATATTGGTTCGCATGTGAAACTCCGTTGGACTGGTGAGCCGGGATCTAAACGACTGGCTCCAGATTAGCCGATGCACGACGTCAACCACCGGTGCTGGCGGGCTGGTAGATGAGTCGTACCCGAAGTAATGCCAGTAGGGCAACCCATGGTATGCATCTAGTAGAGTGAGTAGATGAATGACTATGTATCAATGTATCGATGCACAGGAGATTGCTGGACCCTTTTTTTGCATCCCTTGATATTACACACATTGCCGGTGGGTACGGCTTGGTTGGACCCCAAAAGCAGTGCGGTTCAAAGCTTTGATGCACAGACTACTAGTTACACACAACAGCATGATATGCTCGTGGAGAAAGCCGTGAGCAGCACTGAACTCGACGACCTGTGTGTACCGGAACCAATGCAGGCCAAGAGGGAGTGACGCTCTTCGATCTTCAAGGACTGCCTCCAAGTCTCACAGATCGCAGTGCAGACGGCAAAAAAAAAGAGCGTGGCTGTGCCTCACGTGCCTCGAGTACCGTAGGTACATGTACATGGCTCTTTGCCTGACGTATGACCCTGCCTGGACTACATGTGTGTACTCTAGTAGAAGCACGGATACACTAGCTGGGCAGGCAAAGATCTAGAAGAGTTGCCACCACCGACAAACCATGGCCATAGTTCATGCGAGTGTTGCCAGTTTCATGTTGCTCTCTCCACCGTGTGCGTAACGGTTACATGTGGAAGAGTATGGATCTGCCTCGACCCGCGCGGATTTTCCGACGGCCGCAGTGGCTACATGTCCGCGTGTGGGTGTTTGTGGACTCGGGGTGGAACAGTGGTTTGGGGTTCTGGATGGGTTGAGATAGAAAAGGATTGCGGGTGGATGTGCCAGTGTTGCCGGTACAAGGAGCCGTCTAATCGGGGGAGGGCAATCCGACTGGGGCGGTGGATGCTGTTGAGGGCGCCAGACCCTCTAGTTGTACCTGTATTGCGTGTAAGGCGCGTCTGGAGATTGTGCATCACCAAAAGAGACTACAGCCACGTGCTCGTGCGCAGTGAGAGGTGGGCCCGCGGTAAGTAGAGACTAATGAAGGTGGTGGGTCTGGGTAAGTAAACAAGAGACCCTGAGATGAGGCCGTGAGGCTGTCGGGAGATGTAGGGATAGAAGTGCCGAGCCCAAGGGCGGGCTGCGGCAGTATTCGGACCAGATACTCCACAGCGGGTAAACAATGGGCAGGTATTGCTGCATTCTGGAGAGGGCGAGTGCGTCTCGTTTTTTTTGGCGCTGGCTGCACCAACAATGCCAGCCAGTCGAGCGAGTCGGGGGACCAAGCCCGATTGTGAGCAGTGCGGCAAAGGCATACCTGCCCCAGACTGGAAAAAGGCACAGCCAAGACACCCACAGCTGTACGTACTGTACGTACGTACTGGATACATATGTAGTTTATAGTACGTATGTAGGTGTGTACACACATGGCTACATGGACATGTAGGCGAGCAGCGGGCGGTGTTGCAACTGGTGCTGGTGCTGGTGCTGCACGCCATTAGCGGACCAAGGGAGGCTGCAGGCTGACGAATAGCACGGCTGACGGAGCCGTTGTCTATTTGCGTAAGCTTTCAAGACTACGGCGACTGTGGATCGCGAAGCGGTACTAGAACATGTCAAGAGGAATGAGGGAACATTAGCGAGGCTCGGACAGACGCAGACCGATGGCGCATGCAGGCAGGCAGGAAGAAAAGTGACGTACCCCGACAGGCGTTGGTAGGCAGACCGTGAGGCAGCGAGGCAAAAGGGCAAAAGGGCCAGGCACGGTGGCCAGAATTGCCGCAGAAAAAAAAAATAAGAAAATCCTCCCGCAAGTGGTAGCACATGCCAATGCTTGTGCTAGCAGTCGAATGGCTCCGAGCCCGTTACCCAGGATCCCAAGTGAGTGTATGAGCTGCACGGTTCAGGCGGTCTTGAGACGGACCGGGGCCTGCATGCTAAGCGGCAAGTAGCACAAGGCAGGCGCACCTGTCGCTCAACCGCCCGCCGTCGTTGCTGCTGGCTTTGCTGCTGGCTTGCTTGAAGCGTGGGTGTGCTGGTCTGCTGGCCTGGTCTTGGTGTGGGTGTGTCTATGTTGTCGTCGTCGCCGAGATTGCTGTTGAGAGTAGAGTGCCATGTAGAGTAGAGCGACTGTTTGACCATGGTGCTACTACTACTGCTACCACAACTACCACCACCACCACTACTACCATCCATCTACCGACGACGACGGCTGAGGCAGACCAGACGCCGACAGGGCCCCAAACAACAGCACGCCCGACTGCGCGTCTGCGTCGAGGCTGCGACTACGAGGGCCACGCTGGCTGCACGCGTGATTGGTGACCGAGGGTGAATTGGTGGGGGCTGCGTGGGTGCGAACGCTCCACCCTCTGCATCTCATCCTCCTCCCAGAGGCCCAGCGTCACGACTCTCGACCCACCCAGCGCCCCCTGCTGCCGTCGCATGCTGTAGCCCGCAATCGCTGCAATTCAATTATTGCGCCGCTCACTGGTGGTCCACGAGCCTAAACATATCGAGGGTCCTTCCCCGTGGAGGTGAACCAGCTCGACGACTGCGGTCACGACCACAGCAAGCTGCCCATTACCCTCCTCCAGCACAGCAGTCCACAGCAGTCCACAGCCCCCCTTCTCCCTCTCCCCCAAGCCCACACACACAGTCCACTGCCCACTGCAACCACCCCCCCTCCCCAGCACCAGCACCAGCACCAGCACCAGCCCCGGCCGCGCCCAGCTCCCTCTGGTTGCACACGCACCACATATCCCCTCCCTCCCCCAGCACTAATTACCCACTGCCCAGAGCCCCATTTCGGCTGTGGTTGCAGCTGAGGGCCGCCGCTGCTGCTGCTAACGTGGGGTGCTCCCATCCGATCCAGAGCACGCGCCGACGCACGCAGCTACATCATCGCCTTCCCTCAGTGCCTGCTGCACATTTACCACTGCTTCCCAGCGAGGCTTCCCATCCCGCCTCCAGAATTTCCATGGACTTTGCCCTGCCCAAAGACACCATGGAGATTTCGTCGTCGCAGGACTCGGCCCGCCGGGGTGTGCTCCAGGATGCCATATTTCCAGCATTCGGCAACGATGCAGGCAGCCCTGGGGCCGAGTCGCCAGAGCAGATGCAGAAGAACGACCCACTAGGCACGCAGATATGGAAACTGTACTCACGAGCAAAGACACAGCTGCCCAATGCAGAGCGCATGGAGAATCTGACATGGCGAATGATGGCCATGAACATGCGTCGTGCTGACATGGATCGCAATAAAGGGTATGAATGCCGCCATTTGCTTTTGCGCCACTACCAGCGAGCCTGCCTCCCTCAACCAGCTGCTAACCTTTTGTTTGTCGTGTAGGCCTAGCCAGAACACACAGAGCAACCAGATGATGATGCCTCCTCCAGCGGCCTCGTCCAGGCCGCCGCCCCGATCCGCTCCAAGCGGCATTGCCCAGCAGTTGAGGAAATCGCAGGATCAGCAGGCGCAGGTACACCAGCCTGCCCAAGACGCAATGAACCTGGACGATTTTATATTTCCTTCGTCGGTTGGCAGTCCTGCAGGCCTATCGCCCCCAGGGTCGAATGAGGATGCGGCTCCATTTATTGCAACAGCCCCAGCGATACCGATAAGGAAGCCGCATCTGGCCAGCGACCATAACCTTTCCCTCGCCCGCGCTTCTGCCCCCTCGGTGCCTCCTGCCATCAGCAAAGAGGATGAATTTGGCTACGTCCCACGACACGTCCGCAAAACCAGCATCGACGAGCGAAGAGTGAGTCCTTGCCCTTATCTCTTACTCTCACTTGTTGCTGCCGCCTCCTCCTCCTCCTCTTCCCTATCTCTCCTTGCCTCTCTCCCTTCTTGCTCTGCTCTCCTCGTCGCTCCTCCCTAACGCCTTATCAGCCACCCAAGCGCCGCGCTGAAGCTTCGCCTCTGGTCCCTCCTGTCAACAGCATCATGATACCCACCGATGCTCACTCCGAGGCCGACCTGCACCAGTACTCACTGGACAACACCACCATGCAGCCACCCACCTTCCCCGCCTCCCAGGGTCAGGGTGCCTTCTCCCTAGATACCTTTCAGATGCACGAAGATCCCGCCGTCCACTCGGCCGGACCCTACCAGCAGAGCTTCTCGGGCTTCTCTCCCGTCGGCTCGCCTCTTATGAGCCACAACGCATTCAACTCAAACATGTTTAACCACAACTCCATGGCCTCGTCGCTCAACTCCACCGACTACTACTCTCCACCCAGCTCCGCCTTCCCCTCTACCGTCTCGACTCCACAGCCCATCTCAGAAGACAGCCAAATGTACTTTGATCGCAGCGGCATGGACATCCGTACCTCACAGCATGGCGCTTCCTATGGACCCCACCGCCCATCAAACCTATCGACGTCGATGCAACCGCAATACATCTTCAATCCTGGAGCCGGTGGTCAAGACTCCGTCTTCAGCCCAGTGACGAGCGCGAGCTCCTCGTTGCCGTTCTCAGTGTCATCCTTTGGCCAATCAAACCACGTCGATCCGTCGCAGGTGCTTCACAATAACCTGCCCTTGCGCCAACAACACGAGTTGCAAATGGGTCGTCAAGAGAACATGTTCACCTTTGGCGCCGACTCCGATGCCGAGGACGACGAGGGAAGCGCCTTCGCCGACCGTACCATGCCACCACAGGAATACTCGCAAATGGACGACAGCTCCATCGACTTCAACACGGGATATCAGTGGGAGACAAACCTCTCCAACCAATTCAATCCCATGCAAGCGCGCTATCCTGCTGGCCCGCCACGCAAGACTGTCACTATTGGTGGAACCGAAATGGTTCACTCACCGCAAGATCATTGGAGTCCCGGGGGCAGCCTTGGTCGGACCCATGGCTCGGCGGCTTCTGTAAGCGACATACGCAATAGAGGCACCGATCCACGACGCCAGAAAATACCCCGCACCAGCTCAACCCCGAATGCAGCTGGAATGATGCATCAGGGCATGCACGGCCTCGTGTCATCACCAAACTCACCTCCAGAGTCTGGCTTCAACTCTGCGGCTCCGTCGCGACCTCAGAGTCCTGGTGGAACAAAACAAGGCGAAGGTGGTGCTCCGACGACTTGCACCAATTGCTTCACCCAAACAACGCCGCTGTGGCGCCGTAACCCCGAAGGGCACCCACTTTGCAATGCATGCGGCCTGTTTTTGAAGCTGCACGGCGTGGTTCGGCCTTTATCGCTGAAGACCGATGTCATCAAGAAGCGCAATCGCGGTAGTGGCAACGCACCAGTGGGTACGGCATCCACACGCTCGTCAAAGAAATCTTCCCGTAAGAATTCCATTGCGCACACACCAGTCACGACGCCCACGTCGCACAAGGCGGCTGATTCGGAGTCTCCAAAATCCACTGGCTCAGCCGGCGGAGGCTCCAGCAATTTGTCCTCTGCTACCACACCGACTTCGTCCAAACCAAGCAGTGTAGTTCCCATTGCTCCGGGCCCACCAAAGTCCCATAGCTCCGTAACTTTGACACAAACGCGCGGTGTCGCTGTTGCACCCAAGCGAAACCGTGGTCAGAGCAAGAGCGAGTCACAAGAATTGGAAATGGCTGACGCGGACGACACTAATGGAAGGGCGCCGTTGCGCAGAAAAGATACTGCCATTGCAACTTCCAGTCCCTTCCCAGGACAAAGCCTTGGTGCTCTTCCCATGGGCGCAATGGGCCAGGGTCTGCAGTCATCCGGTCCTGCTGAATGGGTATGTACACATTGTGTCCACATTGATATGTCTTTTTTTTACTAACAAATTCCGTGTAGGAATGGCTTACCATGAGCTTGTGATTACGGCAAATTTTCTTGCATACATCTCTATAGCCCCACTTGGGACCAACGCCGAACATTCATCCTGGCATCCCTCGGGACTGATTACGACCCGCACTGCTTTGCTTTACAATAATGGCCTTGGTGTTTGGAGTTTTGAACAGCCAGGCTCCCATTTTAGCCATTTGCTCGTCTTTTGAATGTCTTTCATTTGCCTTTGATACCTCAGCCTTTGGCAATGCAATGTATTGCAACGATAGACATGGCCTCGCTTTTTGTTTTCTGACATACCCTGTTTGCTTTTGTTTTCTGTTTTCAAAGGGCCAGCAGATGGAGGAGGCAGGCGCTCCATGAGGCTGCACACCGCTCTAATGTCTCACAAAGGAGAGAAAGATGTTGGATAGAGGTGGATAAGGGCTGCCTGTTTGTATCCATTGGCATCATATCTTTGAGACGACCATTTTTCCACTACATGAGCTCACGAGACATATCCTGGGATCCGCAATGCATGCAAGATGCATGTCTGCATGTTGTGGTATCAATGACACTGGGATGGGGTAAACAACGCTCTCTTTGTATGGGGGCGAATCAGGACAACTCGGGTTATGTAACTGGATATAGCACACTGGGCGGATGTATATATGATGTTTTTTTTGGGCATTTTGTCTAATATCCTTGATGGTTTTAGTAGACGATCATTCCGCAGCAAGAAGCGAATGCTATTTGTATTGACAAGCTTGACTGCGCATTTCTAAGAGTTGTGCCTTAATCTTCTTTGGATGCCATTAAGAGACGTACAATTGATCGCGTAACGCATTGGTCAGTGTTTGTAGTGGAGGAAGAAGGCACGGTTGGAAGGTGCCGTTGGTCCGTTACCCGGCTTGTCGTTGCCGAGAGTCTACTGGTTCCCGTGGGCCGACCCTTCCGTCATCCATCAGGATGTCAGCATACCCAGGTCCACGCTTAGCTGAGCCTTTTTCAACTACACTTTCAGATACCGCAAAACTCAGCCACATCAGCCAAGATGCCCAAAGCCTTGATCCTTGTTGCAGATGGATCTGAAGAGATTGAGTTTGTCACTCCTTATGATGGTATGTACGGAGCCATGGCTGTGCGATGCCGACAGCAGGCGACTGAGGACGAAGCTGGGCTCAGACGCTGACACATGGTTCCAGTGTTGACCCGAGCGGGATTCGAAGTCAAGAGTGCAGGTGTATCGCTCCAAAACGAAGCATATGCCCAGTCAGTCACGACTCGATAGATGAACAGCATCCGAGTTTACTAACAAGTTGAGGACCTGTTCTAGCATGTCACGTAATATCCGCATTGTACCTGACTACTCGAATCTCAACTCTGTCCCTTTGCAACCTGCTCATGAGCACTTTGACGTGCTCATTCTACCTGGGGGCGGACCGGGATCGAAGACCTTTTGCGAGAGCGATGCCGTTTTGAAACTAATTCATGACTTCCAACAGGCTGGGAAGTGGGTTGCTGCAATCTGTGCAGCGACTACTGCACTAGTCGCTTCAACGAAGAAGTTTGACAAAGAGAAGAAAAGGGTCACCAGTCACCCGAGTGTGGCAGAAGAAATCAAAGTTGGGGGCTGGCAGTACAGTGAAGATCGACTGGTCGTGGATGGAAAGGTCATCACGAGTCGCGGGTAACATAAGGCCTCCCTTGAAGCACCGAGGAAGTTTGCTGACGTTCTGTATATAGACCGGGCACCGCGATGCTGTTTGCGCTCACGATTGTTGAAGTCATCAGCGGAAAAGAGAAGAGAGACGAGATTGCAGGACCCATGGTACTAGCTGAGAAGTTGTAGGGCGGACGTGTACCGTCTGCTATCGAGCTCTTATACGGCCTTCAACGCACGACATTATCCCGTTGCTGGAGACAGCAATTGTCCACGTATTCCCAAAGGCTGGTCGGTTAGAGCGGTAGATACACAGGCCAGTAAAGACAGTCGCTGTACGCGTAACCGACCGTTCAATGCACAAAATGTCTTTGCTGCGCCATCCGCTCTGCTAGTGCTAGTGTCGATGCTAACGCGAAAAGGTGCGACCCCGCGCACTAATGATGATGATGATGATGATGGAACAGAGCGATATTTTGGCTGTGCAACATGAGTTGTATCTACCTCACAAATGCGAATATTCGGAATGATTCAAGACACCGACTCGTCTCCCTGCCATACATGCATAGGCGTTGAGATACTGCAACATGCTAACGTATGTGTTCAAGGGGTAAGACGCAACAAAAGAAAGTTGCCAGCAGCGAGATGATATGCAGCTCAGATTGGAGTTGTTAGCGTGAAAGCTTACCGAATGCGAGGTGGCTGGCCGTTGTGTAAAATGGATGCAAGATTCCCGAGTCGACATGGATATTTGATTGGAGACGAGGAGTAGCGGCCTAATCAAATGTGGATTAAGCACACGCCGTCGTGTAAGGACAAATTAGCCACGCGACGATGGTGCCCTGAATTTGACAAACATGCCGTGGAACACCGTAAGTGTACCATCCGCTGAGCACTGTGCTACGGCAATAACAAGTTCTAGTGGCTGGCGAGGAAAGCGGGTTTTGTTATGACGAGGATTTGGACTTGTATGGGCGTCATGCACCTCCTGACTGCGCTTAGAGGATGCTGGTCCCTGATGAAGCATCCCCACTGTAAGATTCATTAGCCGAGCTCATTAGATGAATAAGTGGCTTGAGCCACAGACACTCTCTCCACTCTCTTGTCGTCTCGCTGCTGATGCTGACTTTGCATTTGCTAGGCCGCCAGTCTCACCAGCGGTGCCAGCATTCATGTGCACCGAGCATGTGCCAGTAAATCTACCAGTTTGCTAATCTTTGCTTTGATCAACGTCTGGGCAGTGACCAAGAACAGCTTCGCCACCATATCAAGTCCAACGAAGTACACCGACACGGTTACATTACTGTGAATCCCTGAACGTATTCCGAGCAACTTGATTGGATCGTGCAGGCACGAAACCGAGTAGTGGAGTCGGTCATGACCACGGCTGTGCCAGTGGAAAAAAGCCGTCGTGGAGACTGTCTGCAGATCTCTCGCCAAGACCCTAGAACATGTCCAAACACAAGCCGCATAGGCCGTGTCTGCCGTCGTATACACCGTATACTTACTCGGGGATGGCCGCTCCTCTCTTCTCAGGGCCGCGGCCCACGCGAGTAGCTTAATGCACAGCGATAAAGCCGGGGGATCGCTTAGAGGGGTCTCCTATATCTTGCATCTCCCCTCCATAGATAATTCACTCCCAACTTCAGCACAATCACCTACGACGTCCCCTACCAGCATGGACCCGCAGATCGTTGCGCAGATAGTGCACACGCTGCAGACAACAGCCATAGCTGCTGTGATTTTTGCCGCATGTGTCTTGCTCCCCAAACTCCAGAACAAGGCCCAACTTGGGAAACTGCCTACCGCTAGCCCGGACGGGGGTGAGAAGGCACGGCAAGCATTCATAGCATCAGCAAAAAAGCTCTATCGAGATGGGTACCACAATGTACAACGCATTCCACCTTTCGCCAAAAACCCATCTGCTGACCACATGATCAGTTCAAAGATAGCGTTTTCAGACTTATCAATGAGAATGGTAGGTTGACCCCCTTCCTAAAAGCAAATATTCAGATCATTGCTTACACCTTCTGCAGGCCAAGAAAACGTCATTGTGCCCCGAAGTTTGCTGCCAGAGCTTCGGAAGATCCCTGACGATGTCCTCAGCTTTCCAAAGGCCATAGAGAATGTGCGCTAAACATATGCCTTGTATTGGAATAGAATAATCTTACTGACCTCATCTGGTAGGATATGGAAGTCAAATACACAAGACTGCAAACCGAGGGTAGTACGGCCATCCATGTGGTCAAGAGCGAACTTACTTCAGCACTACGTAAGATTTCAAGGCAAAAAAAGCACCATGACATGCGAGCTAGTTTTTGCTGACCACCATCACAGCTCGATTGAATCCAATCATCTGTCAAGACGTCGATGCCGCGCTAAGAGAATATATGCCACCATGCGATGACTGGACTGAAGTCAATATCAACGCAAAGCTAGTCACCGTCGTTGCCAAGGTCTCGGGTCGCATTTTTGTTGGCCCAGAGCTATCTCAGGATCCCGAGTACCTTGACGCTGCATGCAATTACACTGTGGACCTCATCAATGCTGTTAACGGAATCAAAAAGCTCCGCCCGTGGCTAAAACCCTTCCTAGCGTCACGCACACCAGAACTTATTGCCCTTCGCAACCGTGAGAAGCAAGCCGAGAAAATCCTGCAGCCTCTTGTCGCCGAGCGACTAGCTGCTAAAGCCCAAGATCCCAATTGGCAGGAGCCAGACGATATGCTGCAGTGGATGATCAACCGAAGTGATGGCAAGGAGTCTGTGGCGGTGCTCGCCAAATACCAACTTGCGATTATCTTTGCCGCTATCCACACGACCACCATGACCGCCACAAATATCCTCTACACTCTTGCTGTTACACCTGAATACATTGAGTCGCTTCGAGAGGAAATCCGCAATGCCATGGCTGAGCATGATGGTATCATTACGTTCCGCGCACTCCAGCAAATGGTGAAGCTAGATAGCTACATGAAGGAGGTTATGCGACTTTACCCTCCCGGTATCAGTAAGTAAAATCACTCACAACACCTATCATTTATCTTCCGGAAAACAAAAAAACCTCAGGGAAAGAAACACTTCCATGCTAATTTGTTTTCTTTTCTCTACAGCCTCCTTCACCCGCCGCACACTCAAAGGCATCACCCTCAGCAACGGCCAGTACATCCCTCCAGGCGTCCTCATCGAAGTCCCCTCAGCCGCCATCCACACCGACGAATCCGTCTACCCCTCCTCCGACACCTTTGACGGACTCCGCGCCTACAACGCGCGTTCCTCGGGTAAAGCCAGCGACATTGCCCGCAATCAATTCGTCACCACTAACGAAGAGAACCTCTCCTTTGGCTACGGACGACACGCCTGCCCCGGCCGCTTCTTCGCCGCCAACGAAATCAAAATGATCGTCGCCCGCCTCATCCTCGAGTACGACGTCAAGATGCCAAACGGTGAGACGGAACGTTATCCCCAAATGGAAATCGGAAAGCAATCCATGCCTGATCCCAGGAAGACGTTGGCCTTTAGGAAAGTCTCTGTTTAAAGAAACCCTTTTTTTGCGGTGGCATTGTGCTTCAACGTAGAAATTCTTAACTAGAATATTACACACATGTGTTTTCTCTCTCTCTCTCTCTCTCTTCTATTGAGCAGTTTATAAGCGAAAAAAAATATATTGAAATCAAATTACTATCACACATGATTTTTCAAGTGAAGTTGGGCAACATACGCCGCATACATGCATATTATCGGCTGACAAACCCCCCAGTTCCGTCCCAATGCAGCACCCCCCCCCCCNCCCCGTGCTATATTCTTACATGCATTTCGCTTATTTTTTTTTCCCCTTTGGACAGCGGTTTAATCCAACTACAATTCACATCCCACCCCCTGCTACGTAGCGTGTTCCAACTTGTACTGCAGCATTTGGAAAGAAAGTAAGAAAGAAATGCATGTTTGAAAACGTCAAAAAAGCATATAGATCCTTAACACGTCTAGTTCTACATACACGTTTCTCTTCATTGCAAAACATGTCTGAAGGAGGGGGGAGGGGGGAGGGGGAAAACGAGAACAACTATGCTCATGGATAACTCTTTCTGTCTATTTGTCTCCAATTGTATTCGTCCTCTGCTTCTTCAACTTCGTCCTATATGCTACATAGTTCAACTCATCCCAGCTCACGCAATCTAGTATCGCTCCTCCTCCTATCCCATCCTCCCCTTCAGCTATACATTACAAAATCGCTTCAAGTATTCAAGCACGCCTTCATTCCATCATCAACCCCCCCTTTCCATTGTTTGTCCTTGATTACTCCCAAGCTCCAACCATGCACAATGATTGAGATCCAACCAAAGAAAAAGCAAAAAACAAAGATATGAAGATGAACCTTAGAAGAAATCCCTCCTCACCACGTGTCGCTTGCAGCATTGAGCAATTGCTGTTGTTTCCATATGCGTGGTATCTGATCGAAAGCAGGAAAAAAACAAAAAAGCGGTGGAACAAGTGTCGAGGCATTACAAGTGGCAGAGAAGAAGCAAATAATAGATAAGGGATGATCGAGATCGGTACCGGTGTCCAGCAACTCCTTCCAACCCCAGGTTCAAGGAAAAAGGACGAACGGGCTCCAAAACTCGCAAGATGCTTGATACAGGCCATGTATGATGAGTCATATGCTGTAATGTACAAAGGCGCATTGTTGAGGATGTTACAAAGTGCCGTATTGTTCCGATACATGGACCAAGGCCCAATCCGTCGCAGCCGGTGAACGAGAACTGACATGGCAAAAGCACGGGCAATGTTGACCCCAAACAGGGAATCGTACAACATGCATATGCCAGTAGAATTTCTGTCCGTGTGTGGTTGGGCGATAAGATGGAATCCTAGATAAAACGCCCCAGGGTCCGTGCAAAATGCCCAGGCCTTGCAAAGAAATCGAAAAACGAAGTGGTCTATAAACGTGCTTTTGCAATGCAATCCATTTGTGCGGGTATGTTCGTCTGGCGTGGCCACGTTAGGTAGTCGACATAAAGGAAAAATGTGTTGGGGACCGAGATCCGGCAGTCCCTCTCCCGGAAAGGCCATGGGCTCATGACTGGCAGTCGTCCATGAACGAGTTCTTGGGCCAATCGTATGGAGTAGATTTCCTAGAGTATGTTAGTAGTGCTCCCAATTCGTGGTAATATTGCGACTCACCAGTTGGTAAGGTTGGGATTCATATAAGCTGCGGGGTGCTTCTTGATATAATCGGTAGTAGGGTAGCCCTCGGGATCGCAAGTAACGATCTGATTGTCCTCTGGCTGGTAGATGCGGATGTAGTCTACTCGCATAGTAGCGGGAAGGTCCTTGGCAATTTCTTCCAGGTTGATGGCTGCGAAACTGTTCGACATTCCAAAATTGGCAATGATCGACAGAGGTTCCTCGGGGATGGTACGTGTGCCGATGTTGCCATTGGGGCGAACGGACGGAGCGTTCATGGTCCAGGTCTTGTCTTCACCAACATACCAAGTAATGAAGCCATCGGATCCGGTCTTGTATTCGAAGGAATAAGTCTGGTATTGCTTGCCGTCATACCAGTCGTTGTTCAAGTTAGTCAAACCAGAAATAGCTTGTTGGAAAGGGCCACCCTTGTAGGCGTTCATGCTAGTAACCGTCAGGTCGTAGACTTCCATGTAGTCTGCCTCAAGTTAGTCAAAGATAAAAGGGTCTAGAAAGTGCCATCATTACCGTAGTCAGGTTGGTACCAAATATCGAAAGGCGCAGCTTGGAAGGACTGAGAAACGACACCGACGGCATTGCTCTCTCCGGGGCCGAGGAAATGAACTGAACCTTCGAGGGCATCAATTTCCGGTGCACTACGAGATTTGCCAGGAGATGGGTGATCCTCTCCCTTGCATGTGCAAGCGGGCAACTTCATTCCAGGCAAGTAGCTGAGACCGTCGTATGAGCTTTGGTTTGGTGTGATACCAACATCGCACTCATCATGATAACTGTACGGCCACAAGCCCTCTGTAGAAGCCAGATAACCAGGACGGGCAAGGTTACCCATGGTCCAGAAACCGGGCCAGAAACCACTAACATTGCCGCGTCCTGGGAGCGAGATGCTGGCCTCAAGGTGACCACCCTTGTAGCAGAGTTTGTTCCATGACTGGACCATACCGGAGCGGTAATCGAGACCGTGGCTAGGCTCCGCCGAGAACCTGAGGTTCAGAGTACCGTCTTTAGTGAAAGCCTGATCGGGGTCGTACCACTGGAAAGCGTTAGTGCCGCTGGGACGCCAAGGAGTTCAACAAAACTTACCTCCAAATCCATAGTTGCGCCATACCAGATGTCCACGGCTTGGAAATACGGGTCGTCACCATCGTAAAAACTGCGACCATCGGTGTTGAATTCATCGGAGAAGACCAAAACTTGTTTCTCGCCGTTGGCGCCAATGCGGGTCATGGCTTCCTTGGGTGTGTCCGGGTCGATGAGGCCTGTGCGAATGTTCTTGAGTAGTGGCTCTTCTTGCTTGCCCGGTATACACAACGGGTTGCCTGAGCATGGCGTCCGTTCTGGTGCTGTGGCTTTTTCAACAAAGGTCCTAGTAAAAACAGGTCAGTATCGCCAAGGTGTAATGTATCCGAATCGGGGACGTACAGAATCGGGTAACCGACGAAAAGCATGAGAATGCCAAGAGCAAGAATTGCGAGACCGCCGACGTTGACTATTCCTCTGCGGGTGAAGACGTCGCAGTCCCTCTTATCCTTGTCGTTGGGATCGGGGTTATGCAGGTAATCGTCTTTTTCAACGTCTTCAGGGAAAAGCAAAAGTCCGGCAGAGGGCAGAATGTTGAACTTTTCAGATACGGTTTGCGTATTCAGATCGTCCTCACTGCCAGCGCGGGATGGGGCTCTCGAGTCGTCAAAGGGCGAAGCGAAGGGCGCTCCGGTAAAGTCTGAACTCCAGCTCGTACGCCTCGACGACAGGCCTGAAGGAGACTGTAGCGGGGACTCGTCCCGATAGGATCTGGGTCGTAGTCTTCCAGGCGGTAGTAGCATCTCAGCAGACTCTGCAACGGAAGCGTTGGCATAGACATGGGGCGCGCCGACGCTCTGAGAAGTTGCAGGGCGGATGGGCTGTGTTAACGAGCGGGCGGTGTTTGTTCGCGAAGTGCTTGGTCGCACCGACGGTGTGGGGAGGTCGTCGGTATTGGGCTGTTGGCTCCCCGAGTTAAGGCGGAGGTGGGGAGGGCCTTCTCCCCTTGGTGATTGGGGCATCATGGCGTTCGTGAGAGAGTGAGCGAGCGTGTGCGATAAGCGATAGTGGACGGTGAAGCTATCTGATTATTCAGATATCCGTGGCAGACCAGAGGCCAAGTGATGTAGGCGAGACAGGAGGCGGAATGAATAATATTTGTTGTTGCTGGGTGAAACGAGTGTCGCAAGCACGAATTGGCCGGTATTCAGGTGGCGGATGGAATTCCAAAAAGAGTTGCTGGCTGCGAGGACACACGACTGGCGGTGGAAAACAAAGGAATCCTCCACTCCTGTTTGCAGGGCCTATTGTCGGGTAGAGGCAGGGCGTGCAAAGGCGGCGAGCAAAAAAGACAGCTGGGAACCGCAGCTGGTGTCGTGTCGTGAGGCAGGAGAAAAGGGAGATGGAGATTCAAGGGGAAGTCGAATGGCTCCTGGCCCAGACTGGGAGGGGGGGAGGCGGCCGGGATAAGGGCGATGGGCCAGGAACGCGTGCGTCGAAAAAGCTTGGCGGCTTTCAACGGGCAAGAACAAGTGACGCAAGAGACAGAAAAGCCGGGCGCTAAATCGAAGATGCAGATGATGGGCAGTCAGCAGCAGTGGGCGTGTGGGATAAAGCAAAAGTGCGTCGTAAACGGGATGGGAATCAATGGACGAGGGGCGGGTGCAGAGAAAGGCAGAGCGGCGGGCGCCGTGGGCAAAGAGTGGCAAGATGGTTGGGAGAGCTCGGGCGTCGAGTGTTCCTGAATTTGGTACCCACTCCGGCTCCACCTGGAGACAGAGGAGACGACGACGACGGCGCCGGCGCAGGCATAGTAGAGACAGCCAGACAGGGCGCTTGCATGCGGCGAACATCAGAGGCATGACATTGGCCGGCACGTTTCAACACAAGTCGTGAGCAGCCCTGCCCTGGCGCCCCGTGGTGGAGCCGGGGCAGTGCCTCGCTGTCTAAATTGCGATTTCATGCTTCGCTATCCTTTTCCGTCTCTCGCGACATTGACGACTACGACGACGACCGCGACAGCAACCACAGGCTCGGCTGCAACCGTCGCCGCCATGATAGTGTTGACGGCCTCGCAATCGCTTGCGCTGCTCTTTTTTTTTTCCTTTTCGCGACCGTTCTGCAGCCTCGTCCATGGGCGCAGCCTGCTGTTTCTACAGAAACGTTGCTGCACGCGGTACGCACAGGAAGAGCGCCATGCCATCTTTGCTTTACCCTCTTCAATAGCCTGGGGATCATCGCCAAACCCATTACGCGTCGCACCACATATAATCAGCGAAACTCCCAGCCCCAGCAGCGACGGCCTCTAGAGTATGTAAACCACTGGCACGCTACCACAGATGTGCAGTCCAAGTCGAGGTGTAATGCCTTCAACCCTTTGTGGCCGGCGTCGGTTGAGGCTGGCTGGCTGTATGTCAGTGTCCATGCCCACCCCCCCCTCTCTTATCGCGCGCTGGTGCTTCACCACCGTATCGTTGCCGCAAATAGCGTGGCGATCTAGCTCGTCTTTTTATGATCCTCCCTCGTCCTGCTCGCCTCCCCGACGCAGCTCTGTTACGGCTCTTTGACCAGCTGGCAGTCCTGCCCACGACATGGACGCTGCCTGGACCAAACAGTTGACATGCCGAAACAAGACGTGCTCTTTGCACATGTCGTCATCCCCATCCATTATCGTCCTCTCTTTTTTTTTGAACCTGACATCTGTCTGTCTGCCTGTCTGCCTGTCTGTGTGTCCGTCTGCGGGCTTGCCGTCGAGGCGCGCGAGGCTTGAGCTAGGGTGTATCCGAAATGAAAGCTCGTAAACGCGCAGCACCACCCACGCGCTTCTGGACTCTGCCGACGCTGCCACCTCCGCCCGTGGCTTACCCGTGATTGGCGCAATCCCGTCACCCCAGCCGGCCAATCAATGCGCCCATGTCACATCCCCAGTACCGCAAGGCTGAGCCTGCCTGCCCCATGCCCCGAAATACCTGTCTGGCTCGGCTTTTAATCACTGCCCACGGTACCGTCGACCAAGTCCCGTTCCCAAAGACCTGTCAACACCACGCCAGCCAGCCAGCCTCCTCTCCAAGCCTGGGCTACTCGGCTGCACACACGTCATGTACACAGGTTTTTCCAATAAAACACCATCTTGATCGTCGCCTCTGTGAACGGTATGCTCCACTACCTAGCATCTCTACCGCTGCATATCCACCTCGCCATCCCAGCCACTACGACGTTTCAATCGGCTTTATTCGCGCAATGACCCTCGCGCCTTTGCTGGCTTGCCCATCACGTTCGCTTTGTGCTAAGAATATGCCCGGTCCCGACCGCCCCCCCCCCCACTACGACTCGATAGCCAGTGCTTTAAGCCCTACAATCCTGCCTCCTTTCTCGTCCACACCTACAACGTAGTACTCTGCCCGCGTGCCTTCCAGCTCAACACGGAACACCTTGACTGTACCGTTGGTCGCCAGCTTCACCGCGTCAATCACGCCCTTGTATTGTGACTCAAACCCAGTGCCCTTGACTTCCTCTACTTTGTTGCCTCCAAGGAGCTTCGCCAGATCCTCTATGCCCAGCGTTAGCAACTCCGTCTGCTCCTCATAGCATGAAAAGTTGGAAAATAGCAAAAGAAGGGCAACCCTTACCACTAGACACGCTGCTGCCCTCAAACTCGAGTGCCACGGGCTCAAACGGCTCGTCAGATTCACTGATGTAGTACTCCTTTACTTCCTTGAGTCCGCTTGGAACTGCCGTGTTGACGCTCTTGGTCCCATAGCTCTTCTGCGATGCTTCTTTCACGTCCCCTGACCCCGTGTCTTGGTTCGCCTTGTCGAGAAACGCCGCGTAGTCGGCGTCGGAAGACATGGTTCGTATGTGCGTCTGACCGATTACCCCGCACAATCCTGAGGGTGGGAATGTCGTCTTTGGTCGCTGAACAAGCTGGTCGAATAGCCGTGGATGGAGTCGCTCTCTCCTCGTTCTTGTACTGCCCAAACTACAATCAATCTTTTGCCCAGTTTCGCGTTGCAAGGCCGTGCGACAAGAACAGTGGTGAGATGCTCGTAATGTGCTCAACAAACGCTGTCCCAGTTTGCCCATGGTGCTAGAGCAATGGCCTAGCCGTGCGATGACGCAAATGCCCATGGCGCGTGGCCCTCCAAAGCCGGCCAGGCACAACCCCACTCTCACCCTCCATGTACCTTACCAATTAGACATTCCAAGTGCACACAAACTGATGCTTTTACTCTCGTCACGCTAGCACACTCAGAATTCCATACTGACTGCTTTAACATTCTTGACTAATTAGAAAATACATACAACACCCGCAGAAGCGGTTACACTATAATGCGCAGGGTATCATCGCCGTGCAGGAGAGCGCGTTATCACGTCCCCCACATTCTACCTTGACCTCCATCCAACTACAAATCCACAGCCGGACCCTTTCGTCACAAAAACTCCAACCCAGAAAAAAGAAAACCGAAGTCATCTGAGCAAATCTCACAAAACAAACAGTGTAGGGGTGCAGAAGAAAAAGAAGACATGATAGAAACGCTCGACGTGGCCCAAGCCCTGCCCTCTGCAATCATACTTATGGCTTTTGCTCAGCGGCAAGAGCATGAGTCACGCCATTGGTAGGCGCAGTGCGTGGGCTGCTCCGCTCAGATTTCGCCGCATTTGGCTTCGAGTCATCACCTTCATCATCATAGTTCTCATCCACATCCATGTGCCGAGCAGCCGGTTCGTGGTGCTCAGGACGCTCTGGCTTCGATGTCTCAGACATGCGGGACAGTGGTCGCGCAGTAGCCATCGGTGGGAGCGAAGGTGGGTGGTGAGCAGCCTCGGATGGATGGTAGCCATCATTGAACCGTCTGGGGTCAGGGCCATCCTGGGGGCTCTGTCGTGGCACTTGAGGCGACGACATGCGGTGTGGGGGTGTAGGCCGACGGCTGTGAGGCTCTTCAATCTTTTGGCGCTTTTCATCATTCGTAGGTGGCTTGGCGCTAATGTGGTCATTCTCCTCCCATTCGCGGTGTCTCTTTGGCGGCGCAGTAGGAGGGCGCTCATCACGATCGCGGGCCGCTTGCTCAGCAGCAGCTTGAGCCGATGCTGGTGGAGGAGCGCCACTAGCAATACCACCGCCAGTAGAAGGATCAGGGTGATGCTGGTAAGGCCCCTGGTAACCATTGCGTGGGGATGCTGTTCGATTCTCCACGATAGGGCGCACTTCGGGGGCAGGGCTGCTAGGACGGGCACTGTATGGAGGAACGGCACTCTGTGTAGACCCTTGGCTTGGCGGACCACCAAGACCAGTAGGTGGTGGGGGAGGTGGGGGAGGCACACTGCCAGCGTGAGGCCCGTAGTTGGGATTTGAGATACGGGTAGGCTGGGGCGGCTGTTGTGGCGGTTGCTGGTGCACAGGCGGCTGTGGTTGCGCATGAGCTGCTTGAGGGGTGAGCTGCGGTGGCTGAGGGTGGTAGGGACTAGGAGCAACATGGTGCGTCTTTGGAGATGGAGACATGCCACGACGCATCGGTCCTGGGACAGGAGGTGGAGGGCCGGCAGGGCCCTGAGGACCAGGACCGCTGGTGGGAGGGCGCGGGGGCTCTGCATAGGGCCTAGGCGCTTCCTGTCTCGGGCTAGCAGGCCTCTGAGGAGCATGCTGGGTAGGAGGACGAATGCCCTCGCGCTGCTCATATGGGTTCAATTGCTGAGGCGGTAGACCCGGATCGCGAATCTGAGCAAGAGGGCGGTCCCAGCCAGCTGCCAGAGCAGGAGGAGCAGGGCCTTGAGGAGGCTGCTGTGGTTGAGGAGCACCCCATTGAGGAGCAGCTGGACCATGAACTGACGCAGGCTGATAAGCCTGGGGGTGTACATCCTGAGGTATTGGAGCATTGCCTTGATTTGGGGCCCCGGCAGATGTCTGTCCATTCTGAAGAAGCTGAAGGCGAGCCTTGATGTGTACATTGGATGGGTCGAGATCGGCCGCGCGCTGGTATGCGTCGAGAGCATCGGCTGTCTGGTTGTTGCAAGACTCATACTGCGGCATTGTTAGTGATGCATTTTCAGCATAGGAGCAATGGACTACTTACCAGTGTTCCCAGGTCGTACCAGACTTCCGAAATGTTGGGGTTCAATCGGATTGCGCGAGAGTAGGCATCGAGCGCATCGCGGTACTGGTTGATCTGGTAGTACAGTACACCAATGCTGCACCAGAAGGTTGGGTTTCGGCCGTCACGGTATACAGCTTGCTGATAAGCCTCGTACGCCTTGGGGTACTTTTGTTGAGACATGTAACAACGACCGAGCAAGTACCAACTCTGTGCATCCGTTTGATCTAGAGTGAGAGATTAGCGGCTGGCGCATGATCAAGCATGGTTACAAGACTTACCAGAAGCGACCGACTTCTCAAGGTATTCAATGGCTTGTTCCTGGCTCGCGTAGTTTGTGCTCTGTTGGTGATGAAGCCATCCAAGTTGTTGAAGCACCTTCGCGTGGTTGGGATCGCGCTCGAGGACCCGGCGGTAAGCACCCTTTGCAGCTTCGAACTAGCTCATGTGTTAGCTGTTGAAAGCTTTTAAACTTTGATGATACGAACCTCCTTCTGTTGTTCATAGACGTGTCCAATCTGGAACCAAATGTCCTCCTCAGTGAGTGGGCGAGGAGGGTTGGTGACGATATATTTGAAGCACTATGAGGAGTTAGAATGTTTTCGCCCGTCGCAAGTTGCGATGCTACTTACGTCCAAGCTCTGGTTGAACTTTTGCTGCTGCTTGTAAATTATACCCAGACGGAAGTAGATCTCGTTGGCCTTCTCAAAGGTAGGCTCCATACGCATGACTTGTGAGAAAGCTTCCTCGGCATGCTCCAAAGATCCATAGCGGTCATAGAGGATGCCAATGCCATACCACAGTTTAGGCTCCTGGTAGAGGTTAGTTGGCTGCATTATCTGCAAGTCAGAGAAAACATACCTTGGGATCAGAGAGGTGGTACAAGGCTTGTTGGTAGGCCGAGTAGGCCTGCTGCAGGTCATCCATCATCAGATAGCAGTGGCCTGGTAGAGTTAGCAATGGTCTTGGAAAGCCACGAGATGATGTTCTTACCAAGACTGCCCCAGACGTCACCGTTTGTGGGGTCAACTTTCAGAATGGTGCGCAGGTACTCTACAGCGGCTGGAAAAGCATCCTTGGTGCGCAGGATGCAGGCAATGCCTTGCATAGCCGGTACAGACCATTGGTTGAACTTCAAGGCCTGTTCGTAACATTGCATGGCGCCGTCATAGTCCTGCATTTGCTCGGATAGAGAGCCTGTTGCGTGTCAATGAAGGTCTATAGCGCGCGCGACGGGACATTGCTTACCCATCTGTGTCCAGACGGCCTCGGTCAATTGACCCAAGTACTGGGATGAGGTCTTTGGCTGGTTCGCGTGGGGTGGGTGGCCATTCACCTGCGCGTGCGCAGGATGCTGGGCTACATGGTGTGCTGGTATGCCCGTAGTGGGCGAAGGCTGCTGGTGCTGGGCCATGATGGCTTGCTGCGACTGAGCTGCCTAGAATGCGACGATTGCGCTACCTGGGCCGCGACAGTGGCAGGGCGGTTGATAGTGAGCAAGTGTCGTCAAGAGCGGCTATGAATGGCGCCAGGGCGGCTGGCTGGGTCAGTTGTGAGATGGAGAATGATGGTGTTGATGATGGATGCTCACTGGTGGGTGCTGGGCGCGCGTCTTGCAAAGCGTGCCGGCGGGTGCGAGTCGAGGCGTGGAGAGGCTGGCGCGGAGAACGACAGCAGCGCGCAGAGGAACACGGATGATGTGGACCCCGACCTGGATCAGGCAAGTGGTATGCGATGCACCAGAGCTGGCGTGATGGCGCAGTGAGGGCTTCGGGCAGGAGGGAGGGAGAGAGAGAGGGAGAGGCAAAAGGCTGGAGTAGGATGCAGCCTCGTGGAGGAGAAGCAAGTGAGGAAGCAGCAGACGAGCGAAGAAGGAAGGGGCAGGGCGGTCCAACGCTCTTTCTCTGTGGGTTAGGGTTACTGGATGCGCCCAGGATGGGTGGGCTTTCATCTGTGCGGGACCATGGGCGACGATATCCTGGTAAGCGCGCTAGTGCAAGCCACACCGGGGTCCGCTATTTCTCTGAGCGACCCGTTGCCAGCAAATTGCGTGCCCAGCATCATCACCACCGACGCGCTGCCTATGCGCCCGCACCCTGTTCCTGCGCCTGTGAGACGACCGGTTTGGGGCCGCTCTCGAGCAGAAAAACCAATCCTCCCCCCAAGGCCCACGACACCGACACGTCCGCTGCAGCGCGCTCGACCGACGGCAGCAGAGCCGCCATGGGCCCCGTGTTTGTCCTGCTCCCATGTCGTGCTGTCACAGTCAGGAAACGAGGTCGTGGTCGATCCGGTAGCGTTCGTGCCAGGTTCAGCGGGCTCCGCTAAGTACTCGGTTGTGATGGATACGCTACCACATGGCGCTATATGCGCCTCATACATATAGTGAACAGATGAATCTTATTTGGCCGGTGTTCCAGCACCTATACACCATCGGCACCAGGGCGCCACTGGGTGCTGTCATTACTCGGGCTCGTGCCTGGTGTCTGGCAGCTTGGATCGCGCAGTAGCGGCGTTGTTGCACCACATTTCCAAACGTCGGCAGCATGCCTAGCCTTGAGGGCTGGGTACAGGAGGAGCGCACATTGCCGCCATACTGCCCTCTAGTACAAAACAAAATGGGCCCCTTTGATGAAATTCTCCGCTTGTGGAATGTGGGTTGATCAAATGCATAAAAGTCAGAGCTACGATCATCTTGTCCCGGGCGAGGGAGGGCGATGGTGGTGGGTCGTGGGTCGTGGGTCGTGGGTCAGGACGCCTATCGCGCGCTGCTGAGAGGCGTCGCAACAATGCCATGCTGGACTGCTGCGAACTGCAAGCAATGCCCGAGCGGCCAGCTTGTCCAGCTTTCAGGACATACATGTCTGGCCGTGGGGCGTTGCGCCGATTCTTGTATGCAGACGAGCCTCGCCCCGTAAGAGGGGCTCGGGGCGTGTTGCATGTGCCATACAGCGCTGCGGCAATGGCAGCAGGTGCAACTGCGACGGTGCGGAAACACAGCTTGTATGCGCTGCAGCTAGACCACGGCGTGTGACGGTGCTGACAGTTGTCGTCGAAAGGCTGGGCTCAGGGTGCCGGCACCGCGCAGGCTCCCTGGTACACAGACTACGGTCGCACGGTGGCACACGAGGGGCAGGGTGTCATGATTAACGACGGATCAGCGCCGCCAAAGCGGCAGACACACCTCCACACCTGAAGCTTCCGGTCGTCTGCTTAGCGCGACTTGGCACGTCGCTGACGCAAATTGTCCTCCGCTCCCGCGTCCTCGGCAGAAAGCTCGTGTCACCCAATGCATCCCTGCCGCGGCCTGCAATCTGACAAGAGCCGATCATTTGCTGCCGCCTGAGCTTGTAGCCGGGATCTCGCGTCGCCGCCTCAGCCTGCAGGACCAGGCCTTTGGGGTCTGCTGCTGCCGCGCCCTCGAGCCATGATTGCACCGAGGAGAGCATGCTGGGCGGCCTCCAGCCTGCAGCCTGCAGCCTGCAGCCCTTCCCCCCCTCCTCCGCAGAGGCGCAGTGGACAAGGCGAGCGAGGCGCACGTACGTGCATACATGTCTCCATATTTATCTGTAGGTATCGACTTACTTACATACTTACATACGATGGACTATGTATGAACAGGACTGGCGCGCCGCACTGGTGGACGCTGGGGTGGCACGGAGAGGCGTGACCAGAAAGGACATCGGCCCGCAAAAAACGCCACTCAGCGCGTCTGGGCTTGGGGCAGAGAACCGCAGCCACGTGAAACTTACCTAAGCGGTGTGGGCCCAGGGGCGAAGCCGTGCCGGTTAGCGAGCCGCCCCCCATTCTGTGAGCCACGAATGCGGAAGGTCCAGTGACTTTGGAGCACGTCCGATGCCATACTTTGGCTCTGAAACAATCTCGACCTACCAAGGGTACTCCCACTCCCGTTGCGGCCACGGCGCCCAATGGCTGGTCCATCCTACAGTCCCTAGATACATCTCCTACTAGCACTCACTATAGCTGTAAGGCGGATACGAAACACGCTTAGAGTTTGTTTCATGCCTGCCGTCGATGAAGCCGAAAATGCTCGGACAAGCAACCACACAAGCTTTGCAGTTTAGGCTTTGGCTGCTGGTGCTTGAGTAGATGCCGGTTAGCTTGCAAATGTACTGCTACTCTAAGTACTGTGTGCATACACGCTATACATTCAAATGTCGATCCCAACCGCCCGGTACTCTACACAAGACTGTGATAGCGCCTCGGCCGCTATAGTAATGGCCACCCCCATCCAGAGTGCCGATGTGCCGATATGCCGACGTCTATCTCTACAGGGCGATATGGTGGTAGTGTATGTATACATGTACAGGTTGGGTGCGGCCAGATGCCAAGATGCAGAAATATACTCTGACCATAATACGGATAAATGTTCGTCTTATGTCATCTTCATCGCGAGCAGGCGGAATAGACCTTTCTGGCAGCAAACGCAAAATCTGGCCAATGGCAGCAGGCCCGGCATCAGCCATTGACATGACATGCGTGTGAAACTCTGCCGGTTCGACTCTGTACGAGGCAACCATGAAGCTCAAGAGCGAGCTGCCATTGCTCGCATCACCAATCAAGCGTACTGGGCGCAGAGCCACAGTGGTCGCGTTGGTCGGAGGCTATGCACCATGCTTGCCATGACTGTTGTTGACGCCCATGACGCGTCCAAGTCTCTCTCCCTGCCGCCCTGCTGCCTTGTAAGGCTCTCCCAGTCGAAATATCATCTGCATCAACCGATTACTAAGAAACGAACTTTGTCTGCCTCCTGAACGTGTGTACATAGTACATATGTACGTAAGTAGTCAACAGGTACATGCGGAGATGAAGGTCCTTTCCTAGCGGCTCCGTCATATGTAGTATACCACACACAAGTACATACGTACAGAGATGAAAACATGGAGAGATCAACCACACCACCAGTTCTCAATCCCATTGTGTTGTTGCGATGATCCGGTCCAGTTCTGAACAAGGCGCGTGCCGGATGTTTTCTTTCTTTTTGACGTGCCAAACCAGCCATCGGTGAAGACGAACCGATGCATCGATGACGAGGCTCTCAGATCTACACTGCATTGGCCTACCCGCATCGTGGCCCAAGTAGCCCCTGTCGTCAATGGCATGGCCAGTATAGTAGCAAGTAGACGGCACGGGTGAGTGGCTGAGGCGGGAGGGCAGTTGAGGCGTCGCGTTGAATTGGGCGTCGTTCTTGAAGCGGCAGTAGCTGCGTGGGCTTTGTGGAAGGAGCGAGCCTCGTCTTGGCGGCGCCCCAGCAGGCGGCTGCCGGTGCGGAGATTTTGCTGCGTTCATCCTGGCGCCATGCTTTTATCCCAGCCATGTCACTGTCGTGAGCCTGAGGGCTGCCTGACGAGTCTGGCCCCAGCTTGCTTCTGCTGCTTGTTGTGCTGTGCCAGTGCTAGCCCATTGGACCTTCCCCAGCCCACCAGAAGCAAACATAGCCGCACAACAAGCCGCCGCCAACACGGAATCCCACTATCAATAACGCGGATGGATGCGATACCGCGCCCACACGGCTGCATACTGGCGCCCAGATGCCTACCGCGTCTGGCCTATTTAGCCAATTCTCCTTTTCCTCCTCAGCGGGATTCCGTGAACATCCCCTCCCCCTTTACCGCTATCCTTGCTATCCGCCCCCTCATACAGTGTGGGATACCGAACCGTCATACCACGCTTGACTGCTTGCAGCCATGCGTCAGTGCAAGCTCGACACCCAATCTAGGCCATATTACTATAAGCGGTGCGGGAGCAACAGTCATCCCATGCAGATCTAAATTCATTAACAACGGTCCCGCCTGGTACCCCCCAGGACCCGGTAACTCTGTTCCCTCTGGCTGCTTACTCTACTAGTACTACTGCCTACACGCGAGCATCTAAGCATGTACTAAGTACATACTTACGTATGTCCTCCCCCTCTGCAACACTTTCCGGGAGAGAATGCAGGCGGCTAATGCGGGCGATCGACAGACCCCGCGTGGGCGAGACATGCAAGTGGTTGGAAAGCGCCGTTGTCTGACAGGTAGCGCATGACGATGCAATGGAGAGGCAAGAGGGAGACGACTCGTTTGCTGGTCCACATTTTGCTGCATTCGCTGCTGGTCCAGCAAGGGACAAGCATTTCCTCTGCCCACTTATCGTCCCACCCTGCGTCCGTCATTGTCCAAGCAACCGGGCAATGACTTGCCACACGCATACACTCGAATAAACGGGAAGGCGCATCATGCAGTGAGAGTCCCCGCTTTCTCGCTTCGTACGCGATGCCGTGGTAGACAAGAGCAAATTCTATCATTATCGCCATCATCGCCCACTGCCCATGGTCCACCCGCCCCTCCCGCTCCCACACCACGCCCGTCCTGCATCATGTGCAACCTGGCTGTGCACTGAAGCTGATGACTTGGGGGGCTGTTGTGGGCGCAGCCACAGCCAGGGCCGGCAAGATCTCGGAGCAACCCTGCGACCACAGGTGGGACCATACGCTCCTCCCGGTGACATTGCCCGGGGTCGAAAATGGGTTGCATTAGCAACCATGCGGCCTCTAGGCTGACTGGGCCAAGAAAAGAAAGCAGAATCCCAAGCGCCCAGCTTCGGTGGCTGATCCGGCACTTTCGCTACCACCTTGTTGTTACGCGTAGTGCAAAGGTACTATGTCGGCGTATACCCGCTTGGTTCCCGATCCGATGGCAAAGCCTCTGGGACAATAACGTCATGATGCGCTCCAATGTGTACACCATCGCGGGATATGTCTTTGTCTGCTCAAAGCCTGCTGACGTGTCCATTTTGTTTCTACATGGGAATGCACAAGATATTTCCAGAAGTTTTACAATGTGCAACAACAGAAATAACGGCCCTGATCCATGTTGGCGCGTGGCCCAAAGCCGCTACATGACCCAGCAAAGTCAATCTTTAGAATCCACCAACCGCCGCAATCAATTCAATCACATATGGCGGGCATGAACCAATGGGGGCCTCGAATCCTTCGAAAATGAGGACAAGTCCGCTTCAAGGCTGAATCGAAACCTTATATTCTGGAACCCATTTAAACATGTTGCACTTCGTTCACGTCCCTAGCCCCGTAGCGACCAAACTAAGCTTTATGACAAAAGGCAGTGACATTCAAAGCCTGTACGTACCGGGCTAGTCAATGGCTGTGTACTTGGAAAGAAAAAAATGTGGAAAGAATTCCGGGGTAAGCCCTAGTCCGACTGACAGGTGACGACGGAACCTGGTAGAACAAGTAGGAGTAGTAAGGGTTCCTCGCCAACCTAACGACTCGAGGCATACTGCGCTAGCTATCCGTTCGTGCCGCGCGGTATCTATGTATCTCCTTCCCCCCTTCCCCTTTAGCGGTAGCAGACCGTTGAGATGAGATTAAAGCAAACTCGTCTCTCTCCCATGTTTAGTGCTGACATGTGCCATGCCTTGATCCCCGAAACCTTAAAGCCTTACTTTCTCTCAATACCTGTATTTCCATCTCTTTCCAGCACCCTCTTTGCCGTTTTGCTTATCTTTGAGTAATCGTTTTTAATATACCACAACGGGAAAGTCAACAAGGTCCCTTTACGTACGTAACCTTGGCACCTTGGGATCCGTTTTGTATGGTCCGGTTTTACCAAACCCCATCCCACCCAAGTTCCCACAACTTCCCCCCCCCCATACCCTGTACTTACACAGGTACATAATATGCATGTGCATTGCGGATGACGCTTGAACCCAAGGCCGGCTTTGTCCCAATTGCATACTAGAGCGTCACGACCAACCTCGTATCTGCCGGCTATTGCACGCACATAGTATGCGTTGCGTCTGTCCTGTCCAGGGCTTCTCAAACGCTTGACGCACCTGTTGCAAGGCCAGTCTCTACTTTTCAAGCGTTCGGCTCGATGATCAAACAAAAGTGGGGAGGGGGGGAGGGCGAAGGGAGGGTCCGACTCGATGCCCTTCCAACATGAGTCGCAAAGTCGATCGTATTGTGTCGAGCATCTTGCTCATCCTTGGCAATACAACGCGTACATTGAAACGCATTAAACATGTCACGATACCCTGACTTTTGATCGCATGAGGCAAGCACATAACACAAGACAAATTACAATACCATAATGCTCGGTGTAAGTAATGGTTGTGACTAATTACATACCACGGACCGCATATCGATCCGAGTTTTTTTTTTCTTCCAGAAGGAGACATACACGGAGAGTGGAGATATTGTACTATTGAAATCATAAAGAAAGAAAAGAAACAAAAGAGTACAAGTCATGTGGAGGAAACAAAATAATACAGTTGGGGGGGATATAACACGCGCGTATGGTGCGTATGGTGCCTTGTGGCTATCCCTTTTCTGGCTGAACAGAACTTCTTCCCCCTCCTCCCTCCGGAAAAGAAACCCGCCCCCCAATCACTCAAAAAAAAACACCGAGACGAATCGCCAAACGTTCCT